ACTAGGTAGATCTATATTCCGATATACCCTTGCAAACACTATTTTATAACATTCCATTATACCTAGGTAGGTACACATAGAATGTTCCAGAATTGGTTTGCTGTCCAAGTGTACCTTTGAAGTGATTTTCTTTTCTGTCTATTTTTCACTAAAATGTAAACCAAATTACCACAAAATTTAAGACAACAGTCAGGGTAGAGGCTAGTCATATTACTTACAATAATTAGTATCTAAATATTAATCTAATATTACTTATGTTTAGGTCAATTAGTTTTCTAAAGGTTAATTAGCACTATGTTTAGAAACTACAATTACTAAGAATTAGCACGAATTTTACGGTCTTTTCGTAGCGATCAATTTAGCCATGAAGTAATAATTCAAATCCATGGATATTTACTTCATGATTAAACGAACTAAAAGACACCGGGACGCGGCTTGCGCACAAGGTTTTTTAACTTTTCTGCCAATAAATATCTACATTTCTACCCTATGTTACTCAAGGGTGAATGTGGCTTTTCAATAGGAAAAATATGTAGGTAAATTAGCAAAGTAGTTTTTAATTTTAAACATTACAAACACACACTAAAATGCATTTTTTGCTTCATGATCGTTTTTAAGCAGGGCAACGTTTTTTTTATTTTTATGATATTAATAGTTAGATTGCCTTTCTGCTTTGGACTGAAGTCAGGCTTTTGCGACGGGATAAGCAGCCAAATTAAATTGGCAAACGAATCATAAGCACACCATGTCTATGGACACACACAACAACAAAAGAGGTTTCACACATTTTATTCTAATTTTTTTCGTAAACGAATATACAAGGTATAGAAAATTTTTAGATCTATATTCATATTAAAAAGCTGTAGAGTTTGTTTGTTTGTTTGACTGCGCTAATCTCCAGAACCACTTTGGTTTTTTCGAATTGCACAATTGGATTTGTGTTTGATAGTTTATTTATCGAGGAAGACTATAGGCTATAAAACAACGCGATACGATCTGTAGGAACCGAGCAGTGGGAGCAACCGCGCGAGAACAGCTAGTCAGTAATAAAAAAAATCGATACTAGAAAAAACTAACTAATAAGAAAATATCCACTGTCTTACTTTGCCACTTCCATATTGTTACTATGCTACTATCCCAAATATCGACAAAGCACTAAGTCTAAGCATGTACATACATAGTAAGATACCAAGATACCAACCCTCGGATTATTGTTGTGACATGCAAATTAAATAACAAATAGATATTTGACTAATAGTCGTGATAACTCTATCGCAGCACTTAGCAACAGCTGATAGCCGACCATTCACCCCCCGCACACACAATACATATACTTACATAAATTATATAAAAAGTAACTCGATATGCATAAACATGTAATTTTTCGCGCTGATAATATTATCACATACTCCCGTCTCCGTTCAAATTATACACGTATTGTTTTCAGTGCCATAGGATCCAATGCTCGGTCGATAACGATAAATAAACAGACGGAAAGAAAGATATTTTTATACTACACAGTTAATTATTATTGGTTATCGTTGTGCGTGCAAAAAATAAATATTTTTGTTGTTTGAGAGTGAATGGTTTGTGATTCATGCAATGTGATTGGACTTAAAATACACGGATGCCACTTGATAAGTACTTTTAAATAAATCATAGCAATCGATTAAGTTTGTAACTTGGTTATCAACTTTCAAAATGGCTTTTTGTGTCAAAAGAGTTGATACTGTTTATAGTAGGAGAGCCCATGAAGGGATTTCGGTAGTTGATCGAGCGCGTCAGATTAACATATGGGGAGTACTTAGTATCCTGTTGAATATACCCATCATAATATACTTAATGTTAATAGAGGAGGGAGGATAATTTTCTGTTCTGTGAGGATAACAATATAAATAAATAACTATATACAGCCGTTTTCGTCAGATTAAGGGTAGATCGGTAGATTTTAAGCTAAAGAAAGTGCGTTTAAAAAGTCGGCCTAATTCAACACTCTCAAGTGTGGGAGTGCCATGCTTCGGCACGAATGCGTCGGCTCGACCGGAGTGATACCACGGCCTCACAGAAGACCGACGTGAAACAACCACAGCGTTGCGTTTCGCCGTGTGAGTGAGGTTACCGGAGGCCCAATCCTTCCCCGCCCCCAATCCCTCCTCGATCCCTAAATCTTCAAATCCCTAATCCCTAAAAGGTCGGCAACGCACTCGTAACTCCTCCGTTGCGGGTGTCCATGGGCGGCGCTGATTGCTTACCATCAGGTAATCCGTCTGCTCGTTTGCCGACCAATTACATAAAAAAAAACTCTGGTAGAGGTTTGAACGGGTCCCGTTTCTATCCTCTCAATCGGTCAAACCCACCGTGCGATTCAACAGATGAAAATATTTTCATATTCAGGGTACATGGAGAATATACATTATTAATATCTGTCACGCTCGTACCTCAAAACAAATGTTACATTTAATTATTTTGGATAACCATCCACTTTTCCCCCACCGGAGGAATGAAATGTCATTAAGCCAGTTTTCCTTCTATCACGACATTTTCAGAATCCATTTGCTCCGTACGCCGCTTGAGTTACTACTAGCCTCCTTGGCTCCCCTACTATTATGCCTACTTAAGTAGCTAATTATATCCTTTTTAAGTGACTAATTCTCCCGTCTTCTAGGTCCGGTATCCGTCTTGTAACGCAACGCATGTCAATGCACCGTGTACAGCAATAAAAACATTAACCTGAAGGCTTGTGTTGTAAGTATTGATAAGTTTGATATTAAGCTCTGTTCTAAATGTGTCAAAATCCATCTCTAGTAGACTTACACAGAGATTCTTAGGTTCATCGACATCTTACATTTTGCTTAGGTTACTGAAACTGCCCAATGCATTCATCTTAATGGCGTACACTTCCGAGCATTTCAGGAACTGCTCGCGTACACACCATAATACAGATAAAGAGAAAACAATACGATTTGACCGGGATTTAAGTATACTTATCAATGCCAAATCACTTAAAGGTTAATAAACGAGTAAAAGCTTTTGTTTAACTTCATTATTCAAGGTGATCGATTAATTATTACACAAATAAAATAAGAATTAAATCATTTTAATTAGCACTCTGGTTGGCGTTAAGAAATTGTTATAAATTGTGACTCTTAATATCTTTATCAACACTTTATTACATACGTATCTATAATAAATCAGTACCTTCTGTTACTTGTTTTTCTACATGTGACATGACTACTTTGTTGCGGTTTTATTGCCACCGTAAATCAATGTATTAATAAGATAACGTACTAATTAAGCGGAACAAATTATTCCTATGCGTCAATGACATTCCATTTTTCACACAATTGCCGTAAATATATCAAAGACTTGATAAAATTATTATCTTTTTTGGTAAACGTAGTGCCTAAATGTTTTTGGGATTCAAATAAAATTATTCAGACAAGAAAAAAATGATTTTCGAAAATTAAAAAATGACGTAAAGAATAAATAACTTTGGGTACCTACCAACTAGCCTATATTAATATTTTTTGGAAGTAGGTAGGTAATGAAGAAATTAAGGAGTTGGTGATGTTATTTTTTATTTCTTCAATGTTGTTTAAGCAAATACGAAAATAAATAAAAAAAATAAAAGTGTTAAACTTTTAGTGCATTGAAATGTCGAAATCATTTATTTTTACCAAAGTAATAGAATAAAAGAAAAAAAAAATAGATGAAACCAAAGTTCATAGACACAAGACATTTTTAATTTTGGCGGGCTAAAGTTTCTCGAAATGTCAAGTCCATTCAAGAACAAGAGTTATATTAATCAAAACTCTGCTATGATCTAGAACGTAGTGTTTATATACTCTTTGCCACAATGTAATCGTAATCTACATAAAAACCTTGTTGTTATTTATAGGTCTCGCTAATTTAACAGACGTCAGTCTTGGAGATCGTATTCATTACCTATTATCTTTGTACCCTTGACTGCGAACGCTTCTGTAATAACGTTGAACCTAACAAACATTTTTCAGTTTGGACAGGGTTAAACACGATCGATATATTATTGTGTGAGTGATACGTTTGTTATTCTGTCATTTATAGTCTGTGTAAGTGTTGATATCAAAAAAAATAATGCTGATATCTAAAATAAAAAATCGATAACTTTATCATCAAAATAATGTTGAATGTCTCTCATTCATGGGGGTGTTTGTTCGGAAACTTGCAAGTAGGTTACAATGTGACTTTTTAAAATAAAAGTTGCCTTCCCCTAGGATTTTTTCCTGTGTTGTGGGTGCGTTTGCAAACATACTGTGACGGAAAACTCTTTGACATCATGACGTCAAGGGATGGTTGTCAAACGTTGCCTAGAGATTGTAAATTTCGTCGTGAATTGTCAACACGAGTTGGTGTAATCGGTAAGGCGTGTGGATTACACCACAGAGACCCCGAGTTCGAGTCCCGCCGTAAACATGAAGTTTTTTAGTTGATGGAAGTTTTGTCGAACTTTCTGGAATTATTTGAGTGAAAGAAATGAAAAATTAAGGAGCGAGAAGGAGAATAAATAAAAATGAATAACGAAATTATTGGAAGGTTCTGGAGGCATGACGATCAAAAAGAATAACGAAATTGAATGTTCTAGAACCTGACCGGGGGTATATAAGCGGAACTGCGGCTCACCGCTGGCAGTTGAGTTCTAAGTCTAAAGCGATTCGGAAGAAAAGGAAGAAGTGGAAAAGAAGAAAAGTGAGTGAAATAGTGAAGTGCAGTGAAATAGTGAAGTGCAGTCAGTTAAGTGAGTTAAGTCAGCGTGAACGGCAAAGTTGTGTCAGTCGGCCGGACTCTGCTGGAGAAGAACGCCGATAACTTAACTCCGTGGACGCTGTAACTTAAGTGCAATAGAAAGTCTGAAAACCGGTATTAGTGTTTCATTTCATCCAATCCCGTAACCCAAGCCCGCATAGTCAGGAACGTGACGTCAGGCACGTAACATTTGGTGTCAGAAGTGGGATTGGAGAAAAATGCCGCTAGTGCCTCAGGACGTAAGAGGAGTGAGTACCCGTTCAATGTCAGAAGCGCAGCGTGTGAGGGAAGAGGGTGCTGCAGCTCAAACCAGCGATGCAGAAGCCAAGCCTGTGCAGGTGGATCTTCTGCTACAGCTGCAGCAAATGATGGCAGAGCAAGCGCGCCGCCAAGAAGAGCAAGCGCGCCGCCAAGAAGAGCAAGCGCGCCGCCAAGAAGAGCAAGCGCGCCGCCAAGAAGAGCAAGCGCGCCGCCAAGAAGAGCAAGCACGCTGTCAGGCGGAACAGCTACGGGAGCTGAAAGAAGATCAAGCTCGTCGCCAAGAGGATCAAGCTCGCCGCCAAGAGGAGTAAGCGCGTCGCTTGGAAGAGATGCATAAGGATTTCACGAAGGGACTGCAAAAGGCTGTCGAACGGGTACAAGAAGTGGAGGAAGGGTTAGGCAAGTTGGAACATCGCGTCATGGCGATAGAGGAGAGAGTGAAAGAAGAGATCTCCAAAATCAAGCAGGAAGTGACAAGCCCAAGCCCTTTGAAGAGCCGAAGCCGTCTTGCAGCCGTTTTTTGACGCCCCAAATGTGGCCTCAAGCGCAACGAAAGGGCTCAAGATTCCCCATTACGACGGAACAACATCCTGGAACGCGTTCAAGCTACAGTTTGAGACACTTATGGAGGCTTATGGTTGGACTCAGAAGGAAGCACAGTCAGCCCTCACCCTGGCCCTCCGCGATCAAGCGCTCTCAGTGCTGGAAGCTATCGGCGCAAGTGGGGATCTCAGCTTAAGTGCCCTCCTCGACGCACTTGAGGCACGTTTTGGAGACAGCCACCTCGAGCACGTGTACAGAGCGCAATTAAAAGAGCGTACTCAGCGTGCTAATGAGAGCCTACAGCAATGGTCCGTGGAAATCGAGAAACTTGTGCGTCGAGCTTTCCGGTCGACTCCGTCAATGATTGAAGGCACGCTTCTCCAAGCGTTCATTGACGGTATTCGGGACCCCGAAGTACGAGCTGCTGTTCATCTGGGCCATCACAAGAACATGAAAGAAGCTCTGGCCCATGCATTGGAAGTGGAAGCTGTGCGTGGTAACTCCCGTACCTTATGTCTGCGGGAAATGACGACTACGGAGCAGGTACCTCCACGCCGTCGGAACTTCATGTGCTATGGATGCGGAGAGCGTGGGCACATGCGGAGCAACTGCCCGAAGAAGGTGAACCGCCAGGACGCGGCGGTCTCAACTTCTGACCAGCAGGGAAACTAATTCCAGCCAGGGCTGCGGGGTGGGCGCTGGCCGGTAGTGGAATAACCCCAACAATCTACATCAAGCAAACTAACGATGGAAATACTCTGGTGATAGACGGTCAAGTAAATGGGAAAAACAGTCAGCTAACATTAGATACTGGAGCTTCAAGGACGGTGATAAATGTTCGGCTGCTCGGGCAAAACATCAGGAAACACGTTAAACCAATAGTTGGCCTACGAATGAAATCAGCTACCGGCCAGTGGAGACCGATAAGTGGAAAACTGCACGTAACAATCAAAATTGGGGAACGTGTTTATCGACATGAGGTTATTGTGGCCAAAATTCTGGATGACTGCATCCTGGGACTTGACTTCCTGCAAGGGCACCAGTGTAACATCGACTTAAAATCTGGAGTATTACTATGTGGAACTGAGGAAATTCCGATGAAGGGTGGAACCCTGGGAAAAGTTTGCTGTTTAAGAAGAACTGTTCTTGAACCAAAATCACAGACTCTCGTACCAATCGCATTACCTAGGAGGAGTGAAGGAAGTTTACCTCGAAGGTGCGCTGTGATTGATAAATCGGAACACGTAAACTCATGGCTACCGGCAAGGACTGTCGTGGGGTCATCTGATGTCAACCGCATTCCGGTATTCAACTTCAGTGATTCAAAAATTACGATTGAAGAAGGAGAGCCTGTGGGCGTTTTGGAAGAAGTGGCCTGGATATGAAAATGCTCGGAGAATCTTGTGAAGAAGGACAGTACGGGAATAGACTTTGTAACGAAAATCTTAGACGAAAACAAAAGTCTGACAAAAGTGGAGACTATGAAAGCTAGAAATTTACTCCTTCGATTCTCTGATGTGTTTTCAAGAAGCGATAGTGATATTGGCCGAACTGGTTTGGTGAAGCATAAAATAAATACAGGTGATACAATGCCAATTCGTCAAAGGCCCAGACGTATACCATTCGCTCGTGAGAAAGAGGTTGAACAAATGATTGACGATATGAGGAAAAATGACGTGATAGAGCCCTCTTCTAGCCCTTGGTGTTCACCTGTCGTGCTTGTCAAGAAGAAAGATGGTTCAACGAGGTTTTGCGTAGACTATCGACGATTGAATGATGTAACCAAGAAGAATAGCTACCCGTTACCAAGAATCGATGACACACTTGACACACTGAGTGGCATGAAATGGTTTTCAACGCTCGATCTGAAAAGCGGCTATTGGCAGGTGGATTTGGATCCCAAGGACAAGGAAAAGACCGCATTCTCAACTGGGAAGGGACTCTGGCAATTTAAGGTGATGCCATTTGGATTATGCAATGCACCGGCAACCTTTGAGCGTTTGATGGAACAAGTGCTGGCGGGACTGCTGGGCGAAACCTGCCTAGTTTACCTCGATGACATCATCATCGTTGGACGGGATTTTGACGATCATCTAAGAAAATTGGAAAGGGTACTCGAAAAGCTGCGTGGAGCAAATTTAAAGTTGAGTCCAAAGAAATGCTCTTTCTTTAAGCGCGAAGTGAATTATCTAGGACATGTTATTTCTGAGAGAGGAATTGAGACTGATCCAGCCAAGACTGCCGCTGTTAAGGAATGGCCAACACCTAAAGACAAAACGCAAGTTCGGGCATTTCTTGGATTATGCTCGTATTATCGGCGGTTTGTGAAAGGATTCTCGGACATTGCCAAGCCATTGCATCGATTGACAGAGGAGAAACGTGCCTTTATATGGGACGAGGATTGTGAGCAAGCCTTTCGCGAACTAAAAGAACGGCTTTGTAAAACGCCAATTCTCGGATACCCCAGCGCAAAAGGAATATTCGTAGTTGATACGGACGCCAGTAATATCGGAATAGGAGGTGTCCTTTCACAACGCGATGGTGAGCAGGAGAAGGTTATTGCTTACTTCAGCAAGTCACTATCCAAGCCGGAGAGGAATTATTGCGTGACCAGGAGGGAATTACTGGCCGTAGTCAAAACTCTGCACCATTTCAAGAAGTATTTACTGGGACGGAAATTTTTAATCAGAACTGATCACGCTGCTTTGAAATGGCTGCTTCAGTTTAAGGATCCTGAAGGCCAAGTAGCCAGATGGTTGGAACAACTTCAGGAATTTGACTTTGAAATCGAACATCGCGGCGGAAGAATTCATGGCAACCCAGATGCATTATCGAGACGCCCATGCGTGGAAGATTGCAAGCATTGTGCCAAGAAGGAAATTGCTTTTCTTAAGGTGATAAGGACTGATACTGTTGACGAGGCATGGGGAGATGATGCGATGAAATTAGAACAGGAAAGAGATGCGGATATCAAACCAATACTGGAGTGGCTACGAAGTGGTAACAAGCCAAGTTGGAGTGACGTCGCCCAATATAGCGCGGTAACGAAAGGTTTATGGGCACAGTGGAAAAGCCTTACGCTGCATAACGGACTTCTGTGCAGGAAATGGGAATCAACAAACGGCAAGGACGAGCATTTGCAATTGGTGGTGCCTCGTTCAAAAATAAGGGATGTATTAAAAGCGTTCCATGATGGATCTTCTGGAGGACATTTGGGAATTAGGAGGACTTTGGTGAAGATCAAGGAGAGGTTTTATTGGTTGCATTGCAAATATGACGTCGAAGATTGGTGCCGGAAATGCACTAGTTGTGCAGCTGTCAAGGGTCCACAAACAAGAAGCAGAGGGGCGATGAAAATCTACAATGTTGGTATGCCTTGGGAGAGAATAGCCTTAGACATCGCTGGACCATTTCCAATCACTGATTCGGGCAATCGCTACGTTTTAGTGGTTATGGATTATTTTACAAAATGGCCAGAGGTCTTTGCCATACCGAATCAAGAGGCAGTAACTGTAGCCACGAAGTTGGTAAACGAGGTATTCACCCGATTCGGAGTGCCCTTGGAGATGCACAGTGATCAAGGACGGAACTTTGAGTCCCAAGTTTTTCAGGAAACTTGTAAACTTTTGGGAATCCATAAGACTCGAACGACTCCTTATCATCCACAGTCAGATGGAATGGTCGAACGTTTCAACCAAACATTGGAACGACACTTAGCAAAGGTGGTTGACAGCCATCAGAGAGATTGGGACACTTACATACCTCTCTTCTTGCTTGCCTATCGGACTGCTGTACATGAAAGTACCGCAAAGACGCCTGCATTTGCAAATTTTGGAAGGGAATTGAGATTACCGGCAGATCTTGTATCGGGCTGTCCACCTGGCGACTCTCGCACCGAATTTAGCGATTACATAAGCGAGTTAAGGGCAAAAATGTTGGACATTTATGAGCAGATCAGGGAGGCCGGTCTTCAAGCTAGTGATCGCGCAAAGACGCGCTATGATCGACGAGCCAATTCTGTTGGGTTTGAAGAAGGGTCATTGGTCTGGCTTCATAATCCAGTCAGAAGGAAGGGAAAATCTCCGAAGCTGCAACCGAGTTGGGAAGGTCCTTATGAGATAGTCACGAAGATCAATGACATTACTTACAGAATTCGGAAGACTTCAAGGAGCCCTTTGAAAGTTGTCCATATAGACAGGTTGGCGAGGTATTACGGCAGCAACGATGCTCGGGACGAGCGAATCTAAGAGGGGGGCAGTGTGACGGAAAACTCTTTGACATCATGACGTCAAGGGATGGTTGTCAAACGTTGCCTAGAGATTGTAAATTTCGTCGTGAATTGTCAACACGAGTTGGTGTAATCGGTAAGGCGTGTGGATTACACCACAGAGACCCCGAGTTCGAGTCCCGCCGTAAACATGAAGTTTTTTAGTTGATGGAAGTTTTGTCGAACTTTCTGGAATTATTTGAGTGAAAGAAATGAAAAATTAAGGAGCGAGAAGGAGAATAAATAAAAATGAATAACGAAATTATTGGAAGGTTCTGGAGGCATGACGATCAAAAAGAATAACGAAATTGAATGTTCTAGAACCTGACCGGGGGTATATAAGCGGAACTGCGGCTCACCGCTGGCAGTTGAGTTCTAAGTCTAAAGCGATTCGGAAGAAAAGGAAGAAGTGGAAAAGAAGAAAAGTGAGTGAAATAGTGAAGTGCAGTGAAATAGTGAAGTGCAGTCAGTTAAGTGAGTTAAGTCAGCGTGAACGGCAAAGTTGTGTCAGTCGGCCGGACTCTGCTGGAGAAGAACGCCGATAACTTAACTCCGTGGACGCTGTAACTTAAGTGCAATAGAAAGTCTGAAAACCGGTATTAGTGTTTCATTTCATCCAATCCCGTAACCCAAGCCCGCATAGTCAGGAACGTGACGTCAGGCACGTAACAATACGACACATCACACCCAGACCCAAAAGAACAATTTGTGGAAAACCTCGGAAAACCTAATTCGAATTTTTCGAGTTATAACGACTCTCGACACACTGATATCGGTGAAAGAAAACTGAACTTATAATTTTTTATTGTGAATTTGAAATCGCCAATTCACCTTGAGCAAGCTTGGTTAAAACCTTCTCCGGTCTTTAACAGCGAGCACTTAAAATATAGACTGGTGACCGTTCTTTATCATCACTTGGACTATGAGATAAAACCTAAATACCTACTTTTATTACAGAAATTACGTTATTTTAAGATCAAAGCTCTGACCTATTAAGTTTGTTGGAATATTCTAAACATTTTAAGTTTGATAGCGTACAACGAGTTATGTAAACAGTAAATTTAAATGCAAATATTATTTGTTAACGATAATGACCTTAACACAATTTTCGAATGCGAAAAGACAAAGCGAGGAGTCGTTTGTATGTACAACAAATACTTATATACCTACAGGTATGTATCGTGTTTACACAAATATCTATATGACGAACAAAAGAAAGAACGGACCAATTAAAAATGCATATTCGAATTGAGAACCATCCTCCTTTTTGGAAGCCGGTTAAAGAAAACTGCCAAAGATTCCAAATCATCAACGCTGGCCTAGGGACTAGTTGGTCTCAATCTAGCTACTGTAATTACTACTCTATGTTTAAAAGTATTTTTTTGTATAGGTAGACGCCAAAAAGTCGTTATGAAAGTGTAAGACTTACTTGGTTCATCCGAAAACTTGTTGGGCGGCATACGTGATATGTAGGTAGCCATCGTGTGCTCGAAACTGCTCGTACGCCTGCGCCATCGTCATACTGTGACTCGCGAGCACTTTCTCGTTTACCAGCAAATACAGCGCCTATGACAGAGAAACAGCGTTCATAACATAATTATCATGAAATAAATGAAATATAAGTTGTGTTTCGTCATGTGAGTGAGGTTACTGGAGGCCTAATCCCTTCCCTCCCCCAATCCCGAAATTTCCACAACCCTTATCACGACATGGTTGGCAACACACTCGTAAGTCCTCCGTTTTTTACGAGTGTCTATGGGGACGCTGATTGCTTACCATCAGGTAATCCGCAAAATCGTTTGCCGTCCTATCACATGAAAAAAATAAAGTAAATGATTTGTGTCGAATTAAAAAGCACTTTTATTGTTATAGGAACGTCAAAAACTACTTTAAATATACATTGTTTGTATGTACATTATAACATAACAGACACGATTTTCGATGGCTATACGGACTTTCAGAAAGAGCGCACGTCGCGTCGTAGGCACAAGCCTACACCATCGCTACGCTGCGTAGCGCGGCGTAGCATAGCTTCAGTGATGTAGTTATTTGGTGTATTTAGGTACTACATATTTCCATGTTATAATGCGTAAATCTTTAATTACCTGTGAATCTCTTAATTTCATCTTTGTTCGTATTATGTAAAGGAACTGGGACATTGTAAGCTCTTGTGGCACTAGGAATTTGTTTCTGCCTAAAGCGGGCACCTCTCGTTCTCTCGAGTATCGCTCCACGTACAGCTGAACATATTAATTTAAATATTTATTAGAAAAAGATCTCTGCGTAAAAAGGTATGTGATGAATAAATAGGTTGTGATAAAAAAGTCTAAAAAGGTTTTATTTTTTTGTTGAAGTTATGAAACTGGTTTGCACTGGATATGGATAAGAAATAATTGCCAAGTAATAATACTTACAGGCACTTTATTTGGGAACCTATGTCTGATTGCCTGAACCTCTTGGTTGGACTGTTTGATATTCATTTCTGTAACAAAATATACAATTACAAGACCAAACCAACAAAATGTGTACCTATTATTAGCAGAAAACAAATAACACTGTCTCTTGGTTATAAGAAATAGGTTTCGCTCTAAATACGACAATGACACTTGGGTCTTTAAAAATAAGTGTTATATAAGCCTGCTGAAGATAAGAAAATACAAGACTTGTTTGTGCCAAAAACCAAAGGATGTTGGCAAAGGTCAGTCACCACATACTAACTTAACCACTTTGTAACAATTTTGGCACAAAGTACCAATCACTATAATACACGCTACTCATAAGATTGTCGTTTAAATCTAAATATAAGTGAATTGATAAATTGAAGATGATCTAATTATTAATAAATTGTAAAATATGCTTAGCTCAGCGTCTGGACAAATGCGAAGCAGGGACGGGTAGCTGGTTTATTAATATAAATTTTAGCTATGTTTTTTTATTACGTTTTCTGGCATAGCATATTTTGCTGGCGTCTAAAAAAATATAGGTTTAAAAAAGAAACTTTTATCTCGTTTTAACAACAATGTTTTTAAGGTTTCTTTTTGTATGGGGCAACATTATATAGGTACTTTAATACCTCACCATCTTTATAGCCGAAAACTTCTTGAGACGCGTAAGTGATGTATAGGAAACCATCTTCATCGCCATAGTTGTCGTACGCCTGTGCCATTGTCAGACTCATGCTCAGCATTGATTTGTTGTTTATTATCAGATATAAGGCCTGCAACAAAAACCTTATATTAAAACTCTTTAATTTCTTATTCGTCAGAGGACTTGCGCGTGATTCCAATCCATGGTAGGTACAATAGGGTACTTAGTCAAACATAAATTGTTTTGAGTTGTCAAAGCAAGTACCTTATAACTATTAAAAAACATACATGACCTCTTTCATTGATTTAACGAAGATAAAGAAGTATGCTATTTGTCTCGGAAAACGCATGACGTCACAACTCACAACACATACATAATTCATAGGAAACTGTCGATTTTAGGTCGTCAAACACCGCATTAAAAACATTTTTCGATCAAAAGACCAAAATTCATCAAAAGACTTCTATCTCCCTGCGTGAGTTGAGAGAGAGTGTCAGGTTCTCACTGACTAAAAACATGAAGAAAAAACAGGATATTTCCTTCATGACTAAAAACGTCCGCAATCTTTCGGTCTGCGATACATTATTTCGCTTAACAACCCGCAACACCAAGCATCTCTTTTCAACAGTTCTTTCTGTAACTTATGCTAATACGAGTAGTGTTATAAGTTTGAATTCACACGCACTTTACAAAAAAATAATCTTAAATAATGCTAACTCAACAAATCGTTCAGTTTACGTAAAACCAATCTAAAACGAACCTATGTGCAATGAAATATTATCTATCAATTAATTAATTTATTTATCTGTAAAGCTAATTGATTGATTACGGGATTACATAAATCATACTTTTACCCATCTATAGTAAACAGCTCCAACTAGATCTAACTAGACTAGATCAAGACCTAGACTTTGGTATCAATTTCTTCAGTTTTGTAGACGATACGTATCACAATTCCATATAGACAATCTGGCTAAATGTTCTAGTTATATCATTAAATTTGTCGATTTCGTCAAAGAAAAATAGTCTTAACAAGCTTTGTAATACTTACTTGGTTTGGTTTAATTCGTATCCTATTTCTTATTATAACTAGAAATTGTGACATGGTGATATCTTCAGGAACTAAGAACTTGGATTTGTCCAACGTAGGTAGACTTCTTTCTTTGTGGTATCTTTCTACTATTAACTGTAAACAAACATATATATTATTAAAAGGAACACGAAAGCGACAGCAAGTGTGAGATAGTCACGCTACGGCACGAATGGGTCGGCTCGACTGTGAGTGTGTGACACCACGGCCTCTCAGAAAACCGGCGTGAAACAACCACAGCGTTGCGGTTCGCCATGTGATTGGAGTTACCGGAGGCCCAATCCCTCCGCCTCACCAAATTCCTTCCAAATCCTTAAGTATCCGAAACCCATATCCCATAAAGACCGGCAACGCACTCGTAACTCCTTTGGTGTGTCCATGGGCGGTGGTGATTGCTTACCATCAGTTAATCAGTCTGCTGATTTGCTGACCTACCCCAAAAAAATATCGTGTTTCAAAAACCATATAAGCAGTATTGTACCAAATGATCGTAGCTTATCTTTTAAATATCTTTTGATACTGGCAGTACCTACAGTTAACTACTAAGCAGTGGGGATTCGGATGCCATAAGGAGAAAATAAAAACACGTTCAATCAATCTATCTATTCGAAAAACAGCATCAGTTTTTTTGTGAGGGGAGAATCATCAAATGACTTCTCCCGCCCAGGGCCGGGCGAGAGGGAGTGTCAGACTGTTACTGACTAAAAACTCCCCTGTTCCTTCTCCTGCTCTGGGCCGAGGTCGCGGTGCCTTATTGCGCTTACCCCGCAACCCCGGCTGAACATCAGCCCTTTAGGGCCCCGTCTGTGGTGGTTTATTGGCTCTTTGAGGCGCGCGCGGAACGCTACGCGCCGTACGCTCGGGCGCTTCAAAATCAGTTGCGTAGGTCCAAAGATTTAAGCATACATAGGTATATAGGAACAGAGAAAGCAAGTTTTTTTTTATACTGTCTACCTAGTTATAAAAAAGTAAAATTAATTTCGGTAGGTAAACTTACGGGTATTTTGGTGGGAAATTTGCTTTTTATCGCCATTACCTCTTCCTTTCTGCTTACTGTAAAGGAAATAACAAACAATAGATGTTATTATTATTTCTAAAAACCACTTCAGTACACACATTAAATAGAGATATATTTTCAGCTTCCTTACGTTCGAAAGGTATAATAATATCGCTCAATTCTGCTCACGACATCGTGACTATAAGCCCCTATGATGGCTTGAAAATGGTCGAATTACTTCGTCAAAAATTGTATCTCAGTAAGCCGTAATTAAAACAGTTTAATAAATAAATTGTATAAATGTAACAATAAATGAAATTGAAGTCCGACGGTCAATAACAAGAAAGTTCTTTGAACTACATATCATTTATCAATATGCGTATAAACTTTTGCCTTTGCTAGAGTTACCTTATTGTTATAAAACTTACGTAGTAAGTATATTAAAATATATTGATGTCTATTACAAAACAAATGAGTAGGATAAGGTAATGCATTATATAAATTAATAAAAAAAATATATGTTTTCGTACTGATTTTGCTCTAAGAACATAATTATCTTCAGGCAGAACCTCAATAAGTTGCCGCGACTGAGCAGGAGTTGGTTTAGGACTTTACTTGTAGAAAAAAATTTCTTCAACAAATAAAGTCTATGGGCCTGATTCAAAAAGTCTGAATAGCAGATCTATGCTCCAGATAAATTTGAATTTGGAACGGAATTTCTATGCACTATGTTCTTCATATGTTTATCGGAAACTTAAATGAAGCTGGGAAAACGGCATTTTCTATTAGTAGGTATGTCACAATAATCTCACTGATCTAATTGATATAGTTAATTTATTTTAGATTTTAATGGGCATAATTTTAATTAAAGGTAACAGGAAGACGATTCAGTACCCGTACCGTAAGTATATTGTGTTGAAATTAAATAAATAGTAACACAATTCTCATGTGTCATATCTACAACACACAACACTATACTTAGGGCAAAGCCAATAAGAAACATGACGTGATCGATGACGACAATTAAGTACTTGAATAAGTATATCTAATACTAGCTACTCTCACGCGGTTTCTCCCGCTGCTCGGTTCCATTTGATGGTAGCAAATGGAGCCGAGCTTATAGGCTATAAAACATCCCGCTATGTTCCTGAGTGCTATATTTATGAGTGCTATGTTCCTGAGCGCTAAGCATTGTAGCTAGTGTGCACTGTGCAGTGTAGTAATTCAGTGAAAGAATTTTGGCAATCCGGTTCTAAATATTACCTAATATAATAAGAATCAATTTGATTTCGGTATAGGTACAATCCTTAATGACAGTGGAACTAAGTAAGTATTCTATTTCTTTATTTAACACTAGGGAACCTGGCCCCGCACGAGTGCATACAACTTTATAAGTATTCCTTGCAATAAAAATAATCTGTATTATTCTAGCTGCAGAATGTTGAAAGGTATTTTTTAATAATGCCTCAGTAGTTTTTGAGTTTATCCATTACTAACATACACAATCATTTTATTTTACAGTTATTTTTGAACTAAAACTCCAAATCTTAGAACTGTATAACGTCAATTAAATTATTTTTGAAAAACAAACTGTTGTGACAATTGTTTAACTTTTAATAAAGAACCTGTCCTATAATTTATTTGATATCAGACTGGCACGGACTAAAATCTTCAGTTAAGCATATTCAGAAACTTTTTAATAAAATTTAAATTTTAAGGAACCTAGATCTACACAAACGCGGTCGCACATCAAAGTAGGTATAGGTACATCGCTAATTACAAAATTAGACCAATTCAATTAGGCAATTTTAACGCAGTGATAACTGGAACTCGCTCATACTAACAAAACATATAATCTGTTGGTTCAATGAACTTCATCTATGCACAAACAATTTGCTAATTATACATACTTACCTACTTACATCGTAAATTTATCAAAACATCTGTTTTGTGATCTTAAATGGGCTATCTATTGACATAAATTTAGAATTGGGTATCGATCTGAAGATTTATCGCTTGCCGTGTTGTGGTAAACAAATTAAATTGATTACTTGTTACATTTAATTGTTTATTACATATTATTATTAAGTGTCTATTTGAAGTATTTGATGTTATTGAACGACAAAGTAAACAAGTTCTTCATGTCCTCGGTAAAGATCCTTCTAGCAACATTAACGTTTTACAAAATGACACCCTTTAATTCTCGCAAATTTTATTTTTCTGTGTGAGTGGCAACATTTACCGTTGTTTTACGATTCGAAATTTAAACTTTAAATAAAAATCGTTGATTTATTTTGTCCAGTACAAAACTCAATATTTTTCTTCAATTATCAATACGTTAGTAATTTTACACTCACTGTCATTGGGTGTATATATAGATAATAAATATTAAAGTACAATTAACCTTATGTACTTATAAGTATCTATCACAATTAACACTTTGTAACACACGGACTTTGCAATGGAAAATCTTAACAAATATTCAATTATAATTAAGTAAGAAAGTAAGTATAAAAACAAAAAAACTTACTGAAAGGCTTTTTTGATTTGAAGCACTGTTTCACATTGTGATTCACATCGTGTTTTATTAATGTTGTTATGAAGTTCAACTCCATTTTGTAGTGACCGATTTCTCACAGTTCCAGCGTTGGGTCTAGCGGTGTCGTGCACACAACGGGCGATACGAACGCCGACTACGCCAATGTAAATATCTACGGCACTTTTATCATTTTAACATGGAGCACACTTGTTTACAACGCGATTATCAGACCCCTTTTAATTTCTATTATTCATAGTTGCATTTCACTTGGAGTGATAGTGACATTACTGTCGACCGGTCACGTATTTCTTTATTGATTTATTTGCATAATACCCGCGATAACGCCGCTTTTGACATAGGTAGTTTGTTCTCATTTTTTGTAATTATTATTACGTGATTGAGAGTAAATAAATATAATTCTTAGATTACTAAATACTTATAACTATACATATGTATACCGATTTCTAACTTTGGTTTGGATGTTAAACGTTTTATTTTCCAGGGGACCTACCATTAATCCTTTTTATTTTTGGAGGGAAAACCGTCAAATGTCTTCTCCCGCCCAGGTTAGGGCGGGACGGAGTGTCAGACTTGCTGACTAAAATCCCCACGCGTTCCTTCTGCTCTAGGCCGAGGACGCGGTGCCTCATTGCGCTTACCCCGCAACCCCGGTTGGCCTACCTTGAATGCTAATAAGTAAACAGCTTACCTTCCTATTATAGTCAACATGCTTAGGACCTGTATGTCTGAATAGCCGCTGTAATCTTATAAATATAGCCGCTCTAATATTACAAGGGGGTAAAATTTGTAAGTTTGGATGTAGGGGGTAATCTTTGGAACCGCTTTTCGGATTGCCAAAATTCTTTTACTGATAGATAGCTACAATGTTCCTGGGTGCTATAAGCTATGAAAGATCACGCTACGATCAAATGGAGCTGAGCAGCGGGTGAAACCGCGCGAGAGTAGCTAGTATCAAATAAATTTGAATATAGAACAATATGGTGGTGAAACAGGCGCTTAGGCTTTTCGTATCACGTCGTGCTGTAGGTAATTTAATAAATCTTCAGGGAAGACGGTGGCACAGTGGTCACGTGCCGCCGTGCACAATGATGGTTAAAGAGGTCACGTACCTCTGGATGGAGATGTGCCATACTAGGCGTTGCACCAAAGGGGCTCTGGAGTTGGTCTATCAAGAGGTCCCGGTGTCCCTTACAGGTGTTGATGGTGGCCACCGGGGAGGTTTTAGTGAGGTAAAATCCCACACTCCCTAGTCTTTTTCCCCAAAAGCTAGACGCCTTTAGAAGGTTTCCCCCGTTAACAAAAAAAAGGTAATTTAATAAAATAAAAAAACGTTAAACTGGACTGTAATAATAACTGCTTTATTTTTATATGTAGTCTAATCATATAAAGCTTAAAGACTTGTTGGTTTGAACACGCTAATCTATGGAACTACTGGTTCTGGATTGATTTGAATAATGGTTTTTGTGTTCGTTAGTTCATAAATCGAAGAAGGCTATAGAACATCTCTCTGCGATCAAATGGAGCCAAATAGCTGGTGAAACAGCGCGAGAGAAGCTAATATAAATATAATCCAGGCATTTTATGCCTAATTCTTGTATAAACCTAACAATATTTACCAAAGAAGTTTTTGATGTCAATAATTCTTATGGTAAGTAAGGCTACCTGTTGATATCATCGTGCCTTCTTGGCCGCTTCTATCCGGTTAATTAAGATGGCGAGGAAGAAAATAATATTATCATTAATTCTATTTATCTGCGTACGTGATTAGTTTATTAGAAACTAATTGAATATTAGTCACGATTGGAACTCAAAACCTATAAACATACAACTAGGTACTTAATTATATTTGGTTACATCTCGTTGCCACGCCCGCCAAATCTATACTAATATTATAAAGAGGCAAAATTTGTGTTTATATGTTTGTCAGTTTGTATGCAGGGGGTAATCTTTGGAACCGCTGGTCGGATTTCCAAAATTCTTTACTGATAGATAGCTACAATGTTCCTGAGTGTTATAGGCAGCACCCAGGTAAAGCAGCCTCTCCTATCTTGTCGGTCTGCTGAGAGTGAGGGAACCGAGAGTGCACCTGTTTATGCGCATACGTAGATTAGTGGTCCATAATATCTCGTATCGTAGTGAGCGAGTCTTGTTAGAAAAGATTGGCCACCATGACCAAAATCAATCGGGAGACTTTGTTATTTTATTATGGAATAGGAGACAAACGAGCTGACGTATCACCTGATGGTAAGCGATCGGCGCCGCCCATGGCCACCCGCAGCACCAGAGGAGTCGAAGGTGCGTTGCCGGCCTTTTAAGGAGTACGCTAGTTTCTTGCAGGTTTTAAGGTCGTATCGGTTCGGGAATACCGTGATGAATGTAGATAATTAGGTGAAAAACTTATTGGTTCAGATAACGAAAAGGATCATATAGATACATACCTAGGTACCTATCTACAGAAGAATGACCTCTTCCGCCCCGGATTGGGCGAAGAGATAGTGACAAAGTCTTAGAGTCTTACTGACTGACACCAAGTTCTTTCTACTGCTCCAGGCTGGGGCCGCGGTATATTAACGACTAGCTACTCTCGCGCGGTTTCACCCGCTGCTCGGCTCCATTTCATCGTAGCGTGATGTTTTATAGCCTATAGCACCCAGGAACATTGTAGCTATCTATCAATGAAAGAATTTTGGAAATCCGACCAGTGGTTCCAAAGATTACCCCTACATACAAACTTACAAACATACAAACTTACAAACATACAAACTTACAAACTTACAAACATATAAACTTACAAAATTTTCCTCTTTATAATATTAGTATGGACAATCCTAAAAATACCTCTACCGGATGTTTGTAACAGACTTGATAGGTACATACTTATAAATAACAATTTGACGGAAATATTATAATCTTAATCTACTTAGAACTCTAGCAACAATGTTGTTAAAGGTTAGACTAATTAGTATTAATTGGTTATGATCTATCCTCTAAGTATCTACCTATCTACCTGTTATTGATACCTATATCTAGGTTAGAACTGTGTGATTACTGCGTGCACATCATAACGTGAATAAAGGATAAAACAACGTGACTTTTTCTCTAAGTATGCTGTGTAGATACACAGCTCAAGTCACGTGGTACTTAAAACATGGCTGGTGCAGTGGCTGGAAAAACGCTTGCTGCGTAACGTGTTGCGAGTTTAGTTCCGGTAAACGACAACTACCTACCCGTAGTTCGCCCGCAGTAACACGGTGAAATGAAGGTTGTTTTATTCCTTTTAGACATCAATCTCTGTGCCAAGTTTTATTTTTTTATGTAATAGGTCGGCAAACGAGCAGACGGATTTCCTGATAGTAAGTAATCACCGCCGCCCATGGACACCCGCAACGAAGGAGTTACGAGTGCGTTGCCGACCTTTTAGGGATTAGGGTTTTGGAGATTTTGGGATTGGGAGGGATCGGGAAAGGGAAAGGATTCCGGTAACCTCACTCACACGGCGAAACACAACGCTGTGGTTGTTTCACATTGGTATTCTGTGAGGCCGTGGTATCACTCCGGTCGAGCCGACCCATTCGTGCCAAAGCTTGGCTCTCCCACACATTATTTTTGATGATTATTAGTAAATTTTATTTTATAAAGTCTTAATTTATCAGTCTTCTACTTTCACCAACTTCTGAACCAAAACCTCGCTATACCTACCTCGCTGATGTAGATACACTAAAATGTGGCATTTATTGTAAGACTGCATTGTCAGCGCAGTGACTAGGCAACTAGCAACTGCATTACTTATCACAGGTTCGACAGCTGCATGGAAGTTGGAACAATTAGAATTTAGATATCTATTAGGTATTATTTGTGAGATCAATGAATAATTTTTCCACTTTCTGTCAGTGATACCTACGTAATTACTTGAATGGGTATACTTATAGATTATATGAAAGTAAACATTCTTTCCTGTGAGAAATGTGTACGTTTGAAATAATGGAATTAAATTGCTTGAATATGTACTAAGCTAAGCTCATCATATCAACATCTATCTAACAGCATTTGATCATTCACATGCATTCTTATTTATTACCTACCATATAAATAGTAGCTACTTAATAAAGAGAATCCCAACTAGGTACCAAGGAGAATACCAAAATATTACAATCCAAACGCGAACTTCTCAGAAAATAAAGTGGCTAACGGTTAATAATTTTGTTTGTCATTTAATTAAATAATTCGTCACTCGGTCAATAATATCGACACATATTGATTTACTGTATCATACGGTACGAAACACCAATGACCATTCGATTCAAGGCTGTAAATCATATCAGTAACTAACCACGCCCCTAAATTTGAATTTAGAACTAGCTACAAGTAACTAAATCTGTAGAAAGACTGTTATTCTTATACGATACGATTTTTTTTATTTATAAGCTCTATTGCTTGTTAGAGTAGCAGCTAGACAGCCGATACAAAAAACAAGGAGTTTACTTTCCCAGTCATGAATCTAAAGCATGGTTATTTTAATTGTTCGAATTCGTTGCACCTAGCTACATATATTTAGATACTGATACCTGGTTGGAAATCGTAAACCCTAGGTATTTTGGCCTTTTGAGAGTTTTTGGGGATTTGAGGATTGATTGGGGATGAAAGGAAGGCAGGAGGATGCGAAAATACACAAGCGTTGTTTCACGCCGGTATTAAATGAGGCTGTTGTATCACTCAAACGAAACGGCTCATTCGTGCGATAAGCTTGGTTCTCCCACACTTAGTTTTCCTACAAGTGTAAAAGCAGGAGCGTAGGACGCTACCATAAGGGGACAAAAATAGTTTTTATTATGTTTTATTTCTGTACAGATAAAATAACATACCTAATTCAATCTATATTATAGATACCTAGGTATATTCCTATGTACACTAGATACAAATACCCAAGTTGATAGGCATAATTATATAGTAGCCAAGTATAAATATAGGAATGTTTTGATGTTTTTAAGCTTTGTGACGACTAATAACGATAATAAGATAGGGCTACTAAATGAGGGGTGTCTAATTAGTTTCTGTTTGAGATATCAAAAACAAATATATAATATCTACTAATTGCTTTAGGTAATTATATTATGGAAATAAAATCTCCCATTGAGGAGACAGATTTGCAAACTGAAGAGAAAATTTAATGTAGGTACATTATCGACTTTTAAAGTTATATAATAAATACCAGTCTTCAATAATACTGCTTCTAGTATTTTAGTATCTACAGATTAGAGTACCTATAATTATATTACAGTACCTAGTTTTATTATGTGTCTTAAGTGAAACTAGTAGGATTCTAGGTTTAAAAAGCAAAAAAAACAAATACTTCTTGTCGGAAACGGAAGAATGTGATTTTGACTGTAGTCTTAGATATCAGTGAAGATTTGAGATTATTATCATCATGAGTCTCATAGTCATGACAAGCATTACAGGATATCTAAAAGAACGTAACTTTATTGAACGCAGCTGTTTCCTCACTGACATGTCCGTTTCTTTACACGCCCCTTATCTATCTTTAAAGGTTTGATGCAAGGAAATCATTTGCGTTTTATTTACACATCATATTTTGTGCCTATTACAAATAGTTATACAAAGAAAATTCTAATGTTTTTATGAAACTTAAACATTATCTGCTATTTATGATAATGAGTCATTAATAGAATCCCTAACTTTTGACCATATTCAGTGAAACGGAGCGTACTTGACTCCTAGCGACTGAAAATGAATTATCGAATTTCTGAATTATTTTATTAAAATTAAATTACATAGTGTAGCCGTAAGTGTACTACGTAGGCGTAAAAATATTTATTGCTTTAGGTATTATTAGTTTACTGAGTATTTTATACGGTTTTATTTACTAACAAATTTTGCTTCATCGATGGACTTTAGAATCGATAACCCAATTTCTTTTAAGTTTTTAAACGACTGCAATTGTGCATTACTGTGTCGCTGTAAAATGCTGTTGTGTTAAGGTTGTGTGAAGTTATAGTGCCCGTTGTGACCATGCTTTTCACACCGATTTATATTGCTATGACCTTTATAAAGACCTGGAGAATTCGCTCGTTTCGCGCTCGTCTACTTGAATTTTTGAACGGTAACACAAGTGTCGCATTTTGCAAAGTCCCTGAAAATGCAGCAGGTAAGTCTTAATAAAAATTAAAGAGGTAGTTATGTCACCCCTCTTTCATAAAATAATTAAATCAGTCAGTTTAGTAAGCATGACATTAAAAAAAATCAATAAATTATTAATAATTAATTTGTTTATTCCAATAATAGCACTAACTTGTCTATAAGTTATGTTTTCAAAGATTTCTTTATAACTTTTTTACAGAAACCCCTACACTTAGTTCTAAGCTATGTACAAATCCAAAAAATGCATATCTATGTGATTTACTGGACTATACGAATGCTACGAGAATCTGCAGTATGAAGCCGACCCAGTTGATAGAGATCAATGACTGGGTAACATGTGCGAATGGCTTGCCACTCGGCTCCAGTGACCAATCTCCCATCACCGACTTAGATGTGGATGTGTTGTTTGAGTGTGAGATGGAACCCCATGATAATACAGGGCAAGATATCATTACTGTGAGTGCTGTCATGTATTGTAATTGTAGCATTTAAATGATGGAACTAATATGACTAACATTTATTTGGCATAAACTTTAAAAACTTTAATTTAACATTAATTCAATTAAACCAAAATATGTAATAAATAGTTTCTAGTTGTAAAATGTAACTTAGATTTTACAATCATTTATTTACACCTGCCAACAGGTTTACTAACACCCATGGGTTGAAAAGTAGCCTAAATTTATAATTATTAAAAACTAAAATCTATCTCTGTGCCAATTTTCAACAAAATCTATTCAGTAGTTTTTATGTGAAAAAGTAACAAACATCAATCCTTTTATACTTACTTCTGTACATTCCCAATTTAAATAAAAGAAGGTTTTATTAAAGGTTTATTTATCACCAGTGCATTAATTCTACCATTAAAGTACTACTATTGCTTTTTTTTTTAAAAGAACACTGTTTAAATTTCAGTTAGAATCTATGGGTCAGCCAGTAGCATGGAAAGCAGGCTCACACCTTGCTATAATAGTGAAGACAAATATAGAACACCTCAGTGTCATCGGCTTCAATTTCATTGGTGGAGAGTTTGTCATAGACCACAATCTGCCTGTAGTCAGGATACAGAGTAAGTTCCTAATCTTATTCCGACAATAGTTGCCTTAAATTGTGGTGTGTTTATACATATGTAAACAATTTCACTCATGACACAACAACAATATGTTGATCACACAAAGAATTGTTTCATGCAAGAATGGAACTCGCGACAAGTTATACTGCATCCAATTACCCAGCCACTGTTGCACTTGTTGTCCTTTTACAATTATTATGTATGGGGACATAAATTTTCTATACACATTTAAAGAAATTTATTATTACATTACATAAGTGTCCTTTTATTTTTTCAGCTGTTCAGCTATCAGGGGAACCAAATAAGGCTTCCGATACATCTATGAGAAGTCTCCGCAGTGACATTCAGCACAGTCTCAAACAGCCAGCCAATGAGTTTCAGTGGCCAGTACACGCTGCACTACTCAGGAAACTCTCCAAAGTTGTAGATATTAAGTCTGATGCTAAGAATACCATACAGATGAATGGAAGCAGCGGAGAACTGGTACTTGAAGTACCACCTCCTCGAAAAACTGTCACCCTAGCTGATGTCAGTGTGAACACGGGCAAATCGTTATCAGGAGAGGAAACAGACAATCCCGAGGACAGTAAAAATGCAATAGAAGTTGCAATAAAGCCAGAAGAACTACAGCCTGATGAAAAAGAAGTTATATTGGAAAATGTCACAGTAGAAATACAACACAATATCACACCAAAGAAATCTAGTTTAAAACTTGACTTGAAGAAGGGTACGAGTCAACTTTCAACTTCTCTATTAAACATATCTAGCCAAATAAAGTCTGTAACTACTCATAAAAGGATAGTAAGTACGACCGGACCAAAGAGGCCGCAGTCCCAGATAGATTGTTACCCAGTAAAGGAGGAGACGGCTAGGAGTTCAAGCTCTCAGAGTACGCCGAAATCTGTGAAAAGTTCCCGTCCATTAGTGAATACAAAGTCACCGAATGTGTTGATTTATTCTGATAGTATAGTAGCTAGAGATAATTTGGAGGCCTCCCTTAGGAAAATACTGGATTGTGATAGGTAAGTGGCCTGTATCCATATTCTAACTCTGTTGTGCTTGATTATGGAATCATATTACTGTTCTCACGTACTCGTAATAGAGCCAACTTAATAATGTAACAAAGAATTTGATTCTAAAATCAATTTAATTAGAACCTCCATTGCTTGTTTTTTCTATAGGTTACACATTGGTATGAGAAATAGCTTTACTAGACTTATATTTAATATTTTGTTTGACATACAAAAGTGCCTATAATGTTCTAGTTAAAATTAATAATTTGACTTTAACTAAGATATTTATTTCATAAAAATTATAGTGGATTTTGTTTTCTTATCAATGCACTCTTAACTTATTTACCTTATCGGCCAAAATTGCTTAATACCATCATGTTTATACGTGCATCGGTAATTGCTATACTAAGATTATTTCATATAAAATTATCATTAAAATTCGTACGCAAAGAGTATGTAGCGAATGGAGTACCCACTAGCTATTTTTTTCATTTAACTTCAGTATACGATTATGAATGACGCCGTTACCTCGACAACCATAAAAAATTATACGGTAATATTATTGTCAGGTATACGTTATACGTGGTGTCGCGTGAAACGCTCGAGGCAGGAGCGTGGCGCGGGCGGGCAGCGCTGGTGGCCGTAGCAGGCTGTGTAGGCCGGGCCGCGCCACTTCTGTTGGCGCATTTGTTAGCAGGGGGCCGATTACTCGCACTCTGTTCTGATCTACTCCATACTGTGTTGCCGTACTATAAGACTGCCGAGGTGAGAATTATGAAGTTAGCTATGTATTTATTTATTTATTGGTTCACCAAGAATTGTTTACACAGGTATTATGCTAAAGGTAACATGCATTAATAAACATAATATACTCAGATTGCAATATTGTAACAATCACCTGCAAGCAAACTCCACATGCTTTAAGGGTAGATTACATATGAGAGCAAAAAAAGCAAACCAACCTAATGTTTCTTTATGTGTACTTCATCATGTTTTTTTTTTATTTTGTCCTGCACTAAGCTTTTTTCCTATGAGGTGTTTACAAACATTGCAAATCGTAACACATCCCACCTAGACCCAGAACAGCAATTTTTGAATCAAATACGGAGTTATTCCATGATTGTTAAACCCGCGGGTTGCAGAGCAGACAGTTTTAGCAACTGCGTCAATCATGCAGTCAATTTTTTTTCTTCTTTTATGTAAATATATTTATTAGGCCCGTGAGTTAAGGCGTAATTGGTAAACACACTTATCCAGATATAGCCTGTACAAATCCCGGAATACTTTTATCGACCCGTCAGTCGAACACTATTTAGGATCCATTATTTAGCAGTCACACCGATAACCGAAACAGTTTGTGACAATATGTGGATAATTTTATAACATCTGAATTCTTTCTCCAGGTTCGTGAAAATGAAATAGTTCAATTCAGTTACGATAAATGGAAATCTGTGAAGATGAAACATCACATATTCTGCTACCAAGCGTCGCCTGCCAAGAAACAATTTTCAACGGAATGCGACAGGCAGTAAGTAGCCTATTCATTCATAATTTTTATTTGTGTGTGATATGTGTTTGTTTTAAACAGAGTAATGAACAAATTAGGTGCTAATAAACTCATATCTGTACTTTTTTAAACTTAATTTTCGACCTTCCTGCCAAGGCTTATGGGCGAAAATTATGCAAATCCCTCTTTATGTAGAAGAGGTCCATAATCCTATATTGGAGTTTCAAGGGCAGTTAATCTAACACTTCCGTTCATCATTAGAAAGGTGAATAGATACTAAGAAAATTCATCAAATTGTATTCACCCCGTTTTACGGTACCTACACACCTACGTACGCACTCCATTTGTTCATTACTCCGTGTCACAAAATAAATGTGCTTATAAATAATATTTTGATCAATTTACAGAGCAAGTCAGGAAAATAATGTGTATCGGTACGCAAAATATTCTATTGAATTTAGATACCATTTAATTTTCAGCCCTCATACATTTTTTTATAGTTTTTTATGAAGTAGGTAATGAAACACGTAGGTACTTACGCATTTCTTTATTAATACTGTATGTATATAGGTAGACGGGTAATAAGTGTTCGATATTTAAACAAGTGATTGTTATCATGATAAAAAACATCTTTCCCAAAGAAACTTCTTTTCTATACTCCCTAGTTTTATTTTTATTCAAAACTAGGGTTTCTCGCGCGGTTTCACTCGTTTCTGGTTCCTACAGGTTGTAGCGTGATCTTTTATAGCCTAAAACCTTCCTCAATAAATGAGCTAACGAACAAAAATAGAATCGTTCATTTCGTACCAGTAGTTCCGTAGATTAGCGCGTTAAGACAAACAAACTCTAAAGCTTTTTAATAGTAGTAGATATTGACTAGCGCCCCGTCCCTGCTTCGCGCGGCTTATAACTATCTCGCTAACGATGAAAGTCCAAATATCCCAGGTCTCCCCTCTACTTTTCTAAAATTTTCTTTCAAAGAACCTCCTCCTGACCATTACAAACATACCAAAAGAAAAAGAATTGGTAAAATTGGTCTAAGCGTTTTTGAGTTATGTTCTTACCAACACATTTTGATATAAAATAAATAGATTAATGGCGCGCTTGAAAGTTTAAACTACCGTCACCTTCGCCCGATCAGCTGTTAAATTTTTAGCTGGCGAGGCCCGCGATTCGTCGATGACGTAAAAATAAAACGAATAAGTATAGAACGAAAGTTTCTTTGGGAAAGTTGTTTGTTATCATAAGTATATACAATCATGTGTTTAAATCAATAATTACCAGTCACTATATTTATTTAACAATTTCATTGCTATTTTCACGTATGACAACACTTATTTGCAACAGAAAATAGTTCTATACAAAATATACTGTTTCGTTTGATGCTTTGTTTTATGCATGTGTATGTGTAGTTGAGTTGTTCGTACATTTACATGAAATTTACATACAATTTTACATACATACAAACATACATATATGTCTTGGTGGCTTAGAAGTCAAGCTGATCGCTTTTCTTGCATGATTGTTAGAAATCTGGAAAGTACAAATGTGACTTTTTCCGAGATACATGTACTTTATCCCCCTATTACAAAACAAGGTTTATCTTTAGTCCAGGTTTAAACCATTGAGTCGGGTTTTGAGTTTTGAATCTTATTGTCATCTACCTTCAATTCGAAATACGAAAACTGGCTTAATGGTTTAGTCCTAGACTAAAGTAAAACCTTGTTTTGTAATAAGGCCGTAGAAGATTATGTACACACCACTGACAGAGTCAGACGGTGAAGGAAAACATCGTGAGGAAACCTGGACTTATAATTTCTTATAATGAGTCCTCCGTATGAGAAGAGGTCTTTGCATACCAATGGATACTTATAAGTTTTTTCATTCACTTACACGACATAATTATAATATTCAATAGATATTTTGAATGGCTGAACAGGGATGGCATAATATTATTTAATAAGTAGCGTAGCATTATGTGAATGTAATTTATAAATAATACTTAAATATTAGTATAAACATTATTCACTGTATTTTACTAATGCAACTTCGTTGATCTGAGGTCTTAAAGACTTAGACTTGCCCATTACAAAGTCCAAATACACCAGAGCTGTATTGCAAGTTTTATGAAATAGTCTAGATACTATTGAGATTGAGTTTTTAGATTTATTTAGAGATTTTTGTATAGAAAAAAAAACCACAATGATTTCGATAAGAATGAAAAACAAAAAGAAAAACAATTTTTAATTCTCGCTGAACACATACTTTTATGCCTAGCAAGCATACTGATTGATGTTCTTTCTTCGTTTACCGCGTCAAAAGACATCTTTGGCCAACATTGAGATAATTACACTTAAGCTGATTATTTTAAATTCAGTATGAAGTTTTTATCATACATCTTTTCTTTTTATTTATTTTAAAACTTGATTTTTACATTTTTAAATATTTTCATAAAACAAAAAAAAAAAAACACTTAAAAATATAAAAAGCAGTATCCCACCGGTTACGGGAGGGTTCCAAGCAACCGGTGGTCAGGGTTCCAGAGAAAGGAATCTCCGGACAATGCGCGCCGTGTCTAGAAGTACAGCTTTCTGCATCAGATTCTTGACCCAACCATCTAACGTAAGCCTGCTTAGGTGTTTATCAAGGCTTTTAGCCATGAGACCATTGGCAGACACGACTATCGGCACAATGATTGCTGAGTCTACATCCCACATGTCGACAATCTCATGAGCTAAATCAAGATATTTACTTGCTTTATCTTTTTCAGCTTTCACAAGATTCTCGTCATGTGGGATTGTTATATCAATTATCATTGTGCGACGGCTAGATCGATCTATCATCACAATGTCAGGTTTGTTGGCTACAATTGTCCTATCAGTGATGATAGTTCGATCCCAATACAGTGTGACATCTCCATTCTCGAAAACTGGGTCAGGCAGATACTTATAGTACGGCACTTCAGATTCAACAAGTTTGTATTTTAAAGCAAGTTGCTGGTGGATAATCCTGGCCACGAGGTTGTGTCTATGCAAGTACTCTCCATTAGCTAGGTGAGAACAACCCGAAATTATATGTCGGATGGATTCCCCTGGGCGATGACATGCCCGACAAATGTCAGCCGTACCATCCTTTATAATATATTTTCGATAATTGTTCGTCAGCATAACTTCGTCCATAATTGCACAGACAAAACCTTCTGTTTCACCAAATAAGTTGCCGAAACGTAGCCAGGATACGGACGCTAAGAAGTCTACCTCTGGCCCATGTAAAGCCCTATAGTAGCGTCCGTGCAGCTCTTTGCTTTGCCAAACATCCTTACGGTCCTTAGTGCTTAGTACTACAGGTTTTCTCCAATTCTCGTTAGCTAAGGAGAGCGCAGTAAGTCCTTTGTCCACAGCGACAACATCTTGGTGCATCCCCACTTCCATTTTTAAGAAGTAGTTTCGGAGACTGCACACTTCACTGTTGTGGAGGGTTTTGGCATTTTATCATACATTATTATTATGTAAAATGGTTCAATCAAATTAATTATGTTAAAAAATGAAAGTAAGGACTATACTTTACTAAATGGATTAAAAATATACAGCATTTTTATGACATCAAAAAATGATTTGTATAAGGTAGGTATAAGTATGTAGATCCTAAATAGTTGATCTAGTAAGTCCTAAATTTTCCTAAATATATAGATATTTAGGAAAATTTAGGACTTACTAATCTTCTGACAAAAATATGTAAACAGCAAATAATATTTATTCAGCAAACAGCATAAAATATGTGGTCTTAAAAATTCTATACAAAAACCTCTCTCTCATTTGATTTCGTCGCTTCAATTCTAACTTAGTGTCGTTATGTATAGGCCTTCCAAGTACACGGGTCATCCTGGCCACGAGCTGGATATCCAGGTGTTGGCCTCCGAGGAAACGTGGCGCACACCCTCACTGCTGCAGTCCACAGACCTGACTAACGGAGGCATCGCTATATTCTCACAGGTATTTAAAATAGTCTAGTATAATTAATGTCCCCAAACCAAAGTCAAAATTTGCCAACCAAACCATAAACAGCAACTTTTGAAACGTCAGAATAGAATAATGGTCTGTCACTATTAAAATTTGTCAGTGAAGCTAAGTGCTCGTGCCAAAGTGTAGATTCGAATGGAGAATAGGGAGCAACAAACTCCATCGTAAATTAATCGAAATTTGAAAAATATTACGAATCGACTACAGGTCCCTATTGTCGGTCGAAACCAGTCGGACATCCTCGAACAACAGCTGTGTTCGCTTGTGTTAGTCTCGTAATTATTGCTGAGATTTTTTTAAACTCACCATTTGAAGTATTATTTGTTTTGGAGATAGCAACAAAAATATTCCTCTAACGATGGTAAGCAATTAGTGTCGCTCATGTACATTAGCGACACTAGACGAAGTACGAGTGCGTTGTCGACCTTTTGGGATGCGAAGGGGAGAGGGCAAAGTTCAAGGAGGAGGATTTTTTTTATGTAATAGGTCGGCAAACGAGCAAACGGATTACCTGATGGTAAGCAATCAGCGTCGCCCATGGACACCCGCAACGACGGAGGAGTTACGAGTGCGTTGTCGACCTTTTGGGGATTAGGGATTTGGAGATTTTGGGAAAGGGAACGGATTGGGGTAGGGAAAGGATTGGGGATTTTTTTTTCTTTTTTCAACAATTGATCACACAACACAACTGAAGAGGTCAATTATTCTTCTTTTTTCATTTTCTAGATACATTTAGAAGCTGACCCCAGCGATTACCTAGGCGACGAGGGAATGAAAAGTAACGACGCTCGCCTGGGAATCATTCACAAAATACTAGGCGATATACTCGGTCTTCACGTAAAGGAACCAAAAGAACTGACTCAGATTGAGTATACGCGAGGTTTCTTCCTAGGCAACCATGTGGTAAGAAAACTTTTTTACAATGCACTAAGTCACCTGTATATGTTTATTTGGCATCACCATCAATGTAGCAATTGCTGGATATTGATATTTATATTTTGATATCACTTTATGTATTAGGTAAATTCTCATTATAGTGTGACCATTAGTGTTGTACACTCCCTGAGGGTAAATTTCGTGGTGGCCCGGAAGTTAAGATGCCAAAAAATAAATTTTAATAAATAAAATAAATATAATTAATAAAATAAACTGGGAACCTGGACTTATAATTTCTAATTTTGACTTTTAAACTTTCGCGTTTCATATTAATAACATATATTTACGCGGGTATTAACGCGGAAAATTATAATTTGAATACCTTGGTAGGCTTAACGTTTCGATCCAGTTGCACAGGTCGTGGTCACAAGCAGTCAGCAGACCACGACCTGTGCAACCGGGTAAATATATGTTTCTAATTTTTAGTTTTGAAATCGCCAATTCGCCTTGAACAAGGTAGGTGATTAATGGCCAAACCTTCTCCGTCCGAGAAGAGGCCTTTGCTTAGTCGTGGGCACTTACAAGCTGATGGTGTTAAGTAGATTTTAAATCAATGTATTTTTTTAATTTTTTTTATATCAAGGCATGACTTGTGGCGGCACGATACCTATCTGTTACCTTACTTAGTTCGTTAAATTGTTACTCCAATATACTCACTCATATTTTATTTACACCATATAGTTAAGATAAAAGATAAAGATAAAAGATAACTTTTCTTTAAATATTCAGCCACCTTAAAAATGACAGTCTTCATATCACGAGATATCGCACAACGAATCTTTGAATATTTATCTCATGTGCGTCTGACATATACAGTCCGGTACAGACAACACTACCTACCGTCACGAGCGTTGACGAAGAACTGACTGAGCCAACCATTTTCCCCTCTCCCCCTTTTTTTGCTGGGGAAAATCATCATAAATGACTTCTCTCGTCCAGGGTTGGGCGGAAGAGATAGTTTACTCTTACCGGCTAAAAACGCCATCGTTCGGTCTCCTGCTCTAGGCCGAGGCCGCGGTGCCTCATTGCGCTTACCCCAAAACCCCCCTGACATACCTTTGGGAGTGCACAGCACTAATGGTCACACTCTATAGCGAAATTGAGACTACAAAATTACAAAATTACCAATCGGCTATCTTCAGAAATGTCACCAAAAATTTGCATACAATCGACTAAACAATTAGGTACTTAGGAAATACTGTTTTATTAATTTCTATCCATCTCTATCCGTTGCTTATCAAAATATAAATGTCTTAAGCAACCTTTATTAGGAATTACGAGTAGATTTATAACCTAAATTTGTGATGTGCATACCTATTTGCATAAATTAGATGTATTTCTTACTAAAGTATTGATTAAAATATTGAATTTTATGTCACGTGTCAGCTTTATAGAAACACCGCCATCTAGTTTTTATTAAAAGAGAGTTTGGTAGATATTTGGGTAATTTATTTCGCATTGTGTATAATGGGCCCTTTAGTGAACTTGGCTGAATAATTTTAATAAGAAACGCTACGTGAAAATAATATTGTAGAGTTTTTGGAATTGAGTACTTTGCATAATTCGATGCTTTAATATTATTGTTGTTGTACGAAATCAACAATATTTTTAATTAGAATTTTGATGTCATTTTTTAAGGTTATGCGTGTCATATTCCTCTTATATATAGGTCATATTGTTTCTTAGTCATAATACGTGATTTGAAATTTAACTTTTCATTCGGAAAAAGCTATTTTTTTACTTATGTAATTAAAAAGTACTTAGTATGTAAAATAAATGTGATTAAGTTCGCGACTATGATATGAATCGGTGTTTGTGAGACTACGATAGTGACGGTGTTCCCCGGTAGGCGGCGTGGCCGAAGCGTGCGGCCGGCCCTGGCCACGTGACCGTGTGATGCCCGGTGAGACACACCTCGCTTCACGACCACTAGTACCTACATAACCCGCTACGTTTTAAGAGTGAGATCTATCCAAACAAACAAACAAACTTGCCAAAAATCTATAAAAATGTGTTGTAACGTGCAACATTTTATCTAGACGCTACTGCAACAGTTACAAGTTGTAACATTTCTGTTGGCGCGGTGGTTGGGTTTCATCCCCGCACGGAACAACTCTTTGTGTGATCCACAAATTGTTGTAACGAGTCTGGGTGTAGTTTGTACGTGAAATTGTATGTTTGTTAACGCACCCACGACCCCAGAGAAAATCCAAGTGTAGGGTAACGTTTTTTTAAATTAAAAAGAACATTAAACTCACTCTTAAAACTCCTTTTTAAAGATTACGCTTTGTTTTTGTAAATATTTAATATTGATTCACGGTATTTTTATAGTATTATTATAATGTGCACGCAAATGGCTTTATTTTCTTTACACAATTTTATTCTAATTAAATAACCATCTTGTTCCACAGCTGTTTACATCTGAACATTCGATAGAATAATAAATCATATCTTGATTATTGTTTTTAAGTGGATTCGATATCGCTAAATCACTGGACATTTCGTGCTTAGATCGATTTCAATTTGAGCTAAATTTCATTACCTAATTCCAGATATAAATATTTGATATTTTTTAATTTTCTCTCTTGGTGTTGCATGTTGTGTTGCTAGGTATTTTCTGTCGCAACAACGTTCGAAGATAACTCGCTATTATTGACGATAATTTTCATATCTTAAAGTAAAGGAAATTGGGTAGTTTCCTTAGTCAAAAAAAGAAAACTATTAAAATAAGTTAAAAATAATCACAGATTTCTTGATTAATTTTACTAAATATAGTGACTTGGCAATCGTATATATTTTTTTTTTATATAAATCAGGAGAAATAAGCTTGCAATTTAGCGTAAAAATGCTGATGTACCAATGTTTGTCAGACATTGGTACAACAGAATTTTTACTAATTTTTGGTTGGAAGAAGTATTGTATTTGACTATTTGGAAACTACCCTGTTATTGGACATTTTATTGGCCATACGTGTGTTTTAATGAGCCCTTGTAAATAAATATTCAGAGGCGATATACTGCAATTCGGGTTTATTTAGTTACAGTCATTTATCTGTCTGTAGATTTGATTGCTAGACACAATATCTAGAAGAATTTTCTGTCAAAATACAAGTTTCGTAATTTTGTTAGAACTATTCATCCAAACATTATTTTAAGTGTCACGTGTCACTTCGGATCTCCTCGTCCAATTGGATGAGCCTTCTTTATCTAAATTAGTCCAAACCAGACTCTAATAAAGAACACCCTCTATTCTAGTATCTATTATTATTATCATCTCATTTTACTATTTTTTACATTGTTTGGACTTGAAAAGAGACGGCCCTCAAGTTTTTTCGGCATTTCTTCTCAGAGTAGTCAGATAGGAAATACCTCGTCATTTGGTTTTTTATCTATACTAATAATATTATAAAGCTGAAAAGTTAGTTTGTTTAAACGCGCTAATCTCAGGAATTACTGGTTCAAATTGAACAATTCTTTTTTTGTTTGTTAGTCCATTTATTGAGGAATGCTATAGGATAGGCTATAAAACATCACGCTACGATCTGTAGGAGCAGAGCTACGGGTGAAACCGAGCGAGAATAGCTAGTATATGTATAATTTTGACGTGTAAAAGTGCCGTTTTATAGCCTATTTGCAAAAATAAATTGATCCTTATTTCTATAACTAATTCTACGTCTAGTAACCAAATCTGCAGACAGATAAAGAAGTAATCGCGACAGAAGATACGTTGCTAGTTGTCTCTCTCCCTCTTTATACCTTCGAGGTGGTTCATGGGTACATTGACCACAGAACAAGCTGCAGCTGGTGGAGGCGTGTCCGCTAGTGGATGGGGCGCGCGTGCAGACCTTGGGCGACTTGCGAGTGCAGTGGTGCCTCACGGGGGAGGAGCCTCTGCAGCCGCCTGGCCCCTCCTTCCTGCCTGTATACGTCTACGAGTGCCCCGAACACTTTTCCACCGTCGAATATTTTGATGTAAGTACCCAGAAGCATTCTGATCTCCTGTAAAATTTTGCTGCTTTTAGTTGATAAGAATGAGAGCTATGTCCAGGGTGGCCGAAGATTTTCTATCTTGTTGTTAAAATAGTAAAGTTCAATTTTAATTGTAATAGTATTCCCATTAGTCACATATAAAGTACTCCAAGAGTAGTGGTTGGATAATATCTTTAGCATTACCGGAAAATGGACAAGAGTTGTTTGTAACTTTGTATGAGTAGTTACAATTTTGGTGTGATGTGTGTTGCGTCTTTAATTTCTTGATGGCCTGCAAGTTAAGGCGCCCTAATTCTCAGTCATATAACAAGTACCAGTGTGACTTTTTCAAGTTATATGTACTTTTTAAGGATGTAGAAATAGATAGACGGTGAAGGAAAGCTCGGTATGGTAAACTGGACTTATGATTATTGTCATAAGGTTTACAATCTTCGATCCGCCTTTAGCAACCTTCTCCGTGAGAAGAGGTCTTTGAGCACTCAGAGGATGGTGATAATTTGAAGGTTAAAATACATATTTTAGAACCTAACATCGAAGCACATGGGTCGGCTGGTGGTATACTCGGACGTGATGTCGTCGACGATGCACGTGACGAGCGGCCCGCTGGCGCACGGCGCGGGCTCCGTGGCGCGCCGCCAGGCCGCCGGCCGGGGCCGCGCCGGGAACTCGTGGATCTCGCCGCTAGGGCAGGCTGCTATATCGCTACAGGTCTACGATTTATTTCGTTCTTTCTTTTTGTTGACATGGATTGGACATATAGATACATACAGTCAAAAAAACATAGGTAATTATCATAGACATATTTATAGGACAAACATGAAGTAAGAAGAAATTTATTTTAAACATTATAATAACATTATAATATAATATCTACATTAATACATAGAAAATATACTGCATTGCGATTATTTTAATGTTATAATTCTTTAATGTCATGCTAATTATATAGGTACCTATGTATAAAAATAAAATTGCTGTTCGTTTGTCTCGCTAAAACTCTGAAACGGCCAACCCAACTTAGTTATATTTGACATTAAAATATTACCTATAAAATTAAAAAAAAATTCAATACTTAATAACAGTTTTCCCTCTCATAAAATCTGCTCTGTTATTGAATATTTGCCAAGAACAAAAATTGGCAGAAACTAAATCTAGCATTACCTTTTTGAATCGGTACGGCGGCGTTCGCCATATCAACAATAACACCATCAATTATAACACATCATTCATCAATTATAATTTTGTGGCTTATTGTATTAGGTAGGTTTTCTTATTAAATCAAGTTAAGATTACTCACAGTACAGTACGGCCGAAGATACGTTGACGGTATTGTATACTGTACAAAAAATACCGTTTTACAGCAAGCTTTACGACTTGGTTTGTTTTGTAGGTTTGGATGAAAGTATCGCCGTGCCTCCCTCTAGTACAACACGCCGCTGCACTGGCCGCCGTGCGGGCCATACGGTCGCAGCCAGCTTACGAACATTTGGATATTAGGTAAAGCATTCATACATTTTCTTTTTGTATTATATTGAAGCAATATTTCCATAAAAATAGATAGATTTCCAAATTAACGGATTTTAATATTGAACTAAAACAGCCATCACTCTCGGAAGAAAAGAAGACAATAGTGCCAGAAAACTTAACTTATACTTAAACGTTTGCAAGGACAGTTCAAAACACAATGTTTACAAGGACACTTACTAGTTTAGTTTGCTTTTTTTTTCTAATAACTATCATGAGACATGGGTATTAAATTAACTAAAAAACAGTAGGCTGCGCGACGTCGCCGCGTCCGCGCACGCTGCTCATGAAGAAGAACCCCTCTGTGTTTCGAAACGAGTCGAGCTTTTCTCAATATTTACACGTGCTTTTATTTATTTATTTATACACTTTATACAAAAGAATGTACAGGCGGACTTAATGCCTTAGGCATTGTCTGACAGTCGACCTTCAGATGGTGGAGAGATGAGAGTGGCAGGTGAATTTATCTTTATACTTATACATATAAAAATTTCGTGTCACGTGTTTGTCCGCGATGGACTCCTAAACTACTGAACCGATTTTCATCATCATCATTCATCATTACATTCCGTGTGCATTTTGATCCAATTTTAAAGATAGGATAGCTTACATCTCAATTTATAGTTCAAAATTATTTAACTTAGCCACAGCAACGCGTGGCTGGGTTTACTAGTACTCTATAAATTTATTTATCCAATAATAATTATGCTGAAATATAGGTTCTAAATTTATTGAAAATACTGACTTACTTTCGGTATTACTGACGCTGTCACCTGCTTGGAAACCAAGCTTGAACTTTACATCGATCTCAGCAAACTGGATCGACAGCACGGTTGGCGCGGTGGCTGGGCCACTGGCAGCCGTGCAACATGTCGCGGGTTCGATTCCCGCACGGAACAACAATTTGTGGATCACACAAAGGGTCTGGTGTCATGTGTATGAAATTGTATGTTTGTAACTGCACCCACGACACAGGAGAAAATCCCAATTTGCCAGCACGCAAGGCTTATTTTAAAAAAACCAAAAAAAAAAGATAACGTTGCCAACTTGGAGTGTAAAATATAAACCGTGCAATATAACTCCGCTTTTGTTACGACCCGGGACTAGAACCGAACACCAACGTAGCTGCACAAACCAAGCGTGTCAACGTCGTTGCGTCGAGTGACCGAATAAGAGTCCCGTTGTAACTTGAAACTAGTAGAGCTTTTCAAGTTAGATAAGTCGTTACTTTCGTTCATAATTGACGATCACAAGTTATGTGACAACTTACATATTGTTGTACCGAGTCTGGCTGTGGTGTGTTTGTGAAATTATACTTTGTAAACGCATCCACGACACAGAGAAAATCTTAGTGTGGGACAACTTTTCTGTTTAAAAAATATTTTGTATCATTTTGACTATATAGCCCTTTCCCTGTGGTACTCAAATCATAACAAATTTCAAACGTATGCTGTCCCCGAGAATCACACTTCAGTTTTCTGTCACTGTTTTTTTTATGGTATAAGTCGGCAAACGAGCAGACGGATTACCTGATGGTAAGCAATCGGCGCCGCCCATGGACACCCGCAACACCAAAGGAGTTACGAGTGCGTTGCCGGCCTTTTGGGGATAGGGGATGCGGACATAAAGATCGGGAAATGATAGGGGAAAGGGCGGGATTGGGCCTCTGGTAACCTCACTCACACGGCGAAACAGAACGCTGTGGTTGTTTCACGCCGGTATTCTGTAAGGCCGTGGTATCACTCCGGACGAGCCGACCCTTTCGTGCCGAAGCTTGGCTCTCTCACACTTCTACTAACAAATCATCATCATCATCATCATCATCATCAGCCTATAAGTGCCCACTGCTGAGCAAAGGCCTCTTCTCACACGGAGAAGGTTTGAGCATTAATCACCACGCTTGCTCAATGCGGGTTGGCGATTTCAAACTTACAATTAGAAATTATAAGTCCAGGTTTCCTCACGATGTTTACCTTCACCGTATGTCAGTGGTGTCTAAATAATCATAGAAAGTACATATAACTCGGAAAAAGTCACATTGGTACTTGCCAGGTTTTGAACCCACACTCTCATGCATGAGAAGCGGGCTCCTTAACCTCCAGGCCACCACGACAACAAATAAACTAATCGATTCTTCCGTAGGATAAAATGGCCGAACGATATATATTTTGGTCGTGACGTCAAAATCGGTGGCACTATCACCACCGCCAACTGCATCGGCGAACAAGTCTACGTTAATATAGGTAATTGTATAACTTGCAGTTATTTTTATTAGTCGCTTTCTCCCTATATGCATATATTATGTCATATGTATGTTTAATTTTTAAAACTGCGCCACGGATTTTGATGCGATTTTTCATTAAATTGCTTGAATAGAAGGGTTTATCGGAGTAGGTAGATTGATTTTTTGCACTTGTACCATAAATTCTCACAGAAAGAAAAACATGGATAAGCCATTTTCCCGGAAAGTAATTCCCGTATTTCCGGATCCAGTTAAATATTGTTAATGCTGGTAGTGATATTTTTCCTACTCAATTCAATATTTACAGGAAGGTATCTTAACTTAATTAATTCATTATTTATCTTTTGAATAATAAAACAATCGAATTCCGAAGTAAACGAGTGAGCTACCTGGCATGTCGTCGGCGGGCGTATGCATTGTTCTGATAACCAGTTATTGTACCACCCATGATCCTTTGTAATTCTGTGTGACGTTAAAAAAATATGAAGAATAATAAAGAATAATATTTTTCCACTCTGGCAATAAAATTCCTACATAAGTTCTGGTTTTTTTAATGACCTACCAATTCCGGAGGAATGTCCATATTAATATATACGTTTCGGATCAATGACCCCATTTCAATCTACCTACTCTGATCACTGGTTATAAATAGTAAAAATATTACAGTGAGACTCGGTCGTGGTAGTGTGGTAATGTTACACTTCTAGCCAAGTTTAATTAGTAACAGAAGCAGCTTTAATTACTCTTGAACGTATTCTTTTTTCAGGTACCGGTGTAAACATATCGAATAGTGTGCCGACAATGTGTCTGAACGACATTATAACGGAACACAACAAACTCCACGGCACCACTCTACCTCTAATATCAATAGAGAAGTTCCTAGCGAGATATTGCTCGCAACTCGAGCGGATAATCGATTACATGAGCTCGGACGGAGGAATCGATGCCTTTTTCGAACAGTATTACCAGTATTGGTTGCATACGTAAGTATATTCATTTATATACTATATTCATTTATATAATTTTTTTTTTCATTATGTAATAGATCGTCAAACGAGCAGACGGATTACCTGATGGTAAGTAATCAGCGCCGCCCATGGACACACGCAACGGAGGAGTTACGAGTGTGATGCCGACCTTTTAGGGATTAGGGATTGGGGGTGGGGAAGGATTGGGCCTCCGGTAACCTCACTCACACGGCGAAACACAACGCTGTGGTTGTTTCACGCCGGTTTTCTGTGAGGCCGTGGTATCACTCCGGCCGAGCCGACCCATTCGGGCCGAAGCATGGCTCTCCCACATTTATGTACTGGTTTCCGATTAATTATATTAAGGACAGCGAATCACGAATTCAAAGTATATAACATAATATGATCAAAACTTCGCCTTATTGGCGCATCTCTTTTCATTTTTATTTCAACACATTCGTTCACGGACTATACTTTTCTATTTCCCGGACTAGTTCTAGCAATTTATTGCTTATGTCTTTAAGTATGGGTCGTTTTTCAGCGGCAGTTAGAGTAAAATGTGCCGCTTGTCTAAGAATTAATGTTCAAAATCGCTCACACATAAGAAATTTCGGGTTATTAATTATTAAAACGTTTATTAAAAATAACGACTTACTATGTGAATTAACTGAGAAAAGCTCTACGACTAGCACGAGTGACCTTTAGTCGGCTACACGACGTCAATGTGACGAGCACGCTGCTCATGAATAAGAGTCTCATTATGACTTGAAAATAGTAGAGCTTTTCTCGTCTAAATCGCGAAAGTAAGTCGTTACTTTAAAAGAGCCCACCTTTTGCATCCTGTAGTTAATTTCAATAAATTAAATACTTATAGATTCTATTCAAATCAAATCAAATCATTTATTTCAAGTAGGCCACAAAAGGCATTTGTGAACGTCAAGCGAAGAAAAAAATTATCAGTAGGTTTGACTTTATGCGTGTCAGTTAGTCTGTCAGTCTGTCCTCTAGTGAAGCTATTTGCTCGTTCCAAAGTGTAGATTGCTATGGAGAAGAACGAACAAACCACTCCATAGTTTCTTTTTTGCTATGGTATAAGTCGGCAAACGAGCAGGCGGATTACCAGATGGTAAGTAATCGCCGTCGCCCACGGACACCCGCAAAACCAAAGGAGTTACGGGTGCGTTGTCGGCCTTTTGGGGATAGGGGTTGCCGATAAGGATCGGGAAGGGAAGGGATTGGTCCTCCGGTAACCTCACTCACAACCGCGATACACAACGCTGTGGTTGTTTCACCGACCCATTCGTGCCGAAGCTTGGCTCTCCCACACTTGTGGTACCACTATTATTTATTTATATTTTTCAATCAGTTCCACAATGCATTTCTTTGTTACATATATAGACTTGTATATTTTTATTTGTTCCAGTGGTGAATCGATCCGTATTAAAAGTGAGGCGACGTCAACTCCAGTGGATGGTACAATAAAGGGGTTAGACGAAGCAGGCTGGCTGGTGGTCACTACAGCCGGGGGCGAGGTCACGGTGGCTCCCGACGGTAATACCTTTGACATGATGAGCGGACTTGTCGCGCCACGTGTTTAGGTCAACTATATAAGGGGCATCCATAAATTATGTGAGGTGTTTAAGGTGGAGGGGGTCGAGTCAAATCTCATCTAATCTTACTTTGGAGAGGTCTCGGCAAATATCAGGCTATTTTTTTCCTGATTGAAACAAAAAGAAAATTATACTATTTTGGTCTATTTAATCCAGATTGTACATGCTTAAGATTCAATTTTAAGCGTAATCGTAGTACGATAAAGGTCCATTACAAAAAAAATGACGATGCAGATTTGTTTTTTTCCTTTTACAATAACAATCTAATGCGTTTACGTAAAAAACTCGTATTTTGAAAAATCTCACGTGAGATTCGGGGATAGGACGACATCTTACAATGGGGGGGCGGAAGGGGCAGAAAGATTAAAAAAACACCTCACGTAATTTATGGACGCCCCCTAAGGCAACTCGTAATTAGTGACCGATAATTTAAACACGTGATTGTATCCATTTTATTGTAATAGGTCGACAAACGAGCTACTTACCTAATGCTATAAGCAATCGGTTCGCGAATGAGTTACGAGTGCGTTGCCGACCTTTCAGGATAAGGGTTTCGGATAATTAAGGATTAGGAAGGGATTGAAAGAGGGAGATTGGGCCTCCATTAACCTCATTCACACGGCGAAACAAAAACGCTGTGGTTGTTTCACGCCTATTTTCTGTGAGGCCGTGTTACCACTTCGTTCGAGCCGACCCATTCGTGCCAAAGCTTGGCTCTCCCACACTTATAACGCCTTGCGTCGCCCGATCAGCTGTTAGCGACCACGCATGAACTTTGCACAGTAAGTTTCTTATAGTAATAAAAAAAACTAAGTAATGAGTATTGAGTATACAAAAATAGTTTCTTTGAGCAAGTTTTTTGTTATCAGGAGTACAATCACGTATTTAAATATCGGCAACTAATAACTATAGTCACCCAGTATATAGGGAAGATAAAACATACATTTCGTTCGTCAGATAGCTAATGAAAAAAATTTAGTACACCTATTTTTTGTTTTATCGAAATAAAATATGTACAAAATAAAATCGAACTTCCAAATTTCGCATGTAATAGAAAGCTGAACTAACTTATAAAATTATGTGGTATTGTAGAAACATACTACTCTCGGTTTCACCGCTGCTCGGCTCTATTTGATCGTAGCGTAATGTTTCATAGCCGATAGCACACAGAAACAATATAGCCGTCTATCAGTAAAATAATTTTGGAAATCCGACCAGCGGTTCCATAGTTTACCCCCTAACATACTAACTTACAAATTAGTACTCGTAGTGATAATACCTTATTTTTTGAGTTAGGCCCATTTCTATGAGGCATACGATTTAAGTTTCGTGCCTACATGCCTTTCTTACTAAGATGTGACGTCAAAAATTTGAGTGTTTCGTGTTATTTTTTTTTTCATTATACTACCAAGTTGGACGTAAGAAAATGTTAGTTATCTTCCCTTTTATAGTGTATTTGGGTGAGGCGATGTACTCCGTCGATGTAGAGTTGTAAGTGGTACCACTATTATTTATTTATATTATTATTAAATATTGGTTATATTACACGTTGATTTGAAACTTATCTCGTTTTGTCCGATTTGCAAAAGCTGTTATGACTCATCACATTACTCATCATCAGCCTATATGTGCCCACTGCTGAGCAAAGGCCTCTTCCCACAAGGAGAAGGTTTGAGCATTAATCACCACGCTTGCTCAAAGCGGATTGGCGATTTCAATCTTATAATCAGAAATTATAAGTCCAAGTTTCCTCACGGTGTTTTCCTTCACTGTTTGTCAGGGGTGTCTAATTAATGATAGAAAGTACATATAACTTGGAAAAAGTCACATTGATACTTGCCAGGTTTCGAACCCGCATGCGAAAGCAGCCGCTTCTCATAAGCGGCGCTTCAATCTCTGGGCCACCAAAAGCTGATATATTATCTAGTATTAAAAAAACATTAAACCTGTAATGGTTTTTTTGGGTGTCATTTACCCGATGCTAGTTTTTTGCCTGTAGAAAGTTCAATTATGGACTTGCGTGTTAAGTTCTTAACAATACTGTAAATGAGTCTTTTTATTAATTTGACAAAACGAGACACGTTTCTTTCATAGTTATTCATAGTGTATGGTGATATTATTACTAGTGATGTGTTATGGCTCTCTGTACCTACGCGGGAAATTAATAATTGGGAATTATTTATTATACTACTAACTTAAAACTTGTAGGCATTTGTGATAATCTTCAATACTATATTTCATTTCAATGTCTCAATTTATTTATAAACAAAGAAAGCTGAATTTTATTTAAAAAAATTTTCGTTCTAATATGAAATATTTGTGTCACAGAATATTTAAAAAAGTTAATGAATTTTTTTTTATTGTTACTTATAGGGTGTTGTTGGATATTGTCATTATTTTTGTAGTACTTACGTCCTTAAATATTGCTCATATATGATTTATTGTTTTTACAAAAATATATACTTACCACAGTTAAAATAGACTTCAAAAAAGGAATTTACGCAAAGGAATATTATCAATGTTAGAATTTAATATGTTAGACTAATATTTTACTTTTAAAGTTAACTAGCCAAATATAAAAATGTTCGGATAACGTTATAGGTACATACTAACATTATTTAACGACTTGTAGAATTTCATGTAAGCACAAAAGAAAAACATCAATATCGATATAAAGTAGTGTGTTATTTATAAAACTTATCGCAAATAAGGTATCGGTGTGTTCACTGGGTTGATGAATAAAATTAATTTAAAATAATATCCAGTCGTACTCAGATTTTTCGGGTTCGCTAACGCGCTAGTGTGCCTAAAGCGACACTAGCGCCTCTGGCGGCGGAAAAATGAAATACGGAAAGCGAATACATCGACTTGGAAAATTTTCCTTGCATGTAGTAATGAGGCAAATAATTGTATGTAATAATACTAATAATGGATGTGTGATTAGAATTATTGGAGGAATATATCGGATTCGCGATTCACACCACTGCCAGTGCTCTTATATCGAATAGTTGATAGGTAACATTTACTTGTATGTGAGTTCTGCAATGTCCGTTCGTAGTGCACGTGTCAATATCCGGTATCAAGTCATATATAGGGTGTTTGGTTTGGTGTCAATTACTTTAAGGGGTGTTGTTATATTTACGGGATATGCAAGTCAAGTTTATTGTCGTTAGCTCATTTTAAGAAGATATATCTAACTCATAATAAAGTCCGAAAGACATTATATTCCACAATTGTAGTTTTCTAGATGCATATTTTGAATGTATAAAGGACTAAGGAGCGAAGCAATAATTATTTTTTTAACGAGAGAACGAACAAATAATTTTAGTTATTTCTATTACTTGGCTTTCTATTCGAAACTTTTGATACCTCTTTCAAGAGGATTTCTATATATTTCAATCGTGGCGTACGTCTGTATGTCGATATAGTATACATAAGTTAATATCTTAAGTATAAGTCAGTTTAAAAGGGCTTTTTAATCATTCATTGATAACAATATTCTTTGTATAATATATGAAAAATGTGCCTAAACAAATTTATTGTAAAACATGCAATTGATCTATTTGTTAGATGTTAGTCGCGTTGTAAAAAATAACGCATTTTTACATAATTTCAATGTGAGTCTCAAACGTTTTTCGATGATTTAATAAAAGTTTTACTATTTAAATAAAATGAATTTGAAATTTTCGCTAATATTTGAACTATTATCGTCTATTCGAAAGTGGATCTTGTTATATTCATAGAAGCAGTTCTCCTCGTTGTTTAAGGCAGGGGCGGTGTCTAGCAACTCCTAGCTGTCGTCACGTGCCATTATGTTATCTAGATGTTATTTATTGATAGAGTCTAAAATGTTATACATCTCTTGTTACATTACTCTGGTTGTATTCATGTGCTCTAATAAATTATTTCATTAATAATTATTTTGTAGTTTTATTATTATTCTTAATTCTTTATACAAAGCCTAAGAAAGTTGCGGCCCTACCAGAACGGGACCATACGGCGTGTGGCGTTTCGCACGAGACTCAAAGGGCTGATGTTCAGGCGAAGTTGTATGTGCAAAGGAAATAATGTACTACAATCTCGGCCCAAACATAGATGAGAAGAGCTAAACATCGAGCTCAGTGGCGTGCAATTGGAGGGACCTATGTCCAGCAGTAGACGAAATCTGGCTGATGATAATGACCCAGGCATAGCATAAGAAGTTACGGGGTGATTTTTTGACAGTAAGAGTCTGATCTTCCTTCTCACCCTAGGTGGGACCCAGAAGGCATTTGATGATTTCTCTCCCTCAAAAAAAAAAACAGACGAATAATGAAACAAACATGTCTTATTAGTGTCATAAAAATTCAAGGTCACAATATCGAAAAGATTATGTTTATAAAACAAAATATCTTAAGTCTAGTATTCTAGTATAAATTTTTATTTTATATAATTATATTTATATTATGTTATATGTATCCCAAATAAATAAATAAAGATATATAGATCTTATATTTTGAAAAAAAATACTTGGTGTACACAATTTTTTTTTTTTACAATTACACATTTAGTTACATTTATTTTAATTAATTACAATTATACAATTACACACAGACTCAGGAAAAGACAACAGAGTTGTTCCAAACGGGAACCAAACTCACGGTAGCTGGTTGGTAGCCACCGCGTGAGCTATAGTAGTTATTTATTTATAAGTATCGGCGTTAGGAAAAACGAATTTATTTCCTTGGACGCCTCCTGTGCCCATATTATGAAGTATGAAGACGGCGCCAGAGAGAGGTTCTTTCATAAGAGTCTCGGGGCTCATGTTCCGACGGGACGTGGTGACGATCAGATCGTCCAGGTTGGGTCCGCCCCAAGTTAAAGAAGTCGTCAGGGAAACAGGCAGCTTGTAGCGTTCCACTATTGTCTTCTTATCAGGATCGACGCGTACTATCTGCGGGGATGTGGATCAAATTGTAAACAGGTAATAATTGTTAAAGGCAGAGGTGTAAATATGAGGAGGCGGAGCGCGTGAGGGAACTATCCTCCTCATGCCTCAGCACTTACGGTCGCCGGAGATCGTCTCTAGATCCCTGACGTCCGGATTGTCGCCTACTGAGGCTGCGGGGGCGTGAGGAGTTTTCTGTGAGGATGTAAGGTTTCGTGTGGTTGAGTCGGCCCATACGTGCCGATTGTCCTGAATACTATACTTACACAACCATGAAACATGAGAGCAATCCAAATGAATCCATCCTTGTCAATAGTCATCCCGTCTGCTATAACTTCGTCATCCCAGTAATCATCTAAATGTAGGATCGTGCGACGTTTGCCTAAAAATTATTCACAACATACAATTAGTTTATATACCTGCCTAACCAGAAATTAGAAGTAAGTAACCTATTCATATTGTACACTATATGTAGCTATGTCATATATAGGTACACATACACACAGATACAGGGTTTTTTGTATTTTTTGCCATCTAACGTTTTTGTGCTGCAACGTTATTTTTTCTTTGAAGCACAAGACAGTGGTGCACATACCATATACCTATTTTTATGTTTTTTGCCGTGGGACTTCGGTAACCTCATACCGGAGTCCCACTCCTCACCTCTCCCTCGTCCATAGTCCTCAAAACCCCTATCCTTGAATCCCTAATAACCCACACACAAGCGGCAAGGCACTTGCGGTAACTCTTTTGGTACTACGAGCGTCCATTGGCGGCGCTGATTGCTTGGTAATCCACCAGCCCGTTTAGCGATTTGTGACATAAAAAAAATCTAAAATCCGAAAAACATACCAATAGGTAATACTGTTATTTGTCCTCCAGTTTCCTAAAAGTAAATTAACCAATAATTAGGTATCGAATCAGTCAGAAGAATTAATAATTACTTATGTGTGCTCTTTCTAAATTGAAATCGAAAGCTTCAATTTTCCGGGACATTGAGTCGATGTAATACATTATGGTGTTGTTCAGAGACCAAACAAGGCCGTTCGATATGGACACCGGCTTCAGACGGATTTGAGGCACAAAGTGCGGCGGCTCCAAGCTGTACAACGTGCCCTCGTCGTAAACCACAACGTTGCCGCGCTGATGACCCTTTGTTCCTTAGGAAAAAACAAGAAAATGTTAATTAGTTTATTTACCATAGTCTCGTAGAGCCATGCTTCAGCACGAATGGTCAGGCTGGACCAGAGTGATAGATACCACGGCCTCACAGACTTTGTGATTCGCCATGTGAGTGAGGTTACCGAAGGCCCAATTCTCACACCCCACATCCTCAATTCTCAAATCCAGAAGAGGCCGGCAACGAAATTGTAGTAAATTAAATCCTTTGGTATTACGAGTTTCCATGGGCGGCGCTGATTGCTTACCATCAGCTAATACGTCTGTTTGTTTGCCGACCTATGACATAATATTAGACCAATGTTATAACGACCGCTTTTCTTGCATGAAGGTGGGCTCGGAACGCGGTATTCAGAGTTAGGTATACATATGTGCTTTTTAAGTTTAAACATCACTGACATATGGTCAAGGATACAGAAAGCATCAAGGAAATCATGACTTTAAATTTGTAATCACGCATTGAGCAAGTAACTTGATTAATGCTCAAACATTCTCAGTGCGAGAAGTCTCTGCTCAACAATGGACACGTATAGGCTGATGTTATATGTTTAGTTACCTCCCCAGAATCTCCCCAACGCATCCACCTTCCCTTCATTCAGAATATTGTCGGGCAGCCCTTGATCCAAAGCCGCTACGAACCTCAGGGCAGAGTCCCCGGGCATCGTCCAGTCCATTAGGTGTAGCTCATTCCTGACGCCAACTAACAATCTACTGCTGTTCTTTACTGGTATTACTATGTTCACCTCACCGTAATCTGGAAGTTAAATATGTGATCAACTGTGTTGGGGGTGATACACCTGATCTATATTACCTAAACTGTATCAGGGAGTGATAGAGTAAAGACTATATTAACTGGTTGAGGAAGAGTGAATTAGGCCCACTTGGTTGTTGTTCTCTGAATCGCAATCTGAAGTATCGTACAACAAATTAGTAGACATTGTTGGCTAAGCAACGTGTCGTGGGTGTAACTTGTAACTCTTTGTGTGATCCACATATATGACCGGGTTTGTGTGTGATGTGTAGTTTATGTGAAATTGTATGTTTAATGTTTAAGAAATTAAGTGTTTTTTTTTAAAGAAAGATTGAAAAATTGTTGTGCTGTGCGTAGGCAAATTACGAACGGCTGTAAATGTTATTACAAACCATGAAGTCAAAGTCAAAGTCAAAATCATTTATTCCAACTAAACCATAAATAGGTACTGTTGAAACGTCAAAATAGAGAAGTAGTCTGTCAGTCTGTTCGTCAATGAAGCTAGGTGCATAATCTATATCTATGTGCCAATCTGTGTGTGTTTCATCAAAATTCATTCAGTAGTTTTATCTTTTGACCGCCACGGCCATGGCTATAGACAACACACAAAATATACTTAATTATGAAATATTATACTTTTTCTGCTCAGTTATAGCTCGATATTGGCAAAATAGCCTTCTATAGCGGTCAAAAGGTACCTAAATATATTGATTTTCTTACTTACTGATATGTTTAACTTTATGTTTCTTAGTTTTGTAGTTGAGTGCGTGGACGTCTTGTTGTAATACATCCACCCAATATAAAGTATCGATATCCGGGTCCCAAACCGGGCTCTCGGCGTGTGAGAACGTTAGATTCGTGTACTCAAATGTTTTATATTGATTTGGCGTTATATGTGTTACCTGTGTGGAAACAATTTTATAACTTAACAAAAGGAAATAAAGTACAAAAACATTATTAGCTGGAGGACGTCCACTACTGAACAAAGCTTTCCCGTTTTTTTTGTGACGCTGCAAAATCTTCGATATAGATACTTGTGCTGCCCTGAGTAGCGTGAGAGCAAATGTTCTTGCATTGGCAACCCCGAAAGGCCTTCTCCTTAGTCGTTCACGTCGAATGACAACAAGCCATTAGGGTCCATTGGGCCCCCACAATTCTGACGTTTATCCCAGTTCACCGAGCGGTAGGGCTGCCCAATGGATCAGTTAATTTGTGTTGCGAAAACGTTTGATAACAAAAATGAAAAGACTTCAGGCTTCATATTTCAATTATCCCAAAATACGCTATGTTGGTTCAGCCGGGGTTGCGGGGTAAGCACAATGTGGCACCGCGACCTCGGCTTTTTAGCCAGTAAGAGTTTGACACTCCCTCCGGAGAAGTCATATGACGATTTTCCCCTCACAACAGAAAAAAAGAAAAAAATCTTAGTGCGTCCGTGACAATCTAAAATCACATCTAAGAGGATGCCTGGACTTACGTTGTACAGAAGTACTGGATCTGATAAATATAATTGAAAAATACAAACAATAGCCCACTGGTACATGATAAACTGTATATTTAATTTAAATAACTTATTTTTACTTATAAACATATGCACTGTTAACATAGAACTTGTAAAATGTTGCTTTCTACTAACAGGGAATGTGTTTCAATGTTAATCAATTTGCTCCTAATTTGACCATGCACGATACAATTAGTTTTAATTAGTGTTCTCGCGGCAAAAATGCAATATTGTGCGAATTAACATTCCTTTAGGTGTTATAAGCATTTCAAGAAGGCACATTTTTTCTTAAAAATTGATGTTACGAGTATTAATGGGGGACGCCGATTTCCTACCATCAAGAGAATCAATACATTGAATCACCATCAGCCTATAAGTGCCCACTGCTGAGCAAAGGCCTCTTCTCATACGGAGAAGGCTAGAGTATTAATCACCACGCTTGCTCAATGCGGGTTGGCGATTTCAAACTTATAATCAGAAATTATAAGTCCAGTTTCCTCACGATGTTTACCTTCGCCGTATGTCAGTGGTGTCTAAATAATCATAGAAAGTACATATAACTCGGCAAAAGTCACATTGGTACTTGCCAGGTTTTGACCCCACACCCTTATGCATGAGAATCGGGCTCCGTAACCTCCGGGCCACCACGACTCAATATACATTCACCACGATACATTCAATAAAAAAGTCCAAGTACGGTAATAAGGTGTACAGAATGAAATATAAACGCAATTAAATATTAAAAAACTACTTTATTTTATCTTAAATACAATTTGATCAGTAATAGTCTGCATTATCGAATCGGAATGCATGCGACTGTACGCCGCGACTGCCAGTGCCTCGTATCGTGAAAATAGCGCCACCTAGCGGCTCTGAGGTGGCATCAGAGTTGTCTCGAGCAGTCGTCACGAACAACTCGTCGAGTTTGGGCCCACCCCAACATACTGACGTCACTCGTGACACGGGTAGCTTGTACCCGAACACTATTTGCCTTGTGTCTGGATCCACGTGTAATACCTGGGAATGAAGTAGGTAATGGGTATGATATAAATTATATTTTTTGCGACAGATTGTCTTGAATTAAGAGGTTTTTGACATGGGACGTCATAATGTTATTAAGAATGCTACTATGGAGTATGGAGATATTTCAATTCGATGAATTTGCAGTTTCAAGTTGCACTAGCTTCTGTCTGCAGCTTTGCCCGTAGTTATAGGGAAAAAAGTACTTCATTTTTTTAATAAAACGTTGCCCCGCACTAGGATTTTCGGCTGTGTGATGGGTACGTTTACAAACATACAATAGTATGAGCACAAAGAGTTGTTCCGTGCGGGAATCGAACCAAGGACACGTTGCATAAAAGCGGAGCCTCTAGATGTGTAATTGAAATAAATGTTTTTTTTACTTTGACTATGTGATAGAGTAACAAACATCGATCTATACTTAGAAACTTGCCGAGTATAATGTTCATAGGATTTTCGACTTACAGTACCACCGTACATGAGCGCTACCCACAAATTTCCGTTGCTGTCAATTGTCATGCCGTCAGGAAACGCGTCCTCGTATCCAGCACTTGAAATGTCTAGCACCGTTCTTCTTGCAGCTGTAGAAGAAAAAAGTATTAAGTGTTGGCGGTCGTATGTTAATTTTGAACTTTATTGTATTTGTAATTAAATCTCCAAATCCTTTATTTATGCTGCTAGTGTGATCGAGTATAATAATAATAATAATAATTGTGTCCCGTTTAATTTAGAATAAAGTTGTCTGAAGGGCATCTGAACATCCAATGATGATGATTTTCCCATTAGAAAAAGATGTCTGCTATTAAAAATTATGATGTATTTAAATCCAAACTAATATTATACATGCGAAAGTAACTCCTGTCTGTCTGTCTGTCTGTCTGTCTTTTCTTCACACCTTAACTACTGTACAGATTTGTGTGAAATTTGGTACAGACATAGTTTGCAACTTGAGAAAGTACATAGCATAGTTTTATCCCGAAAAGCCTGCGAAAGTGGGAACTTCTGCAAAAAACCTGCAGGAAGTCACTATCCCAAAAGCTAGTAAACAAATAAAATACATACTTAAATGTCCTCCTTGCACATCAAAGTCGAACGCATCGATTCTCTGCGTAGAAGAGTCGATGTAGTAAAGTACTGTGTTGTTCAGTGACCAGACGATGCCGTTTGAGATGGATACTGGTCGAAGGTGTATACGCGGGTGTTTGAAACTTTCTTGCTCCACGCTGTAGAAAGTGGCTTTGTCTGGTACCACATCATCACCTGTCTGCGGGCCTTTTGTACCTGTTCACCGAAACATTGCAATTGTAACTCAAGGTTTAAATGAATATAAGTAATACTTAAAAATAATCTTATAATCTTAAAATATCCATCCAAAGGTTGTCTGGAAGAAATCATGTTGTGTGATAAGACCGTCCATAGTACCTACATTCTGTGGTTGTAAGCCTGTTTTTTTTTTAATTTTTAGTGATGTGTACAATAAAGACGTATATATGAATTTAAAAAAACACCCTTTCATTAATTTTAATTATTAATTTAAGTGAAATTGTAGATTTGACACCTTTGTGGTTTCAATAATGGTAAGTATTATTAATATCGATATGGTAATTTTAATGGTATCGTAAGTATTGTTCAATTAAAATCATTAGTTCTGGCAATTAGCGAGTACAAATTAACTCTTCGGCTTAAAATATGTATAAGTATCGATTATTTCTTACTAGCTTTGCCACGCGGCTTCGCCCGGGTGGTATGTTGATAAAAAGTAGCCCATATCCTATTCCGAAGTTTATCCTATGCCTGTACCAAATTCCGTCCAGCTCTGTCAAGCCGTTTTGGCGTGATTGAGTAACAAACATCCAAACATCATAACTTTCGCATTTTTATGATTAGGAAGATAAAATGGAGAGTTGTATGACCTAACTACTTTTAGCCACAAGATGAATAATAACAAATATCCATGCATCATAACTTTCGCATTTATAATATTAGTAAGATAAGATTTTTATGATCAAAATGGTACAATTATTTAACTTAAGTGCGTTGGTTCTTAATACTATATATACGCTAAAATTTTATTTATACTTATATATTTTATACTTATGAAAGGTCCGTTTACCTGCCCAAAACCGTCCTTCGGCATCTGGCTTCCCTTCGTTAATGACGTTGTCTGGTAGACCGATGTCGACAGTTGTCAGTAGCCTTAGGGCCGCGTCTCCGGCTATAGCCCAGTCTAACAGGTACAGGGAGGAGCATACGGCTACCAATAGCCGTCGAGAACCCGTTATCAGGGATACCACATTCACTTCACCGTAATCTGCAAATTATAGACCTTAAGACCAAAGGCGTAGGTAGCAGTGTCGTTTATATCTTGCTGCGATCAAATGTTGGTAAACCCCTACATCTGGTGTTGCAAGCAGCGGGAATAGTTTGTCGAAAAAAGGAAAGTGTACCTATACATATTCCATTAGAATCGATTGTAAACATTTTGGAAAATATAACAAAAAATGCGGAAAATACAAAGATTTATTTGAAAATTTTACATTTTACTCTTGTTTCTTCTTTGGGGATCCCAAAGAAATTTTATACAAGGTACGCAATGCTTTTGATTGAGACAACTTTTTTGTCTCTCCCTGCATTTACCAATGCATCTCAGTATAACATCAAAATATCACAAATTACAAATCTGCTAACAAATAAGATACTTTTTTATAAAGTGAAGTTTTCAATTTTCCTTTATTCATTTATCCATTGCAGTTTTTGAACTAGATATTTCAAAAACACACTTCGAAACGGATTAGACGCTGCTCTTCATAACCAAATATTACAAAACTTTCTTCATAACCAAATATTTAAAAATTCTTTTGTAATATACTTATTATTATTTTAATTATTTTTTATTAAAACAAGCCCGCCGTAACCTCGTAAACCGCTGCAACCCCTGTAAGCCAGGATCTCCAGTAGACACAACCATGAAAACACCGGAACACTGAAGTCCGGCGCGTCCTAGGGACATAAATTACTCCGGCCATCGTAAGCGCGGGTCTGCGGACGGCAAGTAAGGGCAGCTTGCTGCCCGACCAGATCCAAACCTGAGCGTAGGGCGCGTAGCGTTTCGCGCGCGCCTCAAAGACCGATCCAATAGATCATCACAGACGGGGCCCTATAGGGCTGATGTTCAGCCGGGGTTGCGGGGTAAGCCCGATAAGGCTCGACTGCCTCGGCTCAGAGTAGGAGAACCGGGGGATTTTTAGTCAGTAAAAGTCTGACACTCCCTCACGCCTGACCCCGGGCGGGAGAAGTCATATGATTTTACCCTCACAAAAAAGGGGGACATGAATGACTGTCTTGGATGTCGCAACGAAATAAAACTAGAAGTACTTACTTATATTTTTAGTAAAAATCTTGCCGGAGACGTAGTCGAGGCGATGAACATTGTTGTTTCGAATGTCCACAAAGTATAGACTCTGTTGTTCGGGGTCCCATACCGGGCTCTCTCCATGTGCGAATAGCGCGGGACTGCCTGGGTTCTCGTGCGACGATACCTAATGTACAACTTATTGTTCACACTAGCTTCCACCCGCGGCTTCACCCGGGTGGTATGTTGATAAAAAGTAACCATGTCCTATTCTGGAGTATATCTTATGGCTGTGCCAAATTTCATCCAGATCTGTCCACTCGTTTTGGCGTGATTAAGTAACAAACATTATAACTTTCGCATTTATAATATTACCTAGTAAGATAAAAAATGGAGAGTTGGATGACCTAACTACATTTAGCTACAAGGTGAATAATAAAAATCCAATAACACGTAACCCAATCAACTACATTTTTATGAATTTAGTTTCATGTCAATCACATAAATTTTATAAAAAAGTTTGTAAATTAGATTAGTACATTTGTTTTAGATAGACAGCAAGTGTTAAAAATCATAAAGTTAGAATAATATTAAGAATTGTCATAACATTTAAACGAAAATTATATGAATGTTCTATGTACGTAAAAGGCTTCAGATATTTATCAGATTTAATGTCATTCCTAAATCAATTTATGGTGCACTTAAACACTGCAACTTCAATTTGAGTTCTTTATACAATTTATTAAGTACATAGTAGTTATTCCAACATTGCAAGACCAGGGTGGTTCTACGAAAAACTTTGACTTATTTAACAAATCATTACCTTTCCGGTTATTAAGCATCTTAGTTAATGTATTAATCAATATTTTTAATCGATTGCTTGTGCAGTGGAGCCATTTAATTTCACAAAATCAATATTAGGTAGTATTTTAATCAATTTTGGGTTGAGGATAGTGACATCATTATTTTTTGTTAAATTGTTGTGGAGGATTACCCTCTTGAAAAACATTTTTAGTGTAACAAGTTTGTCAAGTACTTACCATAGAAATCCTATAATATTGCTGAGTTTCCTGAACCTCCTGTGTTTCAGCGGCGGTCGGTTGCCAAATTATACAAGTCAAAACAATTATCAAAAACATTATTTATTTAGATCTGAATATTTAAATTAATATACATTCATTTGCGGTATATCCGTGCACTACTGCACCTTAGATTGTTTTCTGTACAACTGTGAATGAAAAGTTTGCAAAATATCAAAGCAATAAAAAGATACGATTTTTTTCAGACAAGAAAAATGAACGTAAACAGTTAGCGGGTTCGATAAAGCGGGGCAAAATGACGGCGTCAACTGAAACAATGGCATTATGACCCGATGTGTTTTATTTGATAGCGGCGATATGCTCCTACACGTACACTTACAATTAAATAATTAAGAATACTTTACTACATCGATCTGACACCACATCCGAGGCTCGCGTTCATACAGATCACTCGTTGACATGTAACTCTATACAATAAAGTTGAAGTCTACTTATGCTAATATATGCTTAAGGGCTAGGGTATGTGTAGAGGGAGCGCGGCTAGGCGTGCGCGGGGGGCGCAGGCTCCGGCGCGGGCTCGGGCGCCGCGGCCGGCACCCCGGCCTGCGCCCCCGCCGGCCCGCCCACGCCCACGCCCACGGCGCCGCCCACGCCTGGGACTGCACCCGCTGCACCACTCTCTGCTTGTAACCTGGACACACAAACATTACGATCCCATTAACAAAAACAGACTTTCACAACGCGTTACCAGGTCTAGTTGAATTAAACCACAAATAAATATAACAAAATTAATTATGTTCTGACTAAATTACTTCTAATAATACGAAATCCTTAAATATTGTCCTAAAAAGCCCTAAATCTTAGCAAATAACCAAGTTCACAAAGAAAATAAAACACACGATACAACAACGAAAAACAATACAAGTTGAGCCCCAATTACCTAAAAATGTTAGAAGTTTACTACCTATTGTGGTAAATAAAACAAAATGTGTGCGCTAACGAGGCCATTTTACATTTCCGTTTATTTGTAAACAGTCGAGTAACTGTACCTATTCCTATTGTAAGTTCCTTTAGCTACAGTTGAATTGACCAGAACTACTTGTACCGTGCCATTAAAAAGATAAAGAATGCAGAACATTTAAGGTTATTTTGATCCTGATGCCCTGCGACCCAGTTAAACCTCCACTACATAGTGTCATAGTATAAAACGAAGTCGATATCCGCTGTCTGTCTGTCCTTATGTATGTTTAAATCTTTAAAACAACATAACGGATTTCGATGCATATTTTTCATTAGAGAGTGTTTCTCTTAGGGATAACCCACCATAACAATTGTTATCCTTTACTAATAAATGGTTATTTACGAAGTAATTTTAAACAATACAGGCGTTGTTAATTATATGTCGCGCTGTAAAGAGTAACCTCTAAGCAAAACATGTTTGTTTTGTCTAATAACAAAAAAGCTGGGAACATTGTGTATAAGGAAGTAAAGACATTTTGAAGTAACTATATTTACGCAAGCATTGCACCCGTGCGAAGCCGGGGCGGGTCGCTAATTATATTTATAATTTTATATGAACTTTTGGGAAAGGGCTAAAGTTACCCACTAAAAGTCAATGTATCTTTACAGCTTGATATTATCGTACGATTAGTTTGAAAAATCTTATTAAATTGAATTTCAACATACTTAATTTTGTCTTGTCTACCCTTCACGAGAAAACGCGCGATCCCTGGGGGAGGGAGGGGTTATCTTACCTCTGATGTGCTTGATGCCTGGCACGGAACTCCGCGGCCTTGAGCTGCTCCAAGTGGAACTGTTGTCGCTCCTGGATTAGTTGCTGTCGTTGGTACTCCAAACCTTGATGAAAATAAACATTTATTAATTATGTTTTTTATATGACGTAAATCCTAACTCCTAGTGTTATGGATGTTATTATTATATTCTGGTAAGAATATACGCGTCTCGAACATTAAGTTTCCAATAATGAGGTCTAAAATCTGGCGAGAGGTTTTATTTTATATGGATATTTAATTGGGACTCTTTGACGCAAAAACTACTGATGATATGTATTTAATGTGGCACAGAGATAGATTATAGTCCAAAATTATACGTTCTTTTTCTGCGGAAAATACCCCTTGGCCCTGGGCGAAATAGCTGATGTTTTTTATTTTCTATATAAAACGTTGCCCTTACTATTTTTTTCTGTATTTTTGTAAACTCATCACACGTTCCGTACGGGTATCGAAATTGCGAAATGTTGTACGGCAGCCAGTTGCCCATCTACCGCTTCAACTACGCCATCAAAGACATTAGTAATTGCCTTATCTTTGACGGTGTAGTTGTAAATAAATAATTTAACAATAATGGAATCTATTTTTTATTTTTTAAACGTTGCCCCACACTGGGATTTTATCCTGTGTCGTGATTGCGTTTATAAAACTACAATTTCAAATGCACATCACACCCAGACCATGGGTGGATCACACAAACTGTTGTTCCGTGCGGGAATCGAACCCGCGACACGTTGCACGGCAGCCAGTTGCCCCGCCACCGCGCCAATCGTGCAGTCTCAATAATGAAAGATCAATAATATGAATCTGCGAAAAAAATAACTTCTAATGTACCTTCACGTTCCCTCTCCATCGTCGCTTCAAGTTCCTCAAAGTGTCGTAATTTGATCTCCAGCTTCTTCATCTGCGTCTCGACCAGTAGAGCGACGAGTGACTTGATCTTCCTCTCCTCGACTCCAGCGAGATGCTTGGCTTTCACTGCGGCGGCGGCCAGCGCTGCGGCGGCCGCTGACTGGAGCTTAGCGTCCACTGTCGTTGGGCCTTCTGTTTTTTCTGCACCTGTACATAAAAATACAAACATCATTGATCGTAGAAGGGTGAAAATTGAGTACTTGTTGTTTGTATTTTAGTATGTTGTCTCATAAAAAAAATTTAAATGAAAAAAATGTTGTCTAAAAAATAAAAAAATAGGGGTGTCCACCCCTAACATTTAGGAAGATGAAAAATAGATGTATAGGTGGCCGATTCTCATAGATACCGGATAAGCACAATTTCATCAAAATCGGTCAAGGGGTTTCGGAGGAGTATGGCAACGAAAACTGTGACACGAAAATTTTATATATTAGACAATAATAGAAGTTTAATAAGCGACTGGCGACTGATTTACCGCTTTGAGATAAACTTATCTTACTCTGATACACAGGGGCTATTTGGACATAAGCTGGCAAATAATTTGCTGGGGTTGCGGTAACAAGAGCAATAGTGCTCCGCGGTCTCGGCCCAGAGCCGAAGAATGAATATGGTGGTTCTTTACTCAGCAAGTCTGACAATCCCGCTCTAACTAAAGCGGGAGAAATCATTCAATCATTTTCTTCCCCCTAACTTGAAAGTATGAAGAGTACTACAACACACTATTACAGATTAAAAATATTACAATTTGGTAGTTTCTTAGGTCAAAAATAAATTAATTCGACGTTTCAATACAATAAAATATTGAAAACTAACTATATACACTTTTATTCATCGATCGATTGATACACTGACTTTTAGATATTTTGCAGCTAATTATGGAGAAATAAGTAAGCTACTTGACGCAAAAATACTATGACGTCATAACTCAGTTTTTCATACAAATTCCATAGAAAAGTAGGTATCGTTTTTGACATTTGGATAAAAGTATTGAATTTGACTAGTTGGAAACTACCGTATTAGATCATTGGAGTAAATGTAGAGAAAGTGCATCGATATTAGTGTACACACGCGAGTGTGGGAGATCTATGCTTCAGCACGAATGGGCTGCTCGGCTGAAGATATATCGTGACCTCAATTAATATCGGCTTGTTTGCTGGGTGCGCTTGCAACCGCAACTTACACTGTTTTTTTATGTGATAGGACGGCAAATGAGCAGACGGATTACCTGATGGTAAGCAATCAGCTTCGCCCATGGACACCCGCAACAAAGAAGGAGTTACGAGTGCGTTGCCGACCTTTTAGGGATTGGGATTTTGGGGATTTAGGGATTGGGAAGGGATTGGGCCTCCGGTAACCTCACTCACACGGCGAAACACAACGTTGTGGTTGTTTCACGCCGGTTTTCTGTGAGGCCGTTGTATAACTCCGGTCGAGCCGACCCATTCGTACCGAAGCATGGCTCTCCCACACTTTACTTGTTTCTTGGTACAGAGATAGATTATAGTCCAAAATTGTACGTTCTTTTTGTTCGAAGGCGCTGACAGAAGCTAGTAAAAAGAAATGTACCAGTTTGTGCTGCAGGTTCTTCCTTGGGTTCCTTCTCAGGTTCCGGAGCGGCGGGTGCCTCCTGCGGCTCGTCCTTGACCTTGGCCTCGCCCTCCTCAACCTCCATAGGCTCTGGTTTAATGTCTGATGATCCCTCCTTCTTCGCCTCAGCTGTATATTAGTTATTTACTTATTCATAATACAATTAAAACATAATTAATGATGAGGAAGCAGTATATTATGTGTTAAGCAGTTTCTGTATTAAGAGGTGGACAGTATTTGAGATAAATATGGAAATTAAATTAACAAGAAGGGTTCCATCATATGCATGCATTAATATTATGAGTAGATTTTTTCTTTTTAGATATACTAAAGTAGTAATTAAGTATGAATTCTGAATGTGTGTAAGAGCAATTAAGGGATGGTAGATGAGTATAGACGTTAGTGAGTACGTAAGTGAGAACGTGAAAGTGTGAGTACTTGAGTGAATGTAATTGTGTGAGTGAGTATGTGTGAGTAAGTGAGTAAGTGAATGTGTGAGTACGTGAGTGTGTGAGTGTGTGAGTTTATGTGTGTGTGTGTATGTGAGCGAGTGAGTATGAGTATGCGCGGACCAGTGGGCGAGAGGTCCGGCGCGGTGCCTGCGATGCCGGTGGCGGCGAGCGCGGCGGCCGGCCCGTGCGCCCCCGCCGCCTTCACGTGCGCCTCCATCATGGCCGCCGGCACCTCGTCCTAGGGGGAGGGGAGACACTATATTATAAACATTCATTCAAACAAATATTGTGGCAACTATATTATAAACATCCATTGAAACAACTATTGTGGTGGCGGCCTGCGGATTAATGCGACCGTTTCTCATTTATGAGGATGCGGTTTCTAATACACCCGGCAGGTACCGACTTATATGTACTTTTTAAGTCTATTTAGATACTGACTGACTATACGTGGTGGCCCAGAGGTATTTTTTTTAATGAAAAATTTGGCCCATTTGTTAAAGCGCCTGCTTCTCGTGCATGAAGGTGCGGGTTCGAAACCTGGCAAGTACCAATGTGACTTTTTCTCAGTTTTATGTACTTTCTATGATTATTTAGACACCACTGACATACGGTGAAGGTAAACATCGTGAGGAAACCTGAACTTATAATTTCTAATTATAAGTTTGAAATCGCCAACCCGCATTGAGCAAGCGTGGTGATTAATGCTCTAAACCTTCCACGTGTGAGAAGAAGCCTTTGCTCAGTAGTGGGCACATATGGGCTGATGATGATGATGAAGCAGCGCTGATTGCTCGCCATCAGGTTATTTGTCTGCTCATTTAGCCACTATTTCATAGATTTTTCTTGCCATTGCCTACGCCACACTTCACTATAACACTGTTAGTCTTTACTAATAATAGTACTACTAATAAAAAATTCATTTATATCAAACTTACCTTAATAGCTGCGAACTCCTCCATAGCCGCCTTGGTGGCTCGTGAGGCAATGCGCGGGTCCACGACTGAGGCCAGGAAGGCCACGGTACTCATCACTGGGTTGCCAGTCTTGCTGAACGGAATGGGCTGGTAGGCGAGGGGTCCTAGCACGCCACCTATGATGGAAAAATGGATGTAATGTATGTGGTATTTAAATGAAAATTAGCTACTGTCCCGCGGTTTCACCCGCCCACCCCGCTGCAGCACCCGCTGCTCGGCTCATAAATATCGTAGCGTGATGTTTTATAGCTAGAAAAGTGATCTTTTTTGTTTTCGGAGATTATGCGTTCAAACAAACTCTACAGCTTTAAAATATTAGTATATGTTAGTGACTGTTCTCATTTCTTAACAAGTATTTATTTAATTTATAAAAAAAAAACTTAAAAAATAGTCACTCCTTAGTAAATTTATTTCATAGAACTGGTATTTTCAGATGATTCAATGCGACTATGCTTTATGTTAAGGTTAACTACCTTAACATAAAGCATATTGTTCGATTCTGTGATAAGCGTTCTCCGAATTACCACTTACACACATTATTACGGGATTATTTTTAAGGTCATAGAATGGATCAGTGGTATGTGTTACCAGCGGTGGCGTCGTGCAGATAGGGCTCCTCGATGGGCAACCGCAGGAAGTGCAGTATGCACTCGTCCTGCGTCCTGGAGCCGACATGCGCGGCGACGCGGTTCCAGTCGTCGCGGTGCAGCTCCAGCGCCTCCAGCAGCGACAGCGTCTCCTGCTCCGTCCAGGCGCGGGACCGCGCGCCCGACCCCTCGCGACCGTACTGGACATACACAATCATTTCATATTGTATTACATTCATTCATTCCAAGTTCATTTTACGTTTTCATAGTCATACTAGCGGCCGCCCATGGCTCCGCTCGCGTGGAATCGATTTTACACGTTTTTACGATTTTTATATCTACGTACAAATCAAAATTAACCAAATCGTTAAAGATTTGTTGAATAAATAAGAGATAACATTACAGCAAAAGCAGCATTAACTAATTAATTTTTATAAAAAAATTGAATTGATTTATATATATAGATTTCAGAAACAACAAAACGTATTTAAAATTATCATACCTACTCTCATTAATAGATTTGTCTACAAACTTTCACATTTTCGAATAATCGAAACTAAGCTGCATTTAAAGAAATAACATCCCAGAACTACCTAAGTTTTATAAATTTAGTGTAAATACTAACGTGCATATAAGTATATTTGCATGTTAAGCTATATGACTGGGTATTTACACAATAACAGCACACTCATAAATATATCTACATTAAAAATTGAGTATATTTTACTTTACAAATATACATAATTTACAAATCAACTACTCTCCCTTTTCTGTTTCCGATTATATACTTTTCTATGTCAAATACTACTAGTACTACAGGTAATATATACCCATTAATTAATGGACAATAACTATATATTGTAAATTAATTAATGGTAAATGGTTAAATCTATATGGTACGCACCTGGTCGAGTTTGAGTCCGGGCGCGGTTCCGAGTTCGAGTGCCGGTTCAGGCTTGATGGGCGCGGCGGGGGGCGCCGCCCCAGCCCCGGCCTCCGCACCGTTGGGGAGTCCAGGCTCCACCTTCGGGACATTCTCCGCTGGAATCATTTATGTATATGTTAGCAACATTTCTGACGAAAAGGATTTATATCAATAAGAAGGAGGGAGTAAGGGGTCCATTAACGAAGTAGGGCTTTGTATCAATAAAGGTTGAGAGTAAAATATATGGAATGGATGTATCTATGTACGAAGATTCACATGTTTTCCAGATTTTTAGAAAAACATGATAATTGCTACGCTGCTATCTATTAACTAAAGAGCTGTTAAGCCACATTTCTTTTTAATATAGTCTTATTCAACTTTCGTTGCTTAATTTTGTGGTCTAACAACCATTTTCCTATTATTTCATCAGTTTTCAAAATGCAGAACATTGCTGAGCAGTTAAATCATATAAATTTCGTTATTTCCTTAATTATATAAAAGCGACTAAGCCACAATATTTGTCTAGAAAGACGTTAACATACTACTAACAAAACTAATCTTCTACAAATGTAATCACGCGAGTACCACGTGAGAAAACATTCGATTAACCTCTTGTTTGCCGATATATAAGACACAATACAAAACACATTCGGCCTTATTATAAAACAAGATTTTACTATAGTCTAGGACTAAACCATTGAGTCAGTTTTCGTATTTAGAATTGAAGGTAGATGACAATAAGATTCAAAATTCAAAACCCGACTCAATGATTTAAACCTGGACTAAAGATAAACCTTGTTTTGTAATTGGATTGTGTCTCGCGTAGATCTGCGTTCCGGTATCGCGGGTTAAAAAGCTACTTGGCGTAGTATAAGAATACGTACCGGGTCTAGGCTGAGTGGGCCGCGTGACGAGAGGTTGCAGGCCGGATGGTGTGTCCGACAGTACGTGGAAGTGAGAAGTAGGGGGAGGACCCATCGCCGTCGGACGAGATTCCGCTTCCAACTGGAAAAGATAGGATACAAAATATTATTTTAAGATATAATATAAATATGAAGATAATAAATATTGTTTTAAATAAGTTTGAATTTTATTTTAAATATAAAGTCTAAGCTTTCGGGGAGCTTATGATGAAAGCGATTTCTACAGTTTGCCATTGTTTCAAATCACATGTCTAAAGTACACGACGCATTGGTGCATTCAAATAATAACTTTGTAGTTTCCAACTAATTAAATATCACTACAAACGAAACTTTGTTTTGTGTAATAAAGTTAAATAGAAACGTTCTACAATTAATTACATCCTCAAATCAATGAGTAACTGCACGGTTGGTAGCACTGGCTGCAGCGCAACGTGTAGCGGGTTCGATTCATGCACAGAACAACTCTTTGTGTGATTCACAAATTGTTGTTCCGTGTTTGTATGTGAAATTAAACGTTTAGAAGCGCCCACGACACTGGAAACAATCTTAGAGTGGGCCACATATAGTTAATTGTACTGAAAAGTCAATATAATTTATTTTTGACTTTGGAAACTACTACTGACGTGAACAATTCGTCCTGAATCAGTGTTTGTTCTAGCAATAGGTATATAGTATAGGTAAGTACCTGGTAGTTGATGAGTCCCCACTGCTCGAGGAAGCCGTGTACCCGCATGATGGCGCAGACATCGCCGGCCAGGTTGCGGCGACACGCCGTGCTCGTCAGGTACTCCGTCGGGTTCAGGCGGTACGTATCGATCATGAAGTTTCTGCACAAACGTTTATTTATAGTAATTGTAGTAAACTAAACGATTATATACAATACATGTGGAGTGAATACTGAGTGAAAGCAAAAGGTGTGAATGAGCAGGAAGGCATGTATGAACTACTACGAACGATGAAGAGTGAAGGGGAATGAATGAGAAGGGAGATAAGACAGAAGACGTAAGACGACAGGACGTATTTTTTGTTTTGTTTTTTCATGATTTATAAATTTGAGAGAAAATAAACCAAAATTGATGTTCTATATTTCTTATATTTTGTTACTAAATCCCACATACATGATAGAATCCCACTTATATTATAAACGTGAGTTTTTGAGAATATATGTTTGGTGTGGCGATACCCTGAATTAACGCATAGGCTGCTTTTTATCAACATACTACGCGAGCAAAGCCACGAGCGGAATAAAAGCTTAAAACACAAAACATTTTTGTACAATAATTCCTTGCATTATATCAGTCTGTTCGCGATCAACTCAAAAACTACTAAATGGATCTCATTAAAATGAGGAACGGAATAAAATGTAATAAGAAAACTGTATAATTTATTAAGACTGTGTTAATTGTAATTTATTAATAAGTAAGTCATCATACCTTTTCTCGATGAATTATTATGTCTTCGGCTTACTCACGTAATAATTTGACGAGATACTCGACTAGTTTCAAGTCATGCAAGAGGCCCATATTCAGTAGCAGCGCGACAGTCGCCGCGTCGCGTGTCACGTAATGCTGCCCATGAATATGGGCCTCTAGCATGGTTTTACTGATACCAAAACGTATTGTGACCTATTTTACCGCTCAATGAGCATTTTCGATCTCTGACCGCAACCTATATCAGAACTAAGCAAATTATTAAAAGGCGTATGAGCTTTTGTAACACGTACCTGTAAGCGAGATATATCTCAGGAGTCTTGGATTTGTTCTTTCCGTTGAAGAACTCTGGCAGGGCGCGCTTCTCGATGGTGTGTATGGAGTTGTAGTCGAACCAGGCGGAGTACGAGGGCACGACTATGTGGTGCGTCTGGTCTGTCACGTTGTCCTCTAACTCTTCTTTTGTTAGCATTTCCTGTTGCATTTTATATTTATTTAACACTTTATGTAATACAAAAGTGGACTTAATGCCGAAAAATCTCGACTCTATCAGACTGTAAGTGTGATGTAGAGAAGTATTTCTTTCAATAGGTACTAAGCAAGCGTCACACATTTTTAACATAACTGTATAAATACAACAATAAATGTCGCACAAAGATTTGTAATTGTCGCACGAAACATTACTTAAAGTTAATATTTTATTTCATGCTCAAACTGGACCACTTAAGCTTGCTTGAATTGTACATAGTATTAGTTAGAAAACTATTAGACGCCAGAATGTGGAAAGTCGTGTGCGTGCCTATAAGCGGGGCTTGGGAGTGAAAAACTGCGATCAGTTAATTCGAAAAACATTTTTTGGCGCCAATGAATTGTCCTAGGGCTCTTAACAGGGATAAATAGAATGTGTAAGTGTAGGGGTTTGCTGTGTGCAAGTAAGGAGTGTACGTACCTGCGTGTTGGAGTCGCTGTGCTTGCCCTGCGAGTCGTCGTGCGCGTCCAGCGGCGGCGCCGGCGTGGCGGGGGCCTCGCTCGCGCCCGTCTCCGGCGCCGCGCCGCCGCCCGACCCGCCCGCCGCGCCCGTACTCGCTGCGCTCGCTGCATGACGGACCATTCGATTATTACATAATATCATAACTCAGTCATACTAACATTATAAATGCGATAGTTACGATGTTTGGATGTTTGTTACTCAATCACGCCAAAACGGGTGGACGGATCTGGATGAAAATTGGCACAGGCATAGTGGATATGCGGAATAGGACATAGGCTACTTTTTATCAACATAAAACGCGGGCGGAAGCTAATAATAAATTTAAAACATTAAGAATTCCTAACCCAAATAAAAACTTGCAAGTAAACTGAGTGTATAACGTTCCTATAACACCTAACAAACGACTTGATGGCCTTGAAGACGTGAGCCGATTTCCACCAAACATCGGATCATCAGTTTGAGAGCTACGATGCCACAGACAGACACATTAAACTTATAACACAACGTCGTTTTTGCGTCGGGGGTTAAAAACAAAATGCCTGACACCAAGGTTATTGGACACCTGCACGAAATGAGAGCAAGACGCTAGATAAATAAAATAGATTACTTACTCTCGGCAGCTCTTTCATTCTCTGGAGTGGGCACAGCATCAGTGTTATCTCGGGACGCATTATCTTCTTCTTCATCGACATCATTCTCACGACGTTTGGTTATACGACTGTTGAATAAAAAAGTTATTTGAGATAGATATAAAGGGTTTTTCGTAAACGTTAATAATTTTGCGCAAAATTATACAAGTTTGCGCAAAAAGTATACGAGTTTTGCGCAACTACTTTCATTGTGTAGATAAACTAATATTATATTTATAAGTTTAGAAATTGAGATAAAATTATTATTTAAGCACACTATTGAGAGCGGGAGGCGCATACTTCGGTACTAATGGGCTAACTCGACCGGAGTGAGACTACCGACTCACAGAAAACCAGCAATCAGGAGTGTTCTCTTTCACCGTGTGAGTGAGGTTAACGGAGGCCCAATACTTCTAACATGGGGAGAGGGGGAATACTGGGCCCTTTTTGTGAGAAGAAAATCATACAATGACTTCCCTCGCCTAGGGTGAGACGAGAGGGAGTATCAGACTCTTACCGACTCCCCCCCCCCCCGTCCCTTCTCCTACTTTAGGTCGAGATCACGGTATCCTATTGCGCAAGCCCCGCAAATCTGATTTAGCTTGGCTTTGGCCCCTAGCCCCGCAAATCCAGCTTGCCCCCTAGCCCCTAAAAAAGCTTTCAACACCCACGAAATTCTTTTGGTGGTGTATCTACACCACCAAAAGAATTTCGAGGATGTTCAAGAACAGCGTTGATTGCTTACCACCCTTCCTCCTTCGGCTCTATTCATTACATAAAACAAAATATCACACTGCGTAAACATGCATGCCCAGATGCATTATTATTATTAATTGTAATGAATGCAAAAAAAGTATGTACGGTGGCGCTGTATTTGTATACTGTGTAGGTTTGATAGACTACCTCTTTCTCTTGCCATGCTTCTGTGGAGGTGGTGACGGAGATCGCTTCCTTTTGCTGCCTTTTTTCGACTTGCTTGATGGTTCAGCTCCCGGAATCAGATCATCAACCGACAGACGTAGCTTGTGGATCTAGAAAACATAAATATACCTACTATGTCATACAAAATATTTAAAATGATAACCAACTAGCAATTTATGAATTGTAACTATCGTGAGGCATACATAATTTATTGAAAATAACAAATTACTCAGGTTAATTAGATGAGAAATGCTCTACTTATTTCAAGTTACAACGGGACTCTTATTCAGGGCGCGTCGCGGCAATGAGAGTCAGCTGCGAGACCTCGCCGCGACTTGACATAATATTATTAAGGCACCCGCGTCCCATGCATGGGTGTGAGTTCGAAACCTGGCAAGTACCAATGTGACTTTTTCCGAGTTATATGTACTTTCTATGATTAAATAGATACGGTGAAGGTAAACATCGTGATCGTAATTTCTAATTATAAGTTTGTAATCGCCAACCCGCATTGAGCAAGCGTGGTTTATAATGCTCTAACCTTCTCCGTGTGAGAAGAGGCCTTTGCTCAGCAGTGGGCACTTATAGGCTGATGATGATGACGACTAGCATATTTAAATACGGCTAAACTACAGTCATTGTTTTTCATCCGATTTATGACAGGCAAATATCATCATTTCATATCATCATTTCAAAAAAATTACATTACAACGTGACAGGCTTCGGTTTCGCGCCCGTAATGAAGAATTTGCATAATATACGAGTATAATGCCTACCTTCTTCTTGCCATTGGAGTCGACCTCGTAATCCTCTTCGTTCATCCACTCGTTGTACTGCGGCATGTCGAGGGCCCAGGACGCCGACACGCGCCACGGCTCCGAGCGAGTACAGTCCCAACTCACTGTTTCTGGCACGTCCACCTACACAAACGCGTCATATGTATAATATGTTGTTTTTTCTTTGATTTAATTTTCACATTTTTAATTATTTTCTGAAAAAAAGAACACTTAAAAATATAAAAAGCAGTAGGTATCCCATGCCCATCGGTAATGGGAGGGTGGTTCCAAGCAACCGGTGCGCGGTGGTCAGGGCTGTTTTTTTTTTGTATTATTATTTTAACAATCTATTAATTTTCTTCTGGCTTTTGACGAGGTGATGTTTTTAGTCTGATAATAATTATTCGCCTTCGTCTTCCCCCGACGAATTGAGTATTACATAATTATATGGACCACGCATTGGTAATAAATCACGGTTCAGACATTAGAATCTGAAGAACAAACTTAAACCTATTTGTATGGCGCCACTTGTTTATAATAAGTTACCGATATTGTCAAGGAACAACCACTAACAAAATTTAAAAAGCATGTTACAGTAATTTTGCATGCCAATTATGGTAGAATGTACAAGGAACCTTAAAACTGTGTAACACCAAATAATTTGTACCTACATTCATGGCAAATAAAGAAATCTATTCTAAAGGGAAGTTGTAGTACCAAGATTCGGAACAATAAATTATACAAAAAGTTGTTACATGAAAGAGTCCGATTTAAAATTGCGCAGTTTGCTCGAAAAACTAATACTATAATTTTCAACCAATTACATAAAATTAATAGATTTCACGATATTATAATATTTATAATAGAATATTCTAATTGATTGTTGGAAATAATTGTGTATAATTAATCTTTGGAAATTGGGTAGATTCGTCAGTCAAAAATAATTATTTTCAATAAATTACAAACAGTTAGATTTGAAGTTATTTATACCTTATTTTAGGATTTTCTATCTAATTAAAATAAGCATCTAAATAAGTATGTATATTTCAGGCAAAAGTAGGATGACCACATAAATTGCGACCTTTTACAAAAAAAATAAAAAACATCGCTTTTACATTTCAATTAATGTACTTACATTTTTTGAGTGGGCGAGGCGGGTGTCATCAAGTGACCTCTCTCGTCCATGGTAAGGCAAGAGAGAGTGTCAGACTCTTGATGAATAAATACCACCCCGTCCCTTCTTCTGCTCCACGTGTTGATGTCAATTCCATTCCCGCAAGTAACGACTCTTTGTGTGATCCACTAATTATTTTTCCAGTTCTGGGTGTTTTGTGTATGTGAGATTGTATGTTTATAAACGCACCTACGACACGGGAGTAAAATGAGCTTACCGCGCAACCGCGTCCGAACATTAGCCCTATTGGGCCTTGTCTGTGGTCTATTGCAATAAATGAACCTAGATACTGATTTTGACTAGTAGTCAACTACCGTATTCTATCACTTCTAATGTATATAGATTTGGGAGGAACTAGTTAATAGGGTAATTTCCAACTAGTCAAATTTGAAATACTTTTTCTAAATAGTAAAATAACGTCAATTTTCTGTGTTAAAGCACGCTGTTACATCATAAATTTGTTAAGATAACATAGAAAAAAAAATCAATATCTTAAAATTAATTAATGAATTATTTTTATCTATTCTAATATTATAAAGAGGTAAATATTGTAAGTTTGTATGTAGGGGGATAATCTTTGGAACCGCTGATCGGATTACCAAAATTCTTTCACTGATATGTAGCTACAATGTTCCTGAGTGCTATAGGCTATAAAACATGACGCTCCGATCTGTAGAAGCTGAGCAGCGGGTGAAAACGCGCGAGATTAGCTAGTGGTTTTATAACGTGTAATAATTTATGTTTGACTGAGGAAACTACCCAGTTATTGCTAAGTATAGTTTACTTACGGGCAGATCAGCTTGTGCCCACGTATCGTGGCTGTCGGGCAGGTAGTACCAGTGAACGAGGACATGGTTACCGCGGCGGAACACTGGGCGCGCGTACTCCTCCTCCAGAGGGTCCACCGTTGGGTATATGATGTGGGTCGCGTCCTCTTCGTCCTCTGTGAACAATATCACACATTATATATTTTATACTCAACTCTATATGACAGTGAACGTTTTTTTTACACAATAAGTACCCCAAACTTTGATTTTCGCCTGTATTGTAGTTGCATTTAATAACAAAAGATTTCACATACACACCATATCCAGATATACATCATTGGTGACATGTATAATAATGTACACTCAGCTGCAGAGAAAAGGATCCCCCTATGTAGATAGCTGCATACATAATAAGTCTTTACCTATGAAATTGCCGTTCTGCAGTACTGGCCATTTCAAATCAAAATAGTTTTTGTTAGGCTAAGGCTAATTAATTTTCTTTTAAAAACATGGGATTCTTTTTCCAAAAGTAGTCATTTGTTAATTGATTAGTGTTACATTTTCATCGCATTTCAAATCAAAAAATTCGTTTAAATTTTTTCATGCAAAACGGCAATTTCATAGGTAAAGACCTATTATTTGTACTTCAGGGAGGGTCCATACCTCTGCAGCTGACTGAACATAGATACTCAATTTGCAGCGAATACAACTATTGTATTGTCATGTATTGTTTTGTAAGACGTAGCCAGACTACGTGGGGGACTGACGCCCAAAGTATGGCAACGGCTTGGACCTTATGTATGTAGCTATGTTATTTATGACGATAAACAAGCACTTATGTTTAAAACTCTTTTCGTTACTGCGGCCTCAGCTTGGAGCAGGTAACCAAGACATTCAAAGTAAGATTGTTTTAATCTGACTTCAGCGTGGGTGAAAGAAAGGGCTATACAAGTTGTCTAGCTCTGTCTCTTACCCACACTGAAGTAAGATTAAAACAATTTTTTTTGAATGTCACGTTTACCCCCCAAGTCTTTTAAGTCAGTAAGAGTCTGAATCTCCCTCTCGCCTTTCTCTGGGCGAGAGAAATCATTTGATTATTGGGCCCCATCCACCCAAGACCCTCCTACTAAGTATTACTTTTACGTTAAAATTGTCTTTTTGTTAACATGTATAGATTCTAATATACTTAGTCAATAAGCACTCACCGCATATCTCTCCTTGATGATTACCAACAATATCCTTGACTTTGTTCGCGGTGGCCTTGTCGACATCAGGTCGTATAAAGACACAGGGCGCGCGGATGACTTCAGCTCCGAGCAACGAGTACTCGATCTCCATCATCATCTGCACGTTCAGGTCCTTACGCGAAGGATTCTGAAAAGGTGGGAGTCGGGGAAGGGGACCAGAAACAAGTTTAATGTTAGATAATTATCTTACTAGATATAGAAATGAACTCTAAATTCTGCACTGAACCACTTTAAACATTTAAAAATATTTGACTTTTAATTTTACTTGATTTAAAACAATTTTTTATTCGAGTGCTTTTACAGTTTGAAAGAAAGAAAAATTTGCAAATAATATAATTTTCACAATTTGATTCAATATCAACAAATACTCAAAAAATTTTAAAATTAAAGTGTAAAGAAAAAAAAATGGCAGACAAAAAATAATCCCAGGATGTATAAAAAACGCCTTAGACATGCAATAACAAACTGTAGAGGTGAATCAACGACCCACTTGTATTAGTGACATAAAAGATAATGTAAGGAGTTATTAAAAAAAAGGTTATTAATCACACAAACACACACAAGAACGTGTTATTAGAAGTGCCCATTATTTACACACAAATTACAACCATAGTACAACAATCCCAGGAGACTGGACAATGACCCTTGCATGAAATGGTACGAGAAAATGAAACATTGGGAACTGCTACCTTAAAGCTAGAGAAATCCGTCTAGTGTTACTTAAAATATCCCGTGTGTGTTATCTACGGAGATTGTGATCAATAACAACACATCACTAAAGAGATATCATCATAAACTGTGCAACATAAACAGATAATATTATCAACAACAAACTTCGTAAGAAAGTCGAATTTAAAAGTACTTCACTTACGTTAAATATTGAGAATAAACTAAAAGATTTTAAAAGACAAAAAAGGTCATTAAAAAAGGTTGATTTGCTCAATTATCTTTTGTACCTTAATGTTATTGATACCCTCATTTCAGTTCGTGCATTTGTAATCGTAACAACATGCATCTGACGCTTATCATCACTATATTGTTTAAAAGAAAGTCGCTTTCTCTGTTCTTATATCCCTATGCTTAAATCTTTGAAACTACTAAACGGCTTTTGAGCAGTTCTTTTTAAAAGAAAGAGTGATAAAAAAGGAAGGCTTATATGTATAATAGCATCCATTTAATGTAGGAGAAAATTAGTGCCCATGCGAACTAGTGTTACATTGCCCATTTGCCCGTGCGAAGACGGGGCGGGTCGCTATTATGCTACAAGTAATAATCAATAAATCATACAAGTCTCATCTATACTAATATTATAAAGAGGTAAAATTTGTAAGTTTGTATGCAGAGGGTAATCTTTGGAACCGCTCATCGGGGTGCCAAAATTATTTCACTATTAGATAACTACAATGTTCCTGAGTGCTATAGACTAGAAAACATCACGCTACAATCAAATGGAGCTGAGCAGCGGATGAAACCGCGACAGAGTAGCTAGTATCAATATATAACAATCGTTTATTTATAGACTTATTAAACATTATTTTATAAGCTGGTCACGATCCCAATGTTTTCGAATTTGATAATACTATGACGGCATCTCTATTTACGACAAACAACTAAAATGTACACAGCTCAATGAAGAGACCCGAGCAAACAAAATATTGCAACAATTTGCATTTCTATAATAGATCTTACTATTTTGATACAAAGTTTAAAATCAATTAAAGTTTGTTTTCAGTCGGTCGGCAGAGACCTCTTATTAAATACAATGAATTATTTTTTTGCAAGTAGGCCATAAAACAGCTCTGACACGACAAAATTATGTTACTATAATATTATAAATGCGAAAGTTACGATGTTTGGATGTTTGTTACTCAATCACGCCAAAACGGCTGGCTGGACGGATCTGGCTGAAATTTGGCACAGGCATGGGATACGCTCGGGAATTACACATAGGCAACTTTAATCAACATACCACGCAGGCGGAGCCGCGGGCGGAAGCTAGTCTATACTAATATTATAAAGAGGTAAAATTTGTAAGTTTGTATGTAGGGGTAATCTTTGGAACCGCTGGTCGGATTGCCAAAATTCTTTCACTGATAGATACAGCTACAATGTTCCTGAGTGCTATAGGCTATAAATCATCACGCTACGATCAGATGGAGCCGAGCAGCGCGTAAGAGTAGCTAGTATGTATATAAAAAACTAGATGAAACCGGCGCGGCGTTTTCTATCTGACTACTCTAAGAAGAAAAGCCGAAACAAACTCAGAGGTCCGTCTTGTAATGTTCCATCATTATAAAGTGGTAATAGGTCAGATGCACGTGGTTAGAGAACAAGTGATGCATTGTTATAGAGCCGCGTGGTGCGGGGCAAGGTCTGCGGGGCGGCGGGGGCTGCGGTCTGGCGGTGAGCGAGGCGGCGTGCGGGGCAGTGCATACCTTACCGACCTGGAAGTCGAACTTGCGCCACCGCTGCTCCGACTTGAAGCGGAACATGGTGGCGAGCACCGTACACAGGGACCCGCCTGGCTTCATGTCCATAAAAACTTTCATCTGAAAACAAAACAAAATACTATGTTATACATATTATATTATTATACTTATATTACTAGCGGACCATCCCCAAAGACATATCAAACAGCGAAATCGTTAGGGTCGTTTCCGAGAACATATGCTTTTCCAAGCAATCAGCGCCATCTGCCGCCGGGCTGATTTGGGAATCTAAACCATCCAGACGCAGGCACCACTCAAACGCGTACAAAAAATTAATAAAAATCGGCCAAGCCGTTTAGGAGGAGTTCAATGACATACACACGTACAGCAGTATTATATAAAAAAAAATTTGCATGTGACTAATTTACTGTAAGGTCATCTCATTAATGTTCTACACAATATTTATTGTTTGACAATTTTCCGTTTGACGAGGCAAACAGAATGGGAGTCCTTTGATCATAATGTAAAATTATAAAGTCAAAATCAGAGTTTACTTTAAAGCATTTTACTTAAATTATTCCTCAACATGTTCTGTAATCTCAATTTGTTACCTTCAAATTCTTTATTTGCAGAATATTTTAGTAAGTAAACAAGATGTTCTTAAATGAAATTATAAATCGCCATAATCAGGCCCACGCCATGCAAACTAGGTACAAAGGAAACAGAGTAACATGAAACACAGTATCGAGAAAAAAAAAAGTCCATACACTAACGAAAATGTCAATTTTACAATAATAATAACATTACATTCGAATTTTAATACTAATAGAAAAAACAATACATACAGATACAGAAATAGTCACTTAAATTGAGTGTTTTAAATCTTTATATAAAAATGGATCGTAAAATATGTTGGTAAGCGCATAACTCAACAACGCCTGGACCAATTTTGATAATTCTTTATTTGTTGTGTTTGTTATTATCAGGAGAAGGAATTTTAATTTAAATTTGAATTTTTTAATCTAAGAAAATATAAGAAAAGTTGAGAGGAAGATTAGGAAAAAGTGACACTTTGATAGCGAAATAGTTGGGCCCGTACGAAGCGGGGGGGAGGGGGCCGCTAGTATTAATATACATATTATACAATATTTCTTTCGTACTAATTTTATAATCAGATTAAACAGTTTTTTTATAACTAATCATCAAGAAATTCGTTTACCGAGTAATACGATTTGTCTATAACTACTTACTTTAGTTACATCAAAATATTTGACTATCAGTCTATCTATAACCATAAAAAGTTTCCTAGTGTTTACTTCTAACAATATGTAGACAAGAAATCGACGCGATTAATATAACACAACAAGTTTATAATTACAGACCTAAGTCTATATGATATATTGTACACCATATTTGGAAACAATTGGCAATTGGTGGGACAATGGGTCATTTGGCAATGCAAAATTACAATCCCGATGAGTATATGTAGAATTATAGACGGTAATGTACCACTTAAATATAAAGATATGTGATTATATAGAATGTTGCATGTTTGACTGCACGGTTGGCGCGGTGGCTGGGCAACTGGGCTGCCGTGCTACGTGTCGCGAGTTCGATTCCCGCACGGAACAACTCTTTGTGTAACCCATAAATTGTTGTTCCGGGTCTGAGTATCATGTGTGTGTGAAATTGAATGTTAGTAAACGCACCCACGACACAGGAGAAAATCCTAGTGAATGGCAGTGTTTAAAAAAATATGTGATTGTATAGATTATGTATTTTTACAGTGTACGTCGGTAATCCAGCGTACGGATCACCTTATCGTAAATAATCGGTGCTGCCCATTGGCGTTGCCAGTCTTTAGAGATTAGAGGGTTAATAGGATTTGAGGATGGGATTTGGGGATTAAGGATGGGGAGAGGAGGGATTGAGTCTTAAGAAGATAGGGGAAAGGATGAAATTAGCATTATAATTTGCAAACAGACAGTATTTTCGTTGCCGATTGCGTCTTAGGTTCGTTTCTCAGTCAATAAAGATTATACGACTATTTAGAAATATCTTTGTCCCTAATTTGCAAATCATAAAAAAAATATCAGTATAATTGAAAATTCAATTAAAATAAAGAGGTTATCAATGAGGCAGAGACGTAATTACCACTACTATCATGGTGTAATAAACAGAGTAAGTACCTATTGATAATGTTCTATTTTATAAGGCTAAAAGCCTAGGTATTAGGCAATGAAGTTGTATTTTACTTGAATTAAAAACCATAAAAACCCTGATAAAGTACTCCTCAAATATACTGTACTAGCTACCTGCCCCGGCATCGCACGGGTGTAAAGCTGATACTTAATTTTCTCCACTATATGCCACTTGTATCAACAGACGTCTTTTACGATCCATTTTCATTAACAGACTGTCCAACGCTAAGGCGCCGCTGCGACATAACAACGTTACGGCGCCGCACCGCTCGTGTGCCCACTGACACGGTGAAATCTTTGCGATGCGGCGCCGCAACGCATCGTGTGCCCCCGCTCTTATACCTACACATAAACCTTCCAATCACTTAAAAAATACCGCATCAAAATCTGTTGCGCAGTTTTAAAGGCTTACACCCGGTTTCCGAAAGGCCGATCAATGTTAAAATCAATTTAATCTCTTGTCAAGTCATCTGATTGGTTGACTGAATTATCAACAACCAATCAGATGACTTGACAAGAGTTTTGACACATAGTTGATTTTAACATTGATCGGGCTTTCGGAATTAATCATACATATATGAATTTAGGGACCGAGAAAGCGACTTTGTTTTATACTATGTAGTGATACCGACAACATTCAAACTGTATAAGAATTATTTAATACTGGCATCTCGCCCCTGCTTCGCTCGGGTATCTAACTGGTTGCGATTTCGAACATAACGAAATAAAAATTAGTAAAATTGGTTCAGGCGTTTTTGAGTTTTAAGCTTACCAATCGATTTAGCTATTAATTTTTATGTTGTAGATTAATTTACAATTAATATTTGCTTGTTAATTTTACTTCGTGACCTAAATATGTATTAAAAGAAACAATTTTTGTAAACGGTATAAAAGGAAATCTTATTCTGCAATAGGTTACAGTAGCCACAAGATTTCGTTCCACCAAAGTAGGCTGTTCATTACATAACTTTGAAAGTAGAAATTATAAAAACTTAGGTGAAGTAAGAAGGGCAACTTGTACTTAAATAAAGGAAATGACATTGATTAGGTAACGTTTGACATGACAGGATGTCGTTCACATAGGACAGTACTTGATACCATTAAGTCTCACTAAGGCTACAGGAAATTAGAAATTAAAAGTAATTATAGGAACACATGAAGGCGATACATTTTCTATCAAGTAAGTTTTTATTTACTGGTAAACAGTGCACCTTTTCTAAAACTAAATTAACAATTTAAACAGACTGTTCCTGCCTCTCGTTGTTAAGTAAAAAAATGGTGCACAAAATTAGTGTTTAAAAATAAAAAAGCGAGCTAAAGAAGTTCCCTAAGATGGCACATAATAGTTTCGCTTTATCCAAGGTCACACTTCCGCGGAACCGCATCTCCTGAGCCGTGACACAACATTGCAGAGCGCGACCTTCCTCAACTAATTAACTATATGAATCGTACGGAAACCCTAAAGAAAGTCAAACAAATAACTTTATCTTAAAGAACGTAACAAAGCCTTAATTAGCTGGAAAAATTTTATTTATTTATTTATTTATTTATTTATTTATTTATCATCCTTAACACTAACATTACAGACTAATCCAATGCGTTAGTGGGGCATTTAACTAAATAAAACATTAAAAAAATACAATTAAAAACATAAAAACATAAACAGACACACACCCTTCTTGGTTAATTAAAAAGACATACAAAAACAAACAATACAAAAACAACAAAATAAAACACATTAACAATAAATTACGGCCTAATCTATCTTATAACATAATATAAATAAAGTCATCCTTGCGAGTTCACTGAACTGACACGAAAAAATATCTATGTTGTTGTGGATTTCATTTATAATACGAATTGCTCGCGTGAGAGGCGTTTTGGCCAGGAGGTTGGTCCTGGCGGTTGGCACTGACAGCAGTGGCGGGCGTCGTCGTCTCTCCACGTATCTATCCGGCACACAGAGGCTCAAACACCGTAGAACTCCGGGATTGTGCTCCTTGCCACCGAGTAATTTAATTAAATATACAACAAGTGCAAACTCTCGCCGCACCTTTAACTGGTTGTACCCGACCATACCCAGCACAAACAATGTGGGGTACATTAGGGGGTACAGAGGATACACCCCATACAGCCTCCAGTACAAGTGGCGCGTGAATTTGTTCTGTACGCGCTCCAGCATGACAGAGTACTTGGCTTCGTATGGAGCCCATATGACAGAAATAAAGTCCGTAACGTCCATAATGCGATCTCTTAGAATTCATTTTTGTATTAATTTTCCTGATATGTTTGGCTTAACAACTGTAGCTAGATAGTCAATATTCAAGAGTCTATATCTATAGTCATATCATGCTTTACTTTTAGATGTCTCTACATTAATAGGTTCTATTTTTAATGGTATGTAATTTTCTAATGACTCTCTCAGCCTTTTACTGATTTAAAACTCCTTTGTTTCTTATTTTCCGAGCCGGGCTGCGGTACCTGCATCATTACCCTTACATCCGCCACCCCGGATGCAAACCTAATTAGCCTATCCCCATGTGAAGTAAAATACAAGTCTTAAATTAGACAAAAGCTACAAAAATGTATGAAATGAATAACTACGTTTTGTTTTAGTGTATCTAAATACAGATTAAGAGATATACGGCACTGCATTCACTTGTTCAGTTCAAGATCATAAATGACCGGTTCTGGGTCGAGTGGCGCGGTAGGGCGGCTCTAAGAGCTGAGACGTAGATTGAACGCCGTGCTAGACGGCCGCGGGCCTAGTCAGTGTCAAAGAGAACAAACGTTACGTTAGACAACACGCCAAAAACAATCACAATGATAATCCCAGAATTTATTCTCACGACGTTACTCGTTGTATACTGTTCAGCATTCAGAGCCACGACACCGCTTATTAAAAATGTAAGTAAATAAATACCTAATTCAAAGTATTTTCTTAATAGCAAAATTGTTATTTCAATTTATAAACAGTTCTAAAATTGGATATATTTAATTAAACTTTTATCTATCGTAGCGCATTTTCATTAGCAGGTTATGCTAGGTGTATGTTATTGATAAAACAAAATATTATAAATTTATTTAAATGTCGTAGATAGGTATCAAACACAATATTTTAAAGTTTTTATTTTCCAGAGTTTGTATATTGTTGAGAGAGGAAAATATTTCTTCCTATAACTGGATAGGTGACATGGTGACCTATATTACAGGTTTTTACTTATAATATTCGTTTAATGTTGATCAGAGTTTAAATTATGCAATTGTTAGAAGCATCCACGACACAGCAGACAGTTTTATATATACTATACTAGCTTTCATCAGCGGCTTCGCCCGCCTAACTATGATGAAGAGTAGCCTATGTGTTATTTCAGACTATATCGCTGTGTCAATTTTCTCTTTCTATTCCAATCTATTTAGAATAAACGCCCATTGTAACAAACTTAAAAAAATACATTTATAATATTAGTAGGAAAGTGTCATAATTTAATGTTTTCTAAAATAAATTCACTATAATGCTTTACTAGTAGTTTAAGGAGTAATGTAGGTATTAGAGCGTACCAAACAATTTATTCATACTAACAAACTCGCGTTTATATTATTAGTAGGAATAAAAACAATTCTATTTTTTCCGCTTCCGTATTGAAAAGAATACTCATCGTATTGCTATTAAGACGTACCTAGATTATGATATTATTTATATTTTTTTTACATTGTTAATCGACAAACAAACAACGTTTTATAACAATTTTATCGACGTCAAATATTTATTATTCTTTAGGTAACTATATATCAATGCACTTCCTCTAACTATGACGTTTCTGATAATACCACCATTGACATTCGTCATTGTTAATTAAATTTTGAAAGTCTATAATATTTGTATCTTAGATTTATTTGAAGATGAGGATCTAAAAATTATTCAAAACAATATATCTTATGCACATAGTTCATGATGAACTGGTTATCACAGATTTGTCATACCAAGTCATTGTTGTGCTAACAGACAGTTTGGGAGGATTAAATAAAATTAATTCTTATACTCACTGCTTTAATTTTTTCATCTACTAATAAATCAGAATTGTACAAAAATGCTCAATTGGGCTTCAACTCTGTTAATAATTGGCTTTCCTCTAATTTACTAACATTAAATGCGGACAAAACAAAATTCGTTCAATTTTCTATGCGTAAGTCTCCAGATACCACTGTTATACCCGAGTTATTTGTACATATATGTGCAAATAAACTAGCTGGTACATGTAACTGCCCTTGTATCCTAAAAACTACATCAGATACCTCGGCATCACAATCGACGAAACTCTCTGTTTCAAACAGCACACCAGCATTCTAGTTTCACGAGTCAGAAAGTTGATGTACATCTTTAAAAAGATGAGATATATTGGTGACATGAAATTAATCACGCAAGTGTACCAAGCCCTATGTCAGTCCATTATACAGTATTGTATTAATTCTTGGGGCGGTGCAAAAACTGTTAATCTAGAACGTGCTCAGAGGGCTATCCTTAAGGTAGCATTTTCTCTTCCTTTTCTTTTGCCTACACCAATTTTATACAACACCTGCAATGTTTTAACTGTTCGCCAAATTTACATAGTACAACTAATACTTAAACTCATTACTCACCTTTAAAACTAATTATTCTCCTAACAAAAGACGGAATGACATGGTATGCAATTCAACTTCAGTTTCAAAACACGCCTTTATTAAAAGATTTTTCATTTTCCTATGCCCATTTTTATAAAATAGAATAAATAGAGAATTAAGTATTTATAGCCTTAACCATTATCGTTGTAAAGAAATATTAACTAATTATGTACACTCCCTAACATATGAACAAACTGAGAAATTACTTGAGGTTTGCAAATAATGTAATAATAGCTGACGTCTGTTTATGTAATTGTACACGCGCACCTGTAACACTTAGATACTAATTATTTAAATCAATTGTTATATTTTAGTTTTATATTCGTTTAGTTTGATAAGCAATAATATTGTAGTAGAAGTATGTCAGCACTTTATTACCTGAAACACAGGTTTGCACCTAGTTCAGGTTGATGTTATACACTGTACTTTTTCTAGATTTTAAGATATTTTTTTTTACAACAAATAAACATTATTATATAATAAACTTTCACTAGTAGGATTTCAGAAAGACAGGTCCGAAGTTCATTAGTAGGATACTTTGTCATCAGATACCTACAACTGGTTAGCCTAACTCGGTTGTTTGTTTATATTTCGCCTTGAAAACCTTTATCCAAGTACAATACGGAATGTTTGTCGTTTCCAGAACTTACTCCGCTCAGTTACGAAATTCACTTATCACACTCAATGCCTGTCTATTCTATAAATATTTTGTATAATTGGGTAGTTTCCTAGGCCAAAAATAAAATAATTCGACGTTTCAAATACAATAAAATATTGAAAAATAACTATAGCTTTATTCATCGATCGATCGATACACTAAGTTTTAGATTTTTTAACTAATTATTAAGAAATAAATAAGCTATTTGACGCAAAAATGTTATGACGTCATAACTCAGTTTTTCATACTTCAAACTTCACAGAAAAGTATCGTTGTCGTTTGGATAAAAGTATTGAATTTGAGTAGTTGGAAACTACCGTATTCTATCTAAGAAGTATTAAAACCGGGCCACGGTACATGGTGGTGATTTTAACGCCATATTTGTTTTTAAAGACGATTTATAAAAAAGCCGTAAAAACAGTATCGTGAAACTAGGAACATGAATTCGAAAAACTCCTATCAACACGCAAACAGTCTATTTTGAATTTTGAAACGCTAGTATTTAAGTACCATAAATAATCTAGCCAATTTAAAAAACTAATCAGAATTTCATTAGTTGATTTTATAATGAGCTTACTTACTTTAACTTACAAGGATAGAATTTGTATGGTATTTGACGAGGAAAAATTAAATGTCACGAAATCATAAAACACGATATAGTAGACAAGTAGAAGATTGGCTCGACCGGAGCGATACCACGGCCTCACAGAAAACCGGCGTGAAACAACCACAGCGTTGTGTTTCGCCGTGTGAGTCAGATTACCGGAGGCCCAATCCCCTGCCCCTCCCCCATTCCTTCCCAAACCTTTCCTTTCCCAATCCTTAAATATCCGTAACCCTCATCCCTAAAAAGCCGGCAACGCACTCGTAAATCCTTTGGTGTTGCGGATGTGCATGGGCGGTGCTGATTGCTTACCTAGGTAATCCATCTGCTCGTTTGCCGACCTGTAGGTCTACCATGATTCTAGTCTCGCCCGAGAGATTCACGCAATAACATGTCATGGTAGGATTTCTGTACCATAAGAAAAGATTTTAAATCATACTAATCTAGTAAACGCGACAGTTTATGTGTATGGATGGATTCTGTTATTTGTTACTTTTGATTGTACTTTAGTCTGGTGCTGTGGGCGAAACCACAGTATGAAGTTAGTGTTATTAAGCGATACTTAAATTAACTATCCAGTATTGGGGAGCGTTCTAAAATTTCTATGAACTTATGTTATTAATGATGATTAAAATTTCCATGATTAAAATAGGTGCAGAGAGGTGGTATACACTTCGAGGGTCCTCATTGGTCAGCTGCGGAAAACGCTCTCTATTGGGTCGACATACAAGACCAAAAAGTTTACAGATTCGACGCTGAAACATCCAATATCACTTGTAAAAGTATTGGTAAGTTTACAATCTGTACAGGAATTTATTTCCCACAGTATAAAGTCCATAATTAGTTACTTCCTCACAGTTTTAGAAGCCTTTGAAATGACTTTGGGTGGGGCGGGACGGAGTGTCAGACTCTAACTGACAACCACTACCATTCCTTCTCCTGCTTTAGACGCTGCTGAGCTCCTAATGGTCGTAAAACATAAAACAAAAAAGGTTTAATTCGAACCAGCTGTTCTGTTGTGTTCAAACTTCTTTAGATTTATATCTATTACTAGCTCTTACCCGCGGCGTCTCTCCCATCATTTGACCTACTACTACCTACCCTACTCTACCTACCTTACACTACCTACTATATCCTATCCTATTATATTATATGTCTTTTTCCAGGCTCTAAACTACCTCCCTGCCAATTTTCGGCTAAATCGGTTCAGCCGTTTTTGAGTTATAAGTGGAGTAACACACGACTAGATTTAGCAAAATAGTAAAGACTTTAATTATAACTAAATAATTTTCAGGATACGGCCCAGTGTCACTGGTTGTAACAGTGAAAGACTATCCGAAGCTAATTTTGGTATCTGTGCGATCCGAACTATACTTTTTGTCGTGGGACTCATTCGAAAATGACAGTTCTCTCAGGCTATTGAGCGTTGTAGACCTGGGCCTGCCAGACAACAGGTGTAATGACGGCAAGGTCGATGCTAAAGGAAGATTGTGGTTTGGTAAGTTGTTTTTAGAATATTTTATTAATGTGACCACCTAATATTTTAACTTGATATCTGGTAATCTTTGATGTCTCTGATAAAAAAAGACCAGAAAAGATTTTTAAGGAAAATATTAAGTGTGGGAGAGCTATGCGTCGCGATCGGCACGAATGGGTCGGCTCGACCGCAGTGATACAGAATGCCTCTACAGAAAACCGGCGTAACACAGCGACAGCGTTGGCAAACGAGCAGACGGATTACCTGGTGGTAAGCAATCAGCGCCGCCCATGGACACCCGCAACACCAAAGGAGTTACGAGTGCATTGCCGGCCATTTCAGGATAAGGGTTTCGGATATTTAAGGTTTGGGAAGGGATGGGGAGGGGGATGGATTGGGCCTCCGATAGCTTCATTCACACTGCGCTTACACTTCTAGGTACAATGGGCAAGGAAGTGGATAACAACGTGGACAAAGACCAAGGAACATTGTACTTGATGGATGAGCACAATTACATTGATCCAATGGAAAAAGTTCGTCCAGTCACCGTCTCCAACGGCATAGCGTGGACTGCTGATAAAAAGTTTATGTTCTACATCGACTCTCCGACTAGGAACGTAGATGTATTCGATTTTGATCTCGAAGAAGGTTCCATTCGTAAGTGCTAAAATTTATTTGAGGTTCATGCACACGGGATAGAAAATACAGTGGAAGTGCCCCTCAGACATCGCGCGCTAACCAACATGATGACTAGATATACAACATTTTGGCACATTTGTTGTCAGAATCGTTCGATCCGTTGTCATGATCGGTTGTCATGGTTGTCTCTAAGAAACACGAAATATATTAGAAATTATGCCTTGTTGTGCGGTTTTTAACTGCAAAAAAGTAAGCAGAAAATAAGATGAGTCTTGTGGTGGTGTATCGTATCATCTTTGAGTATTAACCTTTGTTAATTTTAAATATATTAGATTTTAATGTAAATATCACATTTAATTACTTCAATGCAAACTATAAAGGGCCTTATTTTCATTACAATTAAGTTCAAATCTACTTGTTCGTTATGTGACGTTATATACAATACATTCTAGTAGTTTCGACGCTACTCATTTAGGGATGCGACATATTCGTAAAATAGGTTCATATCGATAATTTTTCATCATCATCGTTCAGAAAATTGATTTTTGACAATTTTTGTGTATAATTCATAAATGTTTAACTAAGATTGCATAGACACATCAACGTTTTAACCACACACAGCGTGCATCCGTCTGTGGCAGGTGTGGGTGGTTAATCAACATTTTTATTTTAAAACTAGTTTTCGCCAGCGGCTTCGCCCGCGTGCTGTGTTGATAAAAAGCAGCAAATAGCAAGAGAACAAAATCTAAGTATACATAAAATTTGGTATTTATCGTCTCATTTTTATACATCTCCAATGGGTAAATACCCTATTACTTACTAAGTCTCCGCAGTCCGTCCGTCAATAGATAGAAAGGTACAGATCTAACTAATAGGTAAGAGTTACAAATATTTGATAAAACCTATATTATATTATATTTTATACCGCATCGTGTCGAGCACGGCAACCGCTACACAAAAATAATTCTTATACCATGATTCAGTGTTCACTTGCGACGGCGCTATGTCTTATTATCCGAATTGCTAAGCTATCAGGAGTTACACGTGCTATTGTGAGTTAACCATAAAAGATAGACATATGCTGTATAACATTTTTTTTGTCAATTTTATTTAAAATATTTCCGTCATACATAATTTCTATGTAAGTTTCAGTGGCGTGTGTAACCTTAATGGTTACATTAAGGTTACACACGCGACTGAAACTTACAAAAGGGAGTAACTTCTCCCGTTTTCCCAACATTTTCCTTCACTGCTCTGATCCTATTATTTGTAGCGTGATGAAAAGTATCCTATAACCTGCCCAGGAGTATAAAGAATAATTGTACCAAGTGTTGTTAAAATCCGTCGAGTAATTTTTGTTTCTATAAAGAACATTCAGACAGACAGACAGACAGACAGACAAAATTTTTACTGATTGCATTTTTGGCATCAGTATCGATCACTAATCACCCCCTGGTAGTTATTTTGAAAATATATTTAATGTACAGAATTGACCCCTCTACAGATTTATTATAAGTATAAATGTTGTACATGATTTTTATCAGAGTTCCAAAAAGGAGAGTGACTCTCAATTCGACTTTAACATTTTTTTTTGTTTTTTTCGTCTCCGTTATTTATGAACCGATTTTAATGATTCTATTTTAGGAAAGGAGATAAAACTGGTAGGAGCGCGTAGTGCTTTTATATGTTAAAATCGAAATCTTTAATAATAACTTGACCATCTCCAAAAAACATAAAATCTTCAAAAAATATGTTAATATTTTTCTTTTTTTTTTATTAGAACCTTTTTCATTACTGATCATTTGTAGGTATATCGTGTCGATAAATTATATTGCTCACATGAATACAAAAACATCGATATATTGGGATACCCTGCCCTATCTGAGTAGCAAAATAGTAAATGTCTATTGGTACAAGTGCATACAAATATGACATCTATTTCAAAGAAATTAGCGTTTTGAATAGAATGAATTTGTTACAGCGCCATCTAGCGTTGAGTGGCTGAACCCGTTTGTAAATTGTTTTATTTAAGTTTTTTACACTATAGACGCCTTTATTGATTGTGACATGTGAAATGATAACAACTTTCGCTCATTGTTATAAGACTCAATTTTTAACAACATTTAGAAGATGATTTGCTAAAGTTGCGTTTCATGTTTTTACCCAATTATATAGCTGTTTTTTATGTGTGTAATGGACAATTTGATTTGCGAATGTGTGATTTTGGCGACACTGGTTTTCCTTTTGAAAGAGTGTAGGGGCACTTCTACTTAATTTTCTGTTCTGTGTTCATGCATATACTGTTGGCAATTTTTTTAAACGTTGTGGGGCATTTATTATTTACTCCTGTGTCGTGGATGCGTTTACAAATACCTACACATCACACCCAGACCCGGAACAACAATTTGTAGATCCAAGCGAGAAATATATCTAGGTATTGTGTCTTATACTAGGTATATAATTCAAGTCGGAAATCTATTATTTAACAGGTACATTTGGTATTTAAAAACTTGTTTTTCTAATCAACTTTTTCGATTCTTTTTCTATTTCTCGTTTCTCGGTCTTTTCAAGAGCATGCAACCTAACTATTAATAATTTATACGAGGTCGCGGGTGCAAGATCAAGCTATAAATTCGCCCGATACCTGTATTATTACCGATTTTGATTCTAATTAACATATAAACAGGACATAACACATCTTAGAAGAATAGAAATAAAAGAAAAGTATGTAATATAACGTTATTTAAATGTTAAATTCCAGGGAACAGAAGGACACTCTTCAGTTTCCAAGCAAACAATGTGACTGGGGTACCGGATGGAATGACAATTGACAGTGATGGTAATCTATGGGTTGCCTGCTTTAATGGATGGAAGGTAATGATAATTAATGATAAGTATCCTGTAGTTATTTAGCCTTAAGGCTTTAGGCTAAATACTAGTTTATTTATCAAAGAATTGATAAATGAACCAATGAACACAAAAATAATTGTTCCATTCAAATCAGTAAGTTCTAGAGATTTGTGCAAAAGACAATTAAGATTATTTGTTTCTTTACAGGTAATAAAAATTGACTCCAGAGCTGGTAAACTTTTGGAACAGCACAGGTTACCGGTTTCAAAGGTAACATCAGTGATGTGGGGAGGACATGATCTGTCTACACTTTTTGTGACAACCAGCAAGGTCGGCCTGTCTCAGGCAGAGCTGAATGCACAACCTGAAGCAGGCTCTCTATTTGCAATCGAAGGCACAGGGGCCAAAGGACTGCCTGAAAATCAATTTGTTTTTGCTAATGCTGCAACTTTTTAATTTTAATAAAATGTTGTTATAATTTGTTACATTTTACATTATTGTTTTATTTTATATTATAACATTAACCCCATTCTGACATTCTTTATTTTATTTGTTAGTAGGATGATTACATATAATATAAGTTTATAATAACAGACAAAGTATTTCAACTAATACATAAACATTCTATATAATACAATAATCTTCAATATTCTTATCTACATAAACCAACAAAAACTGTTTGTTGGGGGCAAATTATAAGAAAGTTTGTTTTAACAGCCTACAGTTGGAGTTATCTACACATTTTTAACACAGTGTAGTTTTGAAACAAAAATTATTTGTTTGTGAAGTAGGTACAAATGAGTATGGTTATCTGTATACTTTAATTTGTTTATTTTTAGAGTATAGGCACAAATCAAGTTTAAATAGATAACTAGTTTCTTCTACTAGGCTTTCACCTAACCTATAGTTTTTTCAGTATACAAACGTAAACCTCTGGGCACCCAAGTCATTATGAAATCTTAATAAATGTAAACTCTATTTAGAAGATTAAACTTTCCATTTACATGTCACTCTCAGGTTTGCCCAACTAGGTTTGTCAACTAGACATTTATACATATATATACAAAATTTGCAGAACAACAATTGCGTGAATTGATAATAGTTAACCAATAAACAGCTTTTGATTAAACATCATTACATAGTACAAAACAAAGTCGTTTTTTCTATCCTATATTCCTATGTACACTTAAATCTTTCAAACTATGTAACAGATTTTTATGCATGTTTTTTTAATAGAAAAAGTGATTCAAAAGGAGGTTTAATAGGTATAATAACATTATTTAAATATTGAAGAATCTAGTATCAGCATTTCACCCATGCGAAGCTGGGACGGGTTGCAAGTGTAATAAATAATTAGATGCCTATAAAAAATCCCGCAAAGCCTATGTAGGGGCTCTGTATGATGAACAACATTCATCAACAATAAGAGAATTAAATAGGTAATTTCCACTAAACTTGTTATTTATTTTGCAATGATTATAAATGAGACATAACATTTTCTTTTAGATTGTAAAATGGTAAGAGCAAAGACCATTAATGACTTTTAATACAGTATTAACTCTTTGGTGTTTATCATCTAATTGTTATGTATGCAAGTATCAATAAGACTAATATTTGTTAGGAAGAAGACAGATAACCTAAATATGTAAATGTAAATCACAATTTTAATAACCTACATGGCATATAATGTAATGTATACCACAATTGCAATGATAAAATAGAGTGTAATAAAAAAAGGAAACAAAACTCACCGGAACCCTCAAAAATGGAGGATCTGAAGCATTTTTTCCTAATTTATTCTCTTGATACTGAATAAGCTGTATAACTAGCTGGGCCAAGCCTTCTTTCGTTGGCGGATCTGTCTGCACATGCTGAAAAACAAATATTATGTATGTATAAGAAAGTTAGGTAAATTTGTACCCTTAATTAATAGTTGATTATACATATTAATACATAATAAATAACTTATAAGAAATGTTATATTTTAGAAAGCTGCAAAGAGAGGGAATCTTAATGTTTAGATTGTACTGGTCTCACAATTATGTGATTGCACATTAACTCTAAGTGGTTAACAACAAACTTTTAAACAAATAACCAAGAAACAACTTAATAATTATCGATGGAGTTTTAGTTTCTATTACCTTCTTGCAATTTTTCTGTAACCAAACGCGGATTTGGTCAAATTGTGTTAGAGATTCCGGTGACTGAAAAAATTCGATATTAGGCCCTCCATCCTTCTTTGGACCTATCGTTGCCATGATGATACACTAACTTATAGTATTAGTCACAAAAATACTCAGATATCGTTTAGATATTTATTTAATCTGGTCTCAAACTATATAATTGCAAAGAAAACAAGCAAAGACGACACGGCGTCGTTGTTCACGATTTTGACATTAATACTTCAATGTTGCCATTTGGAATTATATTTTTTTACCGACTTATTGGCTTTTGAACCTCTTTTGGATAAATTAGGTACTGTAAACAAGTAAATTGTTAGATAGAGTCAATGATATTCCATAATAATTTACTAAAATATCATTGGATAAAGCCTATGCGTTAGCCATGGACGTTTATAAAAAAACACCAAAGTTATTATTTATGTGTAAATACAGTGAAACTTGGTTAAGTGGGACCTGGATAAGTGAGAAACCTCCATAACTGGAATACATGCTGAGGTCCCAACACTTTGGCACTGAATTACCTCTGTTAGTGGGACGAGGCAAACCTGTATATCTGGGATTTGTTCTTTCGATTTATCATCATAGTTACCTCTATAACTGAGAGAGCGAGTAAATTTTATATGCATAAACCTCTGTAACTGAGATAACATTGTTTGTTTACTCATTCTTATTCTACCCACAAATTCCACACGTAATTCCAAGTACGTAAGTACAAATTTAGAGCTTCAATTACCTTCAGTTTTAGTTTCGCTTTACTATGATACAGATGTTTATTTGAAAAATGCCAAAAAGAAAGCTACAATCGTTATCATTACGTGAAAAACTGAAGTTAATATCCGTTTAGGAAAGTGGGAAGACACGCGAAAAAGTTTGTGATTATGATTACCTTTAAGTACTATTTTTTATTAAAACTTATTTACATACATAACACATTATTTTATTTAATGCGATCATCAAATAAAATAACGTGTTATGTATCACTGAATAACTGACTGTATACCTGTATAACTGAAATAACCTGTATTCTCACCTCTATTAATGGAACCCTCTGTAAATGAAACAGATATTTATTTATACCTGTATATCTGAGACACTGGGTAAGTGGAATACCTCTATAAGTGAAACGATATTGCAGGTCCCTTGATGTCTCACTTAACCAGGTTTCACTGTAATTACCTAATATTTGAATACTCCACTTTGTAACTACATACTCTATAGTATAGTACTTATACCTATAGATACGTATTTAAAGAATATTTATTTTTTGATGCAATCATTAACCTTACAATAATTCCTTGAAAAGTGTACAATTATCGTATAATATAGTTTCGTATAATAGTTTGACTGCACGGTTGGGACTGTGGTTGGGCAACTGGCTGCCGCGCAATGTGTAGCGGGTTCGATTCCCGCACGGAACAAATCTTTGTGTGATCCATAGATTGTTGTTCCGGGTGTAATTGTATGTTTGTAAACGCACCCACGATACAGGAGAAAATCCTAACGTGGGTCAACGCTTTTTATTAAAAAAAAATTAAGTTCCCAAACTCGCAAAGTTTGTTGAGCGCGCGTAAGTTAAAAATTATGGAAACTACGGTACCGATTTCAATAAGACTTGGAATTTACCAGTTAAATTAATAATAACTTGGAACAGAATTATACACACGAGAACATAAAAAAAATATGATCGTAAGCAATCAGCGCTTCCTATGGACATCCGCAACAACGGAGGTGTTACGAGTGCGTTGCCGACCTTTTGGGGAAAGATTGGGCCTCCGGTACATAAAATGAAATAAATTATAGATAGCTAACTATTTTTAAACTTAATTATTCCTTTATTCGTAATACAATAGCTAACAACCCATCACGTACCAGAAAAAAGGAATCATCATCTTCCTGCCCTTGTCCCGTTTTATTTGGGGTCGGCGCAATATGTTTTTTTCTTCCATTCTGTCCTGTCACTCGTCACGCTATCGCTAACTCCTCTGTCTTCCATATCACTTCTCACACAATCCATCCATATTTTCTTTGGTCTCCCCCTCCCTCTCCATCCATCCACATTTAATACTCATGAGTTTTTTTGTTACATGCTTTTCATTCCTCCTTTTCACATGGCCATACCAAGACAAACGGTTCCCTTTCAACTTTTCAGTCACTGGCGCCACTTTCAAACTTCCTCTAATATACTCATTTCTCACTTTATCCATTCTCAGAAAAAAGGATTATGGAATGTTATTTGTATGGTGTTATATGCTAGGGTCTAAACGAGCCCTTAATGTCAAATATAGGCGGAGTTTGTTTATAGCTGATGCAATGACGATAATTATATTCTCTTTGAGCTGATGTATCCAATGATACCGATGGCACCGATGACTACCTACTTAGGTACTTTTCTGGTATTTTAGTTGAGAAATAACGGTAAGTATTTTAAATGATAAAAGCTTTCTAATAATAATTAATGGTACACAATTACTGCTTGAGAAATGTAAATCCTGCTGAGACTGCTATCGTTTGCCCTAACAGGCATTATGGCGTGGTACCTACCTAATACATTCTTCAGTTTCAGATTGTGATTTAGGGAACATGTGAAATTACGGGGCAGTGGTTCCGCTGCTTGTTGTAGGGTCAAGCTTGAAAAGAAGTTACCGTAAAATAATTTAGAAGAGTAAGCAAGAGACACTCCATTTCTGTTCAAATCGTTAACTTACCTTTTATATTACTTTACAGTTATTTCAATAAAAATCCCTCATTTAAACATACATTTTATTACACTAGATTAACCAAAAAAGTTAAAATAAATTTGATCTATGACTCATAAAGATTATGTTTCCGACCTTTAAAATATATTACGGACAATAATTGGCAACTACACGTCCATTAAATATCTATTGTAATACATACATACCTAATATTTAATTGACAATACAACATTTTGATAACATAGGTAGCTTCTAACATCAATATTAATAATTATTGTCTGAAACTTTGACCTAGGGCGTAGATTGTAACCAGCGACCAGGCTTTGACATTGACAGTTGACACATCAAATATTTTCCCGCCTAAACGAGTGGCCACAAACTAAGCAATAAGACTGCAGCAAAGCTGAACATTTTACTGGTAAATATTACATTACAGATAAAATATTATAAGCTATATGCCTAACTATGTCTTTTTGCAAACCAATAATTTTAAATCTTTCAATATAAATAACGTTATTTCATTTCGATCTAAAGTTTAAACAATGGACACGTCATTTATATTTCAAATAAATTAATTTAATTATTCAGCGTACATTTCGTAATATCATTTACCTCTTGAGTAATTTTAAGCCGAAATGATCTCATATTAAATTTTATTCTAAACGACATTTGTTTTATTACTAGTAATATCATTATCTTTTTAGTAACTGATACCGTCTTTCGGAAGTAGAACAATAATTTCTAATAAACATTAGGAGATCATCTAGCTACGATTACCTACTTCTAGGTAATTGCTCTTATAGGTATCACCAGTACACACTTCAAATTTAACGTTCTCTTGACATTTTATAAATATCTAAAGAACTGTAATTGATATTATTATTGTCTCTTAACTAATATATTTTATAACTACGGAAGTAACATGTTTCACGATACGATTTTTTTGAGTTTTTGTTATGTATTTTTGTATAGCAACTTCAGGAATTACGTAGACTTTAATTTATATAAATATACCGTAACAAAACAGCATCATGCCAGATGTTTTATTCCCAGAGAGATGGAGCATATTTTATGTTATAACTTTCGCCATTCGTAAACCCAGTAAAATAGGTGTCGCGTTTGTTGCTATTACACAAAATAACTAAAATTTAATCATATGGTGCATATTTATTTTAATTTCTTTAAACGCGAACACACAAGTTAATTTAAACATTCCGATTAAAAGCGTCTTTTTATAATTATTAGTTGTTATTTCATTGGTAAAACTATCCAGTGGCAGCAGATCAACGAGGGATTGCCGTGCCTGGTTTTGTTTTAAACAAAATATTATTTGTTGGATAATGAATTATACCAACATCAATTTAAATCACGATATGTAAAATACATAGAAAATAAATCACTTGAGTTATCATTTTTATACATTTGTATTAGTAAAGCTGCAACTGGAAGATTAATTTGTACATTTCTTGACATAGGAATAAATGCATACAGAATGCCTAGTGCGATCGACACGTTTATGGTGTTCTTTGCTCTGATTGGTCTGTGTCAAGTCAGCCAACCAATCAAAGGACAGGATGGTCGCTTTATCATAAAGTTAACTGTCACTAGGTACTCTGATTGGTTGGTTAACTTGGAGCAGGCCAATCAGCACGCTAACGTCATAGATTTGTAGATCATCTTAATGTTAAGAAAAATCGCACTTGACACTGTTTATATTACTATTTTGAATGTGTAAACTCTGTGAACACACTGTTTGCATGTTGACTGTTCATTTCCTTTCTTTAAACCTGATATCCCATACAAACTAGGAGCAGTTAAAATAACACGAAACACTAACATAACTGATTTTTAACATAACAAGTATCACTTAATAATTTTATAAAATTAAATAACAGATATCACAATATAAGGTAAAGAAAAAGTGCTATGAAAATTGAGGCCTGGCCGTACAAAAGATAAATTAATTAGAGTGTTTAGGAATAATTCACGACGCCATCCATTCCATCCAGACCATAGTGGTCATTCGGCCAAAAAATATGTTGATATTTTCGGTTACAAAGTATAAACAACATGTTATGTAATTAATCAGAATATATACCATATCATTGTTTACCTATAATTTTTATTTTTACTCGATATTCGAACTAGTTTTTTAAAAGCTAATTTATATAACATAATCAAAAATATAATATCATGGCGGTGTTATTAATATTTTGTAACGGCTTCCCTCGTGTCCTTGCATAAGGGTTCAATTCGCAATAAATATCCAAACAGCATTTTTTTAGCAAATTTATAAGAAGTAAGGCTTATTTTATGTCAATATACAACTTTCAAATGTCATGTTACTATTTTGTGTCATGTTACAAATATGGTCTGTAAGCATTTAGTATCACTAGCAGTTTAACACACCTTGATGAGAATAAATAAATAATTTACTTGAGGTAAAATCTTACACAACATAATCATGATACAGATAACACAGCATTTTTCCAATATCATACTATACTAATACATTTAGAAATCAGTAAATTATCCTATTGTCGAAAATAATGAAACTATAAAATAATGCATATAAATAAATATACTCAAAAAGCTAAGTTTCTTACTGAAATGTCGTAAAATTGTATACAAATAAATAAGTATTGAAAATAAAATAAAATGAAATATAAATAAAATTCATCTATGGGTAGACAGGATTTTGATGTGTGTTCAGACAATTTTGTCGCGCTTGTATCCTAGCAAGTACTCCGCGATACCGAGGTAGTAGACGGTCTGGGCGATGCCGAACAAAGGGGCGATCACCATCATACGGCAAGCGCCGCCCTTGAAGAATGCTAGCGGGCCTTCGTGCTTCATCGTGGTCCTGCGATAAAAATGTACACTTCAGTACCACATACCAGTATATTATACATCTTTAAACCCACATTAATGACCGGTTTCCGAAAGCCCGATCAATGTTAGCAACTAACTAGGTGTCAAATCTCTTGTCAAGTCATCTGATTGGTTATTGATAATTCAATCAACCAATCAGATGACTTGACAAGACATTAAATCGATTTTAACATTGATCGGCCTTTCTGAAACCGTGTGTAAGCCTCATTTACATGATACAAGTTGCAATTAAGGCAACAGTAGACTTGCATAATCTAAAGCAATACGTATGGTATCGTGCAAACGAGCCATCAAATTGCTGAACTCAATGTATGTTCAAGGTCAGTTAATGTTAGTTAAAATGTTCATCAAACGAAAATGATAACTTACGTAACGCAATCCATGATCCCCGTATACTGCCGCTCGCCACTACCTTTAGTGAGTGTTTGCATGCGGGTCTTAACAACATCCAATGGATTGACTGCCAGAGCACCAAAAGATCCCGCAATGCAGCCCGAAAGGAATGACCACCTGGAATCAAAAAGTTTAATAAATAATAATAGGCGCTCGGTCGGTGAGAAGGGAGTCTCTCACTTGCCATTTTTACATGTTTAAATTACATTGTTTTGGCAGGTGCCATAGACCTTCCATAGCCCCAGCATACCAGCCCATAGCAGCAGCCTTATCCCTTCTCTCCATTATCCGCAATAGTCCTACACTAATCGAGTTCGACTTTCAGGTTGAATAAGGATCGAGAGACGATCGTAAGCGCGGGTCTGCGGACGGCGGGTAAGTGTAGCTCGCCGCCCGACCAGAACCAGACCCGAGCGGACGGCGCCTAGAGACTCGAGCGGACGGTGCGTGGAGACCCGAGCGGACGGCGCATAGAAACCCGAGCGGATAGCGCGTAGAGACCAGAGCGGACGGCGCGTAGAGTTCCGCGCGCCTCAAAGAGCCAATAGACCACCACAGATGGGGCCCTATAGGGCTGGTGTTCAGTCGGGGTCGCAGGATAAGCGCAATGAGTCACCGCGGCCTGGGCCCCGAGCAGGAGAAGAAACGGGGGTGTTTTTAGTCAGTAAGAGTCTGAGACTCCCTCCTGCCCGACTCTGGGCGAGGAAAGTCATTTGATGATGTCCTCTCACAAGGATCACTATAATACGCTCTGAAATTCAAGTCTCCAATGTTGGTCAGAAAGCCGCAAGCTTGAAATGGAAATGGGCTGGTCGTAGCGCAGAGGGTAGATACAGTTGACTGACCATGGGCAACAAAAGTAAAGGGCCTAATACAGAAGGCAGTCCTTGAAACGGCATGTATTGTGAGGAGGTTTCTGTCTCTAGAGCCCTTACAACCGGTAGCTTGGACTTTGCTCCTGCTACGGTTGGCTTCTATTCTTATATTATATTATATTCTACAGTAATATTTAAAAAAAAGTACTTATACTAGTTATATTGTTTCTTTACTTACCAAAATGGTGGTGTTATGTCTTCTTTATTCCGAATACCCAACTTGCTAAGGATTGCGAAAGTAGGGAAGTAGACTACACTGAAGGAGATGTCTCGACCAGCTGTCGCTGTCACACCCTTGTACAACCCAAGGATACCATTTTCAGCAATTAATTTTTTTGTTAGTCCCCAGGCTGTGACGCGTTTACCAACTTTGCCACCAGCTAAAAACAAAAAAATAAAAAGAATTTAGTGAGTCTGTAAATCTTTTCACATTTTCATTTCTACAATAAAAAAAACTTAAGTCTTTTAAAAAGAACATTTTTAACATGTTATGATGAGAAATGGCGGAGCATTGCTCGTTCTTAGCAAAAAAGCTCAAAAGAAGAAACCAGTATTATTACTCCGGCTACCCGTGACCGGTGTCAGCGGCTGATTTGTTTTCAACAACGAAGGAATATAATTGGGTAGTTTCCTAGGTAGGTCAAAAATAAATTAATTCGACGTTTCAATACAATATAATAAAAAGTATAAATACTAAAACCCAACTACGACAAAGACCGTTTACGTACTTTTTATTATTTGAACTATTTTGGTGTTAAACTTATATTAAGTAGTAAAAGGTATGAACGAAAAGATGTGAATTGTATGCAATCAGCCCATGAATACAGGCAAAGTCACAAGCAAATGCTATTAATATATATATATTCAAAATATACAAGTAAAGCGCTTTATAATGATACCAAACACGGTATAATCTTCTAAACTTTATTTTTTACTCTGGTTGTTTTGCCCGCTAGAGGACGCCACATTAGATTTTGTGATACATCATATAGCCCCACGGAATAGAAAATACAGTGGAAGTGCCGCTCAGACATCGCGCGCTAACCAACATGATGACTAGATATACAACATTTTGGCACATTTGTTGTCAGAATCGTTCGATCCGTTGTCATGGTTGTCTCTAAGAAACACGAAATATATTAGAAATTATGCCTTTTTTTTTTTTTTTTTTTTTTTTGTGAGGGGAAAATCATCAAATGACTTCTCCCGCCCAGGGCCGGGCAGGAGGGAGTGTCAGACTCTTACTGACTAAAAACCCCCCTGTTCCTTCTCCTGCTCTGTGCCGAGGTCGCGGTACCTTATTGCGCTTACCCCGCAACCCCGGCTGGAATTATGCCTTGTTGTGCGGTTTTCAACTACAAAAAAGTAAGCAGAAAAAAAGATGAGTCTTGTGGTGGTGTATCGTATCATCTTTGAGTATTAACCTTTGTTAATTTTAAATATATTTGATTTTAATGTAAATATCACATTTCATTACTTCAATGCAAACTATAAAGGGCCTTATTTTCATTACAATTAAGTTTAAATCTACTTGTTCGTTATGTGACGTTATATACAATACATTCTAGTAGTTTCGACGCTACTCATTTAGGGATGCGACATATTCGTAAAATAGGTTCATATCGATAATTTTTCATCATCATCGTTCAGAAAATTGATTTTTGACAATTTTTGTGTATAATTCATAAATGTTTAACTAAGATTGCACAGACACATCAACGTTTTAACCACACACAGCGTGCATCCGTCTGTGGCAGGTGCGGGTGGTTAATCACCATTTTTATTTTATAACTAGTTTTCGCCAGCGGCTTCGCCCGCGTGCTGTGTTGATTAAAAGCAGCAAATAGCAATAGAACAAAATCTAAGTATACATAAAATTTGGTATTTATCGTCTCATTTTTATGGGTACATCTCCAATGGGTAAATACCCTATTACTTACTAAGTCTCCGCAGTCCGTCCGTCCATAGATAGAAAGGTACGGATCTAACTAATAGGTAAGAGTTACAAATATTTGATAAAACCTATATTATATTATGTTTTATACCGCATCGTGTCGAGCACGGCAACCGCTACACAAAAATAATTCTTATACCATGATTCAGTGTTCACTTGCGACGGCGCTATGTCTTATTATCCGAATTGCTAAGCTATCAGGAGTTACATGTGCTATTGTGAGTTAACCATAAAAGATAGACATATGCTGTAAAACATTTTTTTTAGACAATTTTATTTAAAATATTTCCGTCATACATAATTTCTATGTAAGTTTAACCATTAAGGTTACACACGCGACTGAAACTTACAAAAGGGAGTAACTTCTCCCGTTTTCCCAACATTTTCCTTCACTGCTCTGCTCCTATTATTTGTAGCGTGATGAAAAGTATTCTATAACCTGCCCAGGAGTATAAAGAATAATTGTACCAAGTTTTGTTAAAATCCGTCGAGCAGTTTTTGTTTCTATAAAGAACATACAGACAGACAGACAGACAGACAAAATTTTTACTGATTGCATTTTTGGCATCAGTATCGATCACTAATCACCCCCTGGTAGTTACTTTGAAAATATATTTAATGTACAGAATTGACCCCTCTACAGATTTATTATAAGTATAGATGTTGTACATGATTTTTATCAGAGTTCCAAAAAGGAGAGTGACTCTCAATTCGACTGTAACATTTTTTTTTTTTGTTTTTTCGTCTCCGTTATTTATGATCCGATTTTAATGATTCTATTTTAGTTGGAAAGGAGATAAAACTTGTAGGAGCGCGTAGTGCTTTTATATGTTAAAATCGAAATCTTTAATAATAACTTGAACATCTCCAAAAAACATTAGATCTTCAAAAAATATGTTATATTTTTCTTTTTTTCTATTAGAAGCTTTTTCATTACTGATCATTTGTAGGTATATCGTGTCGATAAATTATATTGCTCACACGAATACAAAAACATCGCTATATTGGGATACCCTGCCCTATCTGAGTAGCAAAAAAGTAAATGTCTATTGGTACAAGTGCATACAAATATGACATCTATTTCAAAGAAGTTAGCGTTTTGAATAGAATGAATTTGTTACAGCGCCATCTAGCGTTGAGTGGCTGAATCCGTTTGTAAATTGTTTTATTTAATTTTTTACACGATAGACGCCTTTATTGATTGTGACATGTGAAATGATAACAACTTTCGCTCATTGTTATAAGACTCAATTTTTAACAACATTTAGAATATGATTTGCTAAAGTTGCGTTTCAACTTTTTACCCAATTATATAGCTGTTTTTTATGTGTGTAATGGACAATTTGATTTGCGAATGTGTGATTTTGGCGACACTGGTTTTCCTTTTGAAAGAGTGTAGGGGCACTTCTACTTAATTTTCTGTTCTGTGTATAGCCCATAACCAGCGGACAATTAAGACGTTTCTAATGATATGTCATATGTCGAATTCTGATAAGTAGTTTAGAAGTTAGGAGGGAACAGATGAACATACATACATACATACATAGCCTGTCAAAATCATAACCCTCCTTTTGCTTTGCCGAAGTCGGGTAAAAATATTGAAAAATAACTATACTTTTATTAATCGATCGATGGATACATTAAATTTTAGATAATTTTAGCTATTTTTTAAGAAATAAGTAAACCATTTGATGCAAAAAATCTATGACGTCATAACTCAGTTTTTCATACAAATTTCATAGAAAGGTATAGTTTTTGACATTTGGATAAAAGTATTGAATTTAACTAGTTGTATAGGTACATACATACATAACTTGTATACATATACAGTCATATACGGTAGTAGTATACACACGAGTATCCGTAAACACCTGAGGCATAGTTCTTGGGCTCTTACAGACTATTTGTTAACTTTGTGACTTTTTTACGTGATAGGTCGGCAAACGAGCCAGTGGATTACCCGCTGGTAAGCCATCAGCGCCGCCCATGGACACCCGCAAAGACGGAAGAGTTACGAATGCGTTGCCGACCTTTTGGGGATTAGGGATTTAGATATTTTGAGAACGAGGAGGAATTTATTTACAAACCGGCTTTGATTTGTGCTGCGACACGTCCAGCGTCCTGCATCTGGATTTTCAGGAGTTCCATAGGCGTGGTGATGACAATCTGACACGCCCCGGCTGAACCACCAGCAATCATCTGATTTAGGAGCGTTATGGATCTGAATTGCAAAAAAACATTGCAATTTTATTTGGTGACTAAAACACACTTGAAGACTTAGTCGTACAAGGTAAGTATAGACTCCTCTTACAAATTGAGATCGCGAGGATGCACCTATGTAATATGTATGTTCTCAACAGTTAGTTTTACAGCAACGACAAGCTTCATTGTTTTTTTTTGTCTTCTGGCAGATGACATCCTTAGATTTTCGTCAGCTTAATCACGCGGTCGTAGGAATCCAGTTCGTATTAAAGACCCTGTTGCGGGGCAAGCGGCAAGCGCAATGCGGCACCGAGGCCTTGGCCCAGAGCAGGAGAAGGAACAGAGGTTTTGTAGTCAGTAACAGTGTGACACGCTCTCTCGCCTTACCTTGGGTGGGAGAAGTCATTTAATGATTTTCCCCTGACAAAAAAGGACCATAATAATTGTTTGAAGACTTACCCATCTGGCTTAGACAAATGATAGCGGAAAAAGTCATTGGCTGCAAGCTTAATAGCTTTTTCTGGAGTGATCAGTAGGATGTTGACTCCAGATCCTCGGTACATGCCGAAGTAACCTTCTGCTCGGTATGTCTGCTTGAAGCAATCAAGCCTGAAAATATTATATAAATGAAACGACATACAGTGAATGATTTCGATTTTGAGTGTTTGCTTATGTATGTTTTTTTTAGAATAGAATTGAATAGAATAGAATAGAATTCTTTATTTGCAAATGTTATATGTATTATATATTACTTATGTGTGCATTCATGCATATTATGTTTGTATTTATATTATTATATTATATTCATTGTATTATGCATTTTAATTAATTTCTTTTATTTTAAGTTTGCTGTTGTACTTTTTTGCACCCACCATATTCTTACTGCACCACCCAAAGGTTGGCTAGCAAGAATGCTTTATGCGGTATGGTTGGCATTAAGCCCACCTATGTACGTTGTGCATAAAGGTTAAATAAATAAATAAAGTTAAGGTATATGTAGGCATTAATGACCAAGTTTGTTTGATAAATATTAGAAGTAGAGCTTGAACTCAGACTGCCTTATTACTAATCAAGGTTTTTCTTCAGTCTAAATTTAAACCATTGAACCAGTTTTTATATTTCGAATTGAATGTTGGTGGGAACAAGATTCAAAATTTCATAACTTGACTTTTTGGTTTAACCTATACTAAAAATAAATCTTGTTTTGTAATAAGGGGAAGAGTTCCAGAAGCACAAAGAATTATATTCTATAAAAAAATTGGTTGAGTTTCAAGAGACGAAATTGAACAAAATTGCTTCTAACCTTTTTTAAAACTGAATGGGAAAGGTAGAGCCGCAAACCGCGCCGAGCCATTTGGCTAGGGTTGCTACTGCATCAAATACTTACATGCTTTTATATTGCCTCTCGCCATTTGGGCCGATCGTTTGATTTTGAAGTCTTGTTTTTACTAAATCTATTGGAAACACTATGGAGACACCCACAATACCCGCGATACCACCATTGACAATTTTTGGCAGTAAACTGAAAATAGAAAAAGACTGGATGTTATTGATTATAACTGAAATATGTTACAAAACGTTTACAATACTCAAGTTTTATAATAATGTTTAATGCTTAAATATACCTACATACAGAGTTTAAGAGAAAATGGATCACATTGATAATCTTTTAGGTTTGCTTTATGTTTAATAAAATAAAATTAAAAAAAAACAATTTGGTACTTTGTTTTCTTAAAGAAGAAAAGTGTTTTCTTAAACTTTCAGATTTGTGAAACTCAATACTTTTTGCATTGTCAATATCCACTTTTTTATAAATTTTTGTGACGTGAAAAATGAGCAAGTATAATAATTATATTTTATTTATTTATACCAAAAAACAACAATTCAATAGAAATAAAATATTTTTAATAAAATAGTTTTCTGATGTTTTATTGCATAAAAAATAGAAATTGTTTATTTTCGACCCAATTTTCGCAATTATGGTGAGTAGATACATTTTGCCGTCTGAAGTTTGAAAAGAAACTAAGAAAGGGTCACACATTAAACGTAGGTATTTATACGATATTAAATTATTTAAAGTTAATATTAAGATTGATTGTACGATCCTATCGTTAGTTAGTTTTTACCATCTGACTTATCAGGTGGTTATTTTCCCCACCAAAATGATAACTAGTGATTAAAGTGGGAACATTTATATGTTATTTGTTTAATGCGCTTTATGCTCAAAATATTATACATAAGGTAAACAGTACTCACTACTATGGGCATTATTTAGCAGCCATAATAATATGTATGTATGTCGCTGTCAACTAGTTTAATAAACCGTCCAATTAAAACGGCCTAGCCAATTTTATAAACAGTACTATTAAGCAGTAAAATTTTTGTATCTGCTTATTTGTGTGTATCGAATCAATTTGAGGTTTTTTTTTGTGAGGGGAAAATCATCAAATGTCTTCCCGCCCAGAGTCGGGCGGGAGGGAGTGTCAGACTCTTGGTGACTAAAAACTCCTGTTCCTTCTTCTGCTCTGGGCCGAGGTTGCGGTGCCTCATTGCGCTTACCCCGCAACCCCGGCTGAACATCAGCTCTATAGGGGCCCGTCTGTTATGGCCTATTGGCTCTTTAAATCAACGAAGGAATCAATTTGAGGTTGCAGTTCTAATATAACTTAACTATCTATCCTGGCAGCAGCTCGGTTTTCATTACGTAATGTCTGGTTACTCATTTGGGTCTTGGGAGCTTTTAACTTAAGACTAGAGATCCCAAAAAACCAACGAAAAAATATATAGGTGAAGATAAAAACAGGTGGGATTTTAGTCGGTAAGAGTCTGACATACACACACCACCTAGGGATGAAGAACAAATTTGATAATTTCGCCTCCCTCCGGGCGAGCCGACCCATTCGTGCCGAAGCATGGCTCTCCCACACCTATTTCATTTTACACTGATTTCCATATTAAATCCCTGTTTCGTATTTATTTACGATCAAACATCATTTATCAGTATTGGCAGGGTGTCTTAAAATTACATTGAATCAGATTGCATATCTGATATATCAGATTTATCTAAAAAGATGACCTTGGATGTATTCTCGCAACGTCGCTCAAGTTGTTGTCGAGTCTCTAAATGTCATATGATTGAATTAAATACCTACAAATCTGGAACTAGGTCCGCTGCTAAGAGCTTGGAGAATTGATTGCTACTTTTATTAATCAGCCTTTGCCCCCTCTATAAAAATAAAACTCTTATTTATTACTATGATTTTTGTCCTAGATCGTTACAATTTTCTTTCCTCTTTTTTTATTATTAGCTATATTACGAAGTTTTACTCGGGCGTGTATACCAGTCCCATCATCCTTATAATAATCCATACTAATTTTATAAAGCTTAAGTTATAAATCAGTGAAACTGATTTAAAAAGAGTAACCATGGAGTTCCTCGCTCGTTCTTCTCCATCGGAATCTACACTTTGGAACGAGCAAATAGCTTCATTATGAGGACTGACCGACAGACTGACACACATACCTATACATATATATCTTCAAAATTTTGTTTGACATTCAAAAGTGCCGTAAGGGTCTAATTGGAATAAATGATTTTTTACTTTAATTCTTAGAGTTTGTTTGAACGCGCTTATGTCCGGAACTACTGGTTCGAATTAAACATTTTTTTTTTGTGTCTGTTAGTCGATTTATCGAGAAAAGCTATAGGCTATAAGACACGCTATGATCTGTATGAGCGGGTGAAACCGCATGAGAGTAGCTAGCATGTCACTAAAATGTAGCCTAACGTAGACTAGCAGTGAAATTGCATCTACTAACAACTTAATTTTGTTTGAAATTATATTCTCAACCTAACAAAATGTAAACATGTAGGTATATATAATGTACATTGGACTGTCTGCTAAGTATATATTTGTATTTGAAATAACCTAAATACCATCTCACACAATATGTAAGCTATAATGTCAAGCATCTAATTTAAGAAAAGATTTAACGACTAAACATTTCAAATTGAGTTGACTGGACATAATTATTATCATGGAGATGGGCCGTTACAAGATTCTATACAATTCGAAGGTCGCCTCTTAAAATGCTAGAATAGTACAACAAAATGAGCATACTTATTAACAGGAATCATGTCATGGAAAGTATTCTAGAAATAGATTATTCTGTTTTTAAAATTCTTCTGTCAGTTTCATAATGGACTCATTATTAGACACGCATTTTTTATGGTTCAAGAAATTAAATGTACTGTGACTGACTACGTAACCGCTCAGTATAATAATTAAATGTACTAAATCGTGACGTCACACGTTATTTCAAACCTTTACATATACCGTCGAAAGAATTTGTTTTCACAAGAAAAGAATATACAAGTCTATTGTAGCTATAGAAATATTTAGTCGTCATCCTTATTATCTGGAACTAAACCTAATATTCTGTTCAAATAATATTTAGGTATGTATAAACATTGTTGATACTGGGTACCAAGTTAAAAATACTTGTACAGTTTAAAAAAAAGATTAAATGGGTAATTATTTACGATAAGCAGTACTTAACTGAAGTCATTTTGAAGAAATACTGAATTTATACTAATTAGCTGTTTTTAAAAAGCTAGTGAAGATGTATTTTTTAATTACTCACAGCAAAACAAGAAAATTGAATGATAAGCATAGACTTATTATTATTACTTACTCTAATTATGTACAGGCCATAAAATAAATACATATGTTTTCTTTGTAAAAGTACAAAGAATAGTTCTACATAATTATAACACAATTAATATGTTTGTAGAAAACTGGATTACTGAGATTTATTAGGATATTTTTTTTCTGGAAATGAAATCTAGCTGCTTTGGTTTTTAATCTCCAAAACCCTTAATACTTACAGAAAGTGAAGTGTGGGAGAGCCATGCTTTGGCACAAATGGGTCAGCTCCTCGACCGAAGTGATAAGACGGCCTCACAGAAAACCGGCGTGTAACAACCACAGCGTTGTGTTTCGCCGTGTGATTAAGGTTACCGGAGGCCCAATCCTTCCCGTCCCCCGATCCTTCCCAATCCCTAATCCCTTAAAGGGATTGGAGGAAGGGAAGGATTAGGAAAACGGTAATATCACTCACAACGCGAAACATAACGGTGAAGTTGTTTTATACCATTTTATGTGAGGCCGTGGTATCACTCTGATCGAGCCGGCCCATTCGTACCCAATCATAAGTAGACGATCAAATCACATTTTGGAATGAAATAGCCTCACTAATGGAAAGAGGTTTCTAAAGCAGGAGGTACAATTAAAATAATATTTACTTTTAAACTTTTTGATTGCGTAAATAAATACAATAAATAGGCTCATAATTGCCATAAAATGGCAATGTCTTTTCCTGATAATTAGAACAGATTTTATTTTAATAAAATATCACTTACTTGAACTTTGGAGCAGGTGCTGGTGGTGGTTTCCCCGACATTTTGGTTTTTCAAAGCTGAAAAAAGGAGAATAAGGTTAATTAAAATATAGGTACCTACCTATAATTTCTGGGATATTAGAGGAGTTTTCTATAATTACTATCTTAAGCTGCTTGTAGGTGGCTGCGGGGTAAGCGCAATGAGGCACCGCGACCTCGGCCCAGAGCAGGAGAAGGAACGGGGGGGTTTTTAGTCAGTAAGAGTCTGACACTCTCTCTCGCCTTACCCTGGGCGGGAGAAGTCATTGGATGATTTTCCCCTGACAAAAAAAAAAAAAAAAAAAAAAAAAAAAAAAAAAAAAGCTGCTTGTAGGTGATTAGGTGGATAGATAATATGTCAAATTAAAAGGGGCACTTTTGTGGAACTATATTCATTGTGAAAAGGCTGGAGCTTAGTCACCATATTAGCCCTGGTTATTATGACAATGTATTAAATTAAACTGTAACATATTTCTTTCCCAGTTTTAGGAATAATCTTACCATAGTACACTACCTACATATATCATTTTTATTTTAAAGTTGTTTTTTTATGGTAAACGAGTGGACAGATCACCTGAGTTACAAAAATCCATAGGCTAATAAGAAAATAAGAATGGCAAGAAAAGAATTCCAATTATTTCTTATATAATATAATGTATTAGATTGCCGCATTGGTCTAGTTGTTACAAGTGTGGCTGTTTGGTTGTGTACAAGCCGGAGTTGAAGGGCAAACACAACAAGGTACCGCTGCCTCAGCCTGGGTGAGAGAGAGAGTGAACAAGGTGTACTGACTAAAAATCACCCTGTTTAGGGGAAAATCATCAAATGACTTCTCATTTGATTACTAAATAAAGATAGTATAGGTCTTTTTTCCTATTTTTAGAGAATCTCTTATTAATAGCACAGAGTCTGGATTAATGCCATGGCAATGGACTCATCACCCATTGGACATGACTCATAACTGGTGAAAAATGGGTATACAACTGTGTGGCACTATGTGCACCTCTGCTGACCCCTTCGGGGATAAAAGGCGTGACGATGCTAACAATTGTTACCTTCTGTACATTTGAATCAGTTTCAAGGGAAGAAGTCAACATACATAGAAAAAAGGTAACATATAAAATAATTCTAGATAGGCTCTATCAAATTAGTTACATCAAATTAACAGATGGTTTTACGACCGATCGTCGCGTATTATATTGAAATTCTATCAAAGCAGTATAATATTAATTTAAAACTTGTATTGTTTTTTTTTTTGTAATTAGGGAGTAAATTAATCTAATGGCATCTGTATTATATAAATATCATTAGAAGCAAATGGCTATACAAAAGGTTGTCGGCCTACTCGCCCAAAAAATCAATACTACTGAAAAAACATCGAATGTTAGCGAAGATTAGAGTAATGACAGATAGCCTCTCACACGACCTTCCTGACCTAGGTCCGCGTTTAATACCGCTTTATTTGACTATGAATTACTATACTAATTCAGCATATTATTGTTTCAAAAGTAACCAACTCGCATCCCGATCAATAGCGGCGTTTTACGTAATCATAATAAAATTTTACTTACCTTTAACAGTTGTTGTTAATATTTAATTTTTGTATTTCACTTTTATATCATATTACTTATGTATAATTTAAGTATTATATTAGTATTTTTTTTTGTTTCAAATTGTGTTTTTTTGTGGCTTTGCACGTTTGTTCGTGCTTCAGCCACACTTTTGTGTATGTGTGTGCTGTGTGTAGTTGTGATTTTTGACGTTTGGCTGTATCGATAGCTATGACAATTAGGGGAAAGTGTTGCCAAACCAGCAAAGAACTAAACTACATACCTATTATTTAATGGTTATGAAACTTTTTTAGAACCAAGGTCTAGCTTGCTTTATGTCAACGTCGGAACTAAACCCTGTAGTAAGCTCTCTTATTTTTGCTAACCTACAAACAGAGCGCTGAACGTCATAAACATATCGGTCGGTTTATCATAAAGCGAACTTAGTACTCACGGTTAGAAATCAGTACTTAAATATTTAGATAGTTTTTTTGGGCGCTTTTATATTAAACGTTGAAGTTTAATTTTGAAGTAGAATATATTATAGAGGCATTAAGAAAATAAAAAAGTTTAAGCTTGGTGTAGCCAATTTGGCAAACAATCTATGAATAAAGTTATGATTTAATGAACAGGTATCGTAGGTACAACACTTTCAGCCAGGCTTCCGAACAATACACAATAGTGTACCTTGGCCTCGGCCTGGAGCAGGAGAGCTATAGGAATAAGGTGCTTTCAGTAAACGTATAACACTCGAGTGGGAGAAGTCATTTGATTTGTCATTTGATTCTAACCCATAGAGAAATAATGTATCCTCTTTGTTCCAACCCCTCTTGCTTATTTGTGTTTTCCTTGACCATAGGTCAGTGGCGTCTAAATAAAATAATTTTATTATTTATAATTATTATAACAAATCAACAAACGTTGTCCCACACTAGGATTATCCCTAAGACCTCCTGGGTCGTGGGTACGTTTAAAAACATACAATTTCACTTACACATGACACCCAGACCCGAAACAACAATTTGTGGATCACACAAAGTGTTGTTCCGTGCAGGAATCGAAACCGCGACACGCGACACGGCAGCCAGTTGCCCAGCCACCGCACGGTTGACGCGGTGGTTGGGCAACTGGCAAGTCAAGAGATATTATAAAGAGGTAAATAACCAGTCAAGAGATATTATAAAGAGGTAAGTACCTACTTAGTAATCGTTTATGATCTCCACAAATGGTAAAACTAAATGACCTCACTAAGTGTTGGGGTGTTGAGCTCCAGTTGTGCTGCTGGTGGTCTCAACTAAATAAAACCCCTATTTTCGATATAAAGACTGTATTATTCACAAAGGAGTATGGCCGATATGTGCGCACAGTAATGGTCGGTGAGCGAGAGTGGCGGGGTCCGGCGCGCGGCGTATGGTCGAGGGCCTAGCGCTGGTGGGGCGCACGATGACGGATTTACCTTTGACGTGTAACTACTACCTACCTAAGTTGTATTAATTTGTTTTTTTTGATACCTTTTTTATTTTTGTATTATTTTTTTTTCCTAATTAGTGTACATATCTTTGTCTTTTCCTAATAATTTCCTAATAATTGTTCATGCCGAATAAATTATTTTTCTTTCTTTCTAAGTAAAATCTATATTATATTAAAATTGAGGCTAAAATTAGAAATTTAACTGTCCACCTTATTAAAAATTCGTATTACACATACAATGCATTGTACCGTCTAGGTTCCAGTGCAACGAATTTCAAAAGAAAAAAAAATTGGCATTATTGTGTTGATCCGTAAAATACCTACAGATCAACACAATAATGCCAGAACTCTTTTGCTTCTACGATATTCATGCATGTTTATTGTTTTTTCAAAATATCTATTTTAAAACCAAGTAGGAAATAGGTAAATACTCAAGCATCAAGCAATTTACATAGTGAGCAAAGGACATGGCCAAAAAAGTACATTCCATGTACACAAACATAATAAACACACTGTAAAATAATAATATAATAATAAATTATTACGTAGTTTTATTTTATTTATTCTACTTAGTAATAAATCATTATTCTTTATAACTATTCTTTTGTTTTATTTTTTATAAATAAATTATTAAAACGCCTTATCGTTTTTAACAGCAAATCTTATTCCGTGCACTTATGGCCAGCAATCCGACGAAAGGTTTAGTGTAACTATTTTCGTTTAGTTTGTTGTGACAACAAGTTCTTCATATGTTTTTTTATTGCAGTTTAATGTAACCAATATTCACGAATATAAAACACCAAAAATCATTGGTGTACATTGAATACAATAACTATGCAAACGCCCACACAGAAATTGGCCATGCCCTTTACCGAATGGTTACGACATTATGTGTAAAATAGAGTAAACTAAAATCGAATGCATGAAGGGTAAAGGCACCAATGATTGACAATCGTGTTACTGCATGCGTTTATTTCTAAAAACATGTGTAGGTAGGTACATGTGTAGTATATGTATTTAAAATGAAAATTTATATTATGCGGTCATATCACCTCAAAATATGAATATACTCTTAATAATAATTATCATTATTAACAAGAAATATAAAATCACCAGTTTTCGACAATACAACACCAGTTTTCAACATGACCCGAATGATCGATATTGAACCGTCAACTCTTTACAAAGTTAAAAGGCTAAAACAAGCAGTATCTATACTAATATTATAAAGAGGTAAAATTAGTAAGTTTGTTAGTTTGTATGTAGGGGGTAATCTTCGGAACGGCTGGTGGGATTTAGAAAATTCTTTCACTGATAGATAGCTACAATGTTCCTGAGTGCTATAGGCTATAAAACATCACCCTACGATTAAATGCCGAGCAGCGGGTGAAACCGCGCGGGAGCAGATAGTATGTAATAATTTAATTGATATTGTTTTGGGAGAAACAGCTATATAAAAATCGCTAAATTTAAGCAATTTTAAGGAAGGTGTAATTACCTGTGAGAATAAAAATCTATTTTACTTATTCTCTTATTTTTAACCTCCATATTATTATAATTAATGTCGATTACGACGATTACTCGGTTGGGCCTTGTCGAGCACTGGTGTTTGTAGTTAAATGGAGTGATAATTTGTGATTTTTCTCATAATTGATAACAGCTTATTAACGTGATGGGACAAAATGTACGTTTAGATTGCTCTGTATATTAAACAATACCACTTGTGTAAGCATGAGTTACCAAACATTCTTTGAGATGGCAAGACCTAAGTATCTGCTGCCATCTAGTATCAGTCCATGTAACTACAAAACTTTATGGCTACGGTTACCACTAATTACATGCTAAATGCATATTATTACATTATTGATAAAGTAAATATTATGTTTTCGGCTTACTCACGTAATAACTTGACGAGATACTTGACTAGTTTCAAGCCATGCTAGAGGCCCATATTCATTAGGTAGGTACGTGAGTAAGCCGAAAACATAATAATTAATTTAGAATGTCTTACACAAGTTATAATAAAAATTGATAAAGTATTCTACTAGGACTACAAATTAGAAGTTTCGTATTAGTGTTAGGTTGTTAATTAAACACAAAATATTGTTAGTTTAGTTATATGCATGGTATAAGTTACATAAGATGTTTTTCTTGTCGTTTATAAATATAATGCAACAGATACAAAGATAATGAATTCGGCCTTTTTAAACATTGTAATACTTTACCAGTCCACCTCCAATTCAAATTAAATTTATTAAAGGAACAGTTTTTTAATTCATACTTGTACACAAAAAAAGAACATTCTGTATACACAAGAAGCATCGCTCAAAACAAGTTATGTACAGTGCGAGCCGATAATACGTTCGGAGAAAGAACTACTTGCTATATGGTTCCCCGGTTAATTAATCAACTACCCTCTGACTTGCGAAATAAAATAACAAAAAATAATTATAAATCTGTTCTCAAAAAACATCTGTTGGATGGCATGGGGAATTGAACGTGGTGATGTACTTGTCTATTCAATTCTCACACACTTACTATTGATTGTATTGTAATTCTTTATTGTATAATTCGTCAGCAATTGTATTGAGATCCGATTTCCGTAGCATAAGGACAAACCTCAGTGGTTTATTTGTGCTATTGTAACAGAAAATTGTATGTTTTTATGTTTTGATAATAAAGGAAAAAAAAAAAAAAAAAAAAAAAAAAGATAAAAATGTAAATATATTTTTTTGTAAAATTATATACCTAATTCAGTAATAAAATTATTGAATTTGGCTTTTTCACATCTCGACATATTATTATTTCAAGCCAAGCCAGGCCGGGCTATGCTTAGATGAGCATTATGCACGCCTAGTGCGAGTTCTCGTTACGTTTAAACGTTTTCTACGTTCGACGCTTTGATTGGCTTGCTTCAAGATAACGAACCAATCAGAGGGCTAAACGAGGTAACGTTTTCATCCATTCAACGAGACGAAAACTCGCACTATAAAAAAAAGCGGTATTATAAGCTACAACGATAAAACCGGTGAACCGTATCACACAGTACAACAATTAGTTACCCTGGTCGAATAGTATATACCTATGTAGATTCAGAACCTACCAACGTTATAAGAAATATTTATGTCGACGTACTTATTTTGTATCAAAATATTCAACCACTTACGTGTAAAATAGGTACTGGCCAAGCTGGGCACTAAGATAGGTACAAACTAAATTTATTTTAATCTTTTTCTACATATTCAAAATTGAATTTAGCTGTGAATTTTGCTGGATTTTTGTCATGTTCTCTATGAATAACAAACAAAAATGTCATCGTAAATAAATGAATAATATGCCTATGTGTTTTTTTATTTTGGCAAAGTGGCTTTTGGCAATATACGCCTGACAGTCGCTTTCGCCTTTCTCAGACGAGCTCCATTATTTTATACAACTTAGAAATATTTATAACGCATATGGCAAGATTGGCAAGGAATGATATTGGATTTTGTAAATTCTTTATTGCAAGTTGAATCTAAAAAATATTTGCATAGGTACCTAGTTTAGTAATAGTTTAGTAGTTAGTAAACCCAGATAAGCTACTGCCGGCGCCTTTTACTAGTCTCGTCGTCAGT